ATTCAATTTGTTACTCTCCTGATGGTACTACATTAGCATCTGGTAGTTATTAAGAAATTCGTTTATGGGATGTTAAGACAGGATAATAAAAAGTCATATTAGATGGCCATTCATCAACAGTATATTCCGTCAATTTCTCTTCTGATGGAAATACATTAGCTTCTGGTAGTGATGATAACTCTATCCGTCTTTGGAATGTAAAAACATCAAAGGAAATACTTCAATCAGATAGTAGCTATAAAGGTTTGCTTGCCTAGTTTAACATACCTCTTACGAATAGCTCCTTATTGCCAAATGGTATTAATTATTAATTATTATTTAGTTAATCCTTATTGTACAATACTTAGAATTTGCCAGAATCCTTTGTTTCAAGCATCAAGAACACTTATCTTATAAGGACAATTTATTAATCATTAAGGGAAAGATTTAAAGCCTTTGTTTAAATTCAAAGGATGTTGCTTTTTAGAAGACCTAAAGCAATAGAAGTGTATTTGATATTCATTAAAAACATTACAATTATAATTTTAATCATTTTTTTATAACTTTTTCAATTAATTGGTATTTTTGTTACTTTTAAATATTTGCTTAATATTGAGATGTTAGAAACAAAGGTTATTAATACAATACACTATTAAATTTATAATATAAACTGAATAAACAGGTTTAGTCATAATAAAGATTATTAATACTTTAGTAAAATTTAGTTTAGAAAAAGGTAATGATACAATTAATAACAAAGATAAGAAGAAAGATACATTTGAAGAATTTAAAAAATAAAATTTAACTTACTAATATCTAAACTTTGGGATTGAATGATTTTAAAAATTACTATTTTCGTAACCTGTTATTTATTATTTTCAATTGATATTGAAAGTATTAGAGAGAATAAAGGACTGAAAAGATATATAAATCATCAATAAATATTTTAACCCCTAGAGATCTTAATTATATCCATTCCTTACAATAATCTTAAATAAGCTCTATATGAATTACATCCAAAGTAGCAACTTTCAATAATAATTTTGCATTTATGGAACAGTTATTAATCATTAAGATACGAACTATGTAATTTTACCTCAAACTGATTTTTTTTTAAATTAATTAATACTATCATCTCTTCATATCTCATGTTCATCGCCAAAGGTTATGATCTGATATAAACTAATCATTTTATTTTATAAATATTTAATGTCATATGTTAAATTATCATAATAATAATAATAATTATTACATTTAAATTATTAGAATTTAGTTATTTATTGCCCTATAGCCTTAAGGGTAGCATGAAAAAAAAAAACACTAAAAATATACAATTAAATGTTAATCAATTGAGAATTATTATCACAAATTTTTTAATAGATTCTTATAAAGAGTGCTAATAAATTGGTAACCTTAAATAATTTCGTTTAAAGTTTCATGATAGAATTGATTTCATTATATCTACAAAGAATTGGCAATAATGAAACTATTTATAAATAATCTATATACATGACTTACTTCAATATCTAAAGGCAGTAAAAAATTCTAACAAAAATTGATATCTTAGAAGATAAAATATTAGCTTTGAAGGAGGCATAAAATTTTATTGATTCGGCTAATGAAAATGTAAGTTTTTTGATAAACAAAGTAAAATAATTAAGGCTAATTTATAAGAGCAATTTGCACTGCAAAAAAAAAATTGGATGAAATGAAAAAAAGTTTATCATTAAATAAAATCCAAGTATGAGGGCTAAACATCAAAGGAACAATTATTTGGTAAGGTTTAATAAAGATACATATTGTTTGCAATTCTTATAATTATTTTTCTGCATATGTGAATTCTAAAACAATAAATTATGATAATTGTAAAATATAATTATTTTAAAGTTAAGTATTGTTAACAAAAATACTTTGATATAGATTGTTGGAGTTTTTTACTATCATTTGAATGAATTTATCTTAATTCAAAAATTATCAAAGGAGATGTAAATGAGAATATTTGTTACTTTAAATAAGTTAATGAATTTTTTATTAAAAATGATAAAAGTAAAAAATAGAAAATCTTTGTTTCACTATAGTATAAATAAATATTTTGATATGATTGGGTTTTGAAAAATTGAATGAATACAATAATTTTTGTAAATTATCAAATCTTAGTTAGTTATAATATAATTATAGAAATGCTTGTATAAATAGCTTAAACCATAATATCATTTAAGTATTTCAAGAATTTTATTAATGAGTTATTCTATAAGATCCCTTTTATTTGATTTTTTACTGACCAAAGATTAAAGAGGACTAAAATTTATTAATAAAAAATAAAAATGATAAAATTAGGACATATGCTGGCACAAGAGCAAGCTAGATTGAGATTAGAAATACAAGTTGCGTCTAAATAAAAGAAATTTCGAAATGCTACAGCATCTAAATTGTAAAAAGCACACTAACAACAAGCTACCCAAATATATCAAAAACTTCGACATTGTTATAAGCTAGTCCAACCAATTCCACAAACGTTATCAGTTATAACTGTTCACCAACATAGTCACCAAAATATTATTCATTTTCTCCTGATCCAGATTAAATGATTGGTCTGAAGAAAAATAATGTATAGACATCTTACAAAAACAAACTAGAAACTGTTTAATTGGCACCTAATAAGCCACCTTTGAAAAGAGGAAATAAAGTTACTAATTTGAGAAATATTAATACAAATAATACAAGTTAGCCTCATTCTATTAAGAACGAGGAATCAAAAGAAAAACTATTAGAATAAACTCACTTTTTATGTGCAATAATGTAACACTAGCAAAGTACCACTGGTAAGATTGTTGCCAATTTTTTAAATGGAAATCTAGAAAAGAATAGCTATGAATCAATAATTCAGATGGAGAAATCTGCATAAGCTTTATAATAATCTGCGAAAGAAATGTCAAAAGCATTGTATGCCTCTGATGATGAAGGAGAATTTGAGAACCTATAAAATAGATTCATTGATCAAATCAGATTTTCCAAATACAGAAAACCAACTTAAGAGAAGAATATTATATTTAAGAGAAATTATGGTTAAAAACACGAGATGATGATAGATTAGGTGACTTAATAGAGATAAAAAACAGAAGAAAATTAAGATTTTGATGTCTTCATTCCAAAATCTTAGATGGATTAATTTTTTAAGTAGAATTTTGCTAATCATTTAGAATAATTCAGGATAAAATAGACGGTAGAATGAAGGAATAGACTGAATAGTTGATAAAAGAGGAGTAGAAACTTGTAAATGGGATGATAACAAATGTTAAGAAATTTCGCGAGGATATAAGGGAAGTGAAATATACAATGAATCATGTAAGAAAGAATAAAAAAGCATTATAATCGCAACAATAATACCCTTAATCTGCCTTAAGAACTTTAAGAACTATGAAATCTTAATCCTCTGCTAGATTGCAAAGTGACTAGGTTACTAAACTAGATGAAGATGCTAAAGCTGATTTAAAACTGAGAGTGATGAAGGCATTAAGGAATTTCATGGATAAATTGAAAAGATTTAACATTACATTAGAGGATGTAGTAAACAATTAAGTGTTTCCAACTTAAGCATACGAAAGACCCAACAGTGTTGAATTCTTTAGGCAAGTCAAAGCTGATAATATAAGGGAAATTGAAAATATGTTACGTGATTGTAGATTTCACGTTTATGATAGGGATAATTAATAAAAAACTGCCTTGCATCATGCTGTTAGTATTAATTCTATTGAAGCGATTAAAGTATTGGTGGAAAATGGTGCCGATTTGGATGCAAGGGACATGAGTAATATAATTAATATTTTTAGTGGGAAGAACTCCTTTGCATTTAGCAGCTAAAAATAACAATTGTGATATTGTTAGGGTATTATTAGTTTATCAGGCTAATCCTTCTATTAAAACTGTTGCAGGTAAAACTGCATAAGATCTCACTGAAATGCCTGTTATTAAAGCTCTTGTGAAAAATGCAAAAAAAGTAAGAATTATAAATAAAGTAGTTGCATTTCATGATGAATTTACAATCAAATAACAAGAAAAAAGATTTTTGGGTAGAAAAAGCAGTTGTCTATTTCCAGGAGGATGATCCAGAAAAGATTTTAAAATTACAACTCTATAAGAATCAAGCAAAGTTGTTTTTATAATGATTTTTATGATCCTAATTTTAACTTTACTATTAATTTATTTAAATGGAAGAAATAAATACTTAAAAATAAGAGGATTCCCCAGCTCCCTCTGGAAGTTGAATTGTTACTGTTGCGGTTACAAAAGAAAAAATATAGCCTGAAGAAGACTTTGAATTATAAGCACTATTTTATAAACTTAATTCAACAATTGATGAAACACCATTTCATGAAACAAAATGCCAAAAATAGAAGCAAGATTTATCTTACAAGGCTGAGTTCATTATGACTCATTTTATAAAGTTCTATATTTATTAGCTGGTAAGATTTAAATTTTTAAAGTTAGATGTTTTACATTTTTGGACCATTTGTTTATCTATTCCTTGTTAATAAACCAGCTTTAATGTTTAACTTAGGATTTTGGTCCTGTAGATAAGATGTAGTTTTTTAATATATTTAATGGGTAGGACATATAGTTTGCCTTTTAATGTATTTTTATTTCAAATCTCTTTCCTCATTAGAAATCGGTCAATTATGGTTTTCATTATTAACCAGATCTATTATAGTTGCTGCCAAATTCTCCACTCTTAATGAGGAGCGAGTTGCACTATATGAAAATACACTTTTAAGTAAGAACATTATTTATTTTGATGTTGTATTATTTGATTGGGCAATTCAATCCAAAAAAATCAAAAATTTAGAAATAGCAAAAGCAGCCAAAAGACATGGTTTTGATACATAATTCTTTTACTTTGATTTTTTAGTTGAACCATTAAAAGAAACACAAAATGCATTATTTGATGACAAAGAAACCTAATTAAATCTCCCTCTAAGGGGACTTATAGTGGAATAAATTTGATTTCCTATTTTATTGATTCGTATTAACAGCTAAACACAAGAAAAAATCAAGTTAGCGTGGCTCTCCTAATCAGCTTTATTGTTGTAATCACTCCAAAAGTTTTAGCTTATGAGAGATATCTATAAAACCCAGCTGAAATATTCTTGAATATCATCTGTGGAGTATTTTAGATTCTTTAATTTAATTGCATATTCTTATACCTACTGATTTCACTTGAAGATATGAAAAGAAAAATATTTTTATTAGATTAAGTGTATTATTTAATCAGCACAAAAAGAGTACGTTGTAATGAATTTAAATTAACACCAACAATTGATATCAATTGTCCAAGAACCATAGAGGCCTGGAGTATGTTAAGATCTATAGCCTTTGATTATGGGGCCTCTTACCACATAAGGAACTAAATCTATCATACTATTTTAATTTTATGTTCTGTTGCAAGTATTATTTTTGCTTTTTAAATTATTTTGGATTATTTCTAACTGGATTATTACTATTTGATTACTTTAGGGATTGTCTTTTTAATATTTTTGTTTTTTATTTCCTTATATTTGTTAAGTACAGCTAAAATTAATTAATTTTTTGAAGATTTTATATTTCATAATAGAAATAATTGTCTTTATTTACAAGGGGTATGGATTATTTTACCCTCCAAATAAAATAGGAATTGAAATATTCTTACAATTTTTATTGGCATTCTGCTAATTCCCTCGATTGATATTAGGATCGATTGGCAATAAAACTGAATCTCCATCATAAATTTTATGGTACCCAAAATAACTATTTTAGGTTTGTTTTACTGATTTTCCCTTGCATATTCCTTTATATATTTTTCATAGTCTTATAAACTTATGTTGTAATTTTAGAGATAATAATAAATGTGATTGCGTTGATATTTATTGTCTTCGAATTTGTATTTAGTTTATCAGCATTTTTAACTTTAAAAACTATGAGAAGCAACAATGAGTTGAAAATTATAAATATTTATATATAGTTAGTGAGCAATAAAAAATTTACATTATAAAATTTAATATTATAAATGGAGGACAATAGAAGAATAATTCATGATAAAGAATCATTAATTAGCAATTGATGCTTAGAGAATGAAGCCTAATTCAAATAACATTAGGAACTTAAATAGCTTTGATTTGATTAGAGCATATTGTAAAACATATTTAGTTATTTCCAAAGATTAAGATGGATCTTTTAATTATTATGACATATCATTTAGTCTTATTGAATGGATGGATTTATTCTGTTTAATTATGGTGAGAGGCTAGGTAAGTTGGATAAGACATGGCTTACAATTATAGATATTTCTATTATTTTTTGCCTGAAAAATAAGCAAATTAGCTCTATTCATACCCAAGCAATTTATTTTTGTTATAAATACACGCGTCTAAATATCCATTTACATTAGTTAGCCAATATGAACTTCAAGGCGAAAAAGTAACTTTAAGTGTTAGTAAAATTCTAAATTTTGATCATCAATATATAATTAATAAATAATTTATCCATATATGAAAATAATTTTTCAACAAAATTTTTTTGCAATTATTAAATTAATAGAAAAAAAAAAGAATATTTAATAACAATAAGCATTGTTTTATGAAAAGTAAACCTAAAGCATCAGTAGTAAGTTACAGGACGATAATTCTTTTTAATTCCAAAAATTTTTGATAATCATAATCTGAATTAGAATTAAAGGACAACAAACTGAAGATACAATAAATTAAGAACCACTAATTAGAAACTATTTGTTTCGCATAAAACAAACTTCCAATAAAGGTTTGAAAGCAAAAATTCACACTGCGACATCAGGTTAGATGGAAGGAATTTTCATTATGATTTTAGAGTTAAATTGATAATAATTCAAAAATTTCAGGTTCTCTAATCTTAATGTAATAAAGATCCTTATATATTTTGAGCAAAATTTAAATCCTCTCATCAGATTAAGATAATTCAGATATTATGTATATGGATTTATAAAGTAATAGTATTTTAATAAAAGCCTTAAAGAATTAAATTTGAGATTACAACAAGTTTGATTTTTCATAAAAGATAATAGCCTGTTTACCTAAATGGAATTAGTTTTTCAAAATTTAATAAATTCTTCTTTAATGGTAATTTTTAAATATTTCGTTCTTCAAATTGTGATTTTTTTAGTATCATATCGAAAGATTTACTATTGTGCATGGCTAAAAACTAGTCCGGTGTACGAAATTCTCAAATTGGTTCAATTTATTTCAAATTATTATATTTTATTAAAAAACTCATGGATTTGGATCACTATAACCCCCTTGTAAGGAGAGATATAAAATTGGATATAATTATACCTGAGCAAATGCTTCAAATATTTTAGATGTTTATACATTGGATCTTTGAGGTTTTATATTTATCCTGATATTAAGTTGGCGAGTAAAATAAATTGGAAATCAAAACAATTGAATTAGCTGCCATTCTAAGTAAATTATTTTTTTCAAAAAACCAAATCCATTCTGAAAAGGCAGATTTGCTAGGTATAGCTTCGTTAATGATTGCAGTAAAGGTTATTAATAAAATATATTCTTTAGTTCAATGAATGCCAAACCAAAATACAGATGAATATTCAAGACTGTGTCGACTAATGTCAATTTAAATATAGTTCTGGGGATAACGGATATGGAAATAAGTATTCTATCTCTTATTCAGTATGATGCAAATATTACTACAATAACTGATTATTTTGATGGTAAAGACGTATAAACTGACTTAGTATTGTTTGTAACTCTTGATTCTGAATTTCTATAGTTTCAAAAATATGAATTGTTTGAGGCAATTAGAAATTTTTATTCATAAGATACATCAAACTTATCTGAAAATACAAAAAATCTATTTAAATCAAATTGTCTTAGATAATCTGCAAAATTAGTACCAAAATTTAACATTTGACTACAAAAAGATGAAAAAATCACTCCTAAAATAAAAAAGAAAATGATTAAAAAAAAGGGATTTAAAAGATCAATAATATGCAGCTCACAAAGCATTACACTATCAAATAATATGATTTCAATTCTATTTTATGATTATAACCACTATTTAAATGGTGGATATTTAAATATGTTTTTATCTTCATATTAAAATCCAATCCTAATTATAGTTAATTTTTACATCCTGATTAATTATTTTAAATTTTTGGAGGGAAACCTATAGGAATTATGAGACATTTCAATTTGAATTATTTTCATAATATATAAAATACATTCTCGAATTATTATATACCCATATTAATCTTATTAAACATCTTCATCTAAATTAAATTGAAATGATTAAGTGTCAAAAAAGGTATCAAAATGTCTAAACACTTTCAATGAAAGCTTCCTTCCAAGCAAATTCATCAATCAACCCTTAAAAAAACAAGATATTATTATGAAATATATACTTGAAAATGATGAAGAATTTTTGAATTAAAATCTTTTATTTTTAATTAAAATATGGTTGTCAAGTCACTTGCTCACAAAAGAATAGTTCACAAGAGAACAAAGAGATTTGTTAGATTTGAATCAGAAGACTACCCCCACAAATTAAGACCAAGCTGGAGAAGACCAAGAGGTATTGATAACAGAGTCAGAAGAAGATTTAGAGGAAATAGACCTATGCCAAAAGCTGGTTATAGAGGCGACAAAAAGACAAGGTATTGTGAAATCAAATGACATTTTAGATACTTGGATTAAACTGGTTTCAGAAAATTGTTAATTACCAATGAAAAAGATCTTGAGTTATTGCTTACAAATAATAGAAGTTTTGTAGGTGAATTAGCACACAATCTTTCAGCTAGAAAAAGAGCTACTCTTGTTAGAAGAGCAGCTGAACTTAATGTTAGATTAACAAATGGAAAAGGTAAAATTAGAGCAGAAGAGAAAAAGGAATGATTAATTTCTGATGTACAATATAAATACATATATATGCATTTTCTATTCAGGCTGTCATTGCGATCATAATCAATAAATTACAAGGACTTATTTGTTTTATAAGTACTTGATCATGAATGATTTGATTTACTAATATTTTATATTATTATATAACCTTAGAGATTTGCATTAAAAAAGAATTTGAAGTAATAAATTTATTCATTACTATTTCTGAAAAAAAGTTTTCGAGCTATAACCTTAAAATTAATAATTTATGTTGATTTAATATGATTAGGTTCCATAATTGAATAAATATGATTGAGGTTTTAAATCTATCTTACTCTCCTCTAAAAAGCGGAAAAAGATCGGGATTTTATAAGAAATTGTCTCTAATATTTATTATATTTTCTTTAATTGGTTAAGCAGTTTCATCTTCTAAAGGTCCTATATATTTTGCCTTGATTTTATAATAAATCTAATTTTATTCAAAATCAGGGCAAGTCTTTATTTATGAATTGTGTTAATTGAAAATGATATTGTAGAATTTTAATGATCTAACTCTATTTAAAATTATTACAATTAGAAATGCACCTTATAAAGAATTAAGACAGAATTTCATTTCGATCAAAAAAAAGATATTTAATGTAATTATTTAGTAGTAAATAAAAAATAGAATTAAACAAATGTTATACAAAATAGAAAGAAACAGAGGAAGACATAATTAGTATGCAATTTTAAATTCTCTATTTACCTATTCCGAATAACTTGATATATCTATTTCATCTGATTACAAATTAATANCTAAACACTTTCAATGAAAGCTTCCTTCCAAGCAAATTCATCAATCAACCCTTAAAAAAACAAGATATTATTATGAAATATATACTTGAAAATGATGAAGAATTTTTGAATTAAAATCTTTTATTTTTAATTAAAATATGGTTGTCAAGTCACTTGCTCACAAAAGAATAGTTCACAAGAGAACAAAGAGATTTGTTAGATTTGAATCAGAAGACTACCCCCACAAATTAAGACCAAGCTGGAGAAGACCAAGAGGTATTGATAACAGAGTCAGAAGAAGATTTAGAGGAAATAGACCTATGCCAAAAGCTGGTTATAGAGGCGACAAAAAGACAAGGTATTGTGAAATCAAATGACATTTTAGATACTTGGATTAAACTGGTTTCAGAAAATTGTTAATTACCAATGAAAAAGATCTTGAGTTATTGCTTACAAATAATAGAAGTTTTGTAGGTGAATTAGCACACAATCTTTCAGCTAGAAAAAGAGCTACTCTTGTTAGAAGAGCAGCTGAACTTAATGTTAGATTAACAAATGGAAAAGGTAAAATTAGAGCAGAAGAGAAAAAGGAATGATTAATTTCTGATGTACAATATAAATACATATATATGCATTTTCTATTCAGGCTGTCATTGCGATCATAATCAATAAATTACAAGGACTTATTTGTTTTATAAGTACTTGATCATGAATGATTTGATTTACTAATATTTTATATTATTATATAACCTTAGAGATTTGCATTAAAAAAGAATTTGAAGTAATAAATTTATTCATTACTATTTCTGAAAAAAAGTTTTCGAGCTATAACCTTAAAATTAATAATTTATGTTGATTTAATATGATTAGGTTCCATAATTGAATAAATATGATTGAGGTTTTAAATCTATCTTACTCTCCTCTAAAAAGCGGAAAAAGATCGGGATTTTATAAGAAATTGTCTCTAATATTTATTATATTTTCTTTAATTGGTTAAGCAGTTTCATCTTCTAAAGGTCCTATATATTTTGCCTTGATTTTATAATAAATCTAATTTTATTCAAAATCAGGGCAAGTCTTTATTTATGAATTGTGTTAATTGAAAATGATATTGTAGAATTTTAATGATCTAACTCTATTTAAAATTATTACAATTAGAAATGCACCTTATAAAGAATTAAGACAGAATTTCATTTCGATCAAAAAAAAGATATTTAATGTAATTATTTAGTAGTAAATAAAAAATAGAATTAAACAAATGTTATACAAAATAGAAAGAAACAGAGGAAGACATAATTAGTATGCAATTTTAAATTCTCTATTTACCTATTCCGAATAACTTGATATATCTATTTCATCTGATTACAAATTAATATTTTAGTTGCGAATCAAAATGTTATATATAAAATTAATCCTTAAAACTAATTATCTAATGTGAATTTAATTAAAGTCCAAATTTTTGGCTTAATTGATTTCATATTTACAAATAGGATTGTTAACTACCTGATCAAATACATTACTATCAAACTCAAAATATCATTTGCGTAAAGAATCTACATAGAAACCAGAAAACCTTTTCAGTTTTATAAGTTTTAAGTGTTGTAATTTTTAAGTTCTTAATTTTAATAATAATGAACACTGTTTTATCTGTTTTGCTCTTGCATAGTTTTTTTGCTACACCAACATTATCATGTAATCAATCCTGCTTTTGCAAAACATATTAAACCTTAAAGGTTCGTTCTACTTTGAGAGGATAATATAAAAATATATTATAAGAACAAAAAGGAGCTTTAATCTCTAATAAGAAGTAAGTTGGATTTGCAGGTAACTAATTTAACCGAAGTCCTTTAAGATCTGAAGTATATGATGTAGGTTCAGGAAAAGGATACACTATTTCAAGTATTGGGCAATTTGTGATAATTGATTTACCATAAATATACGAGATTAATACAATAAAATTTTGGGTCTATGATAGAGATATTAATTTAAGAACATTTGATATAAAGGTCTAAGTTTAAAACTCTCAAGGTCTAATACAATTAATTTATGAAGACACAGTTGCTACTAGTATTACAAAAATAAAGTTTTCTGATACATTTGTGAAATAAATACTGTTTTATGATAACAATGGCAGTTCATTGAATTAATATTTGCATTTCGTTAATTTATAAGCCTATTTTGAATTTTGAAGTATTTATTTTTCAGACTTTATTCAAAGAGTTAATTTAATTATTGAAGAAATATATAATTTGTTCAATTTTTTAAGAAAGACTAAGATGAGTATATATGAAGAGGATTGGAATACTTAAAAAGTAATTTTGAATAATAGTGATTAATTATCACAAAATTACTATTATATAGAACAATCATTATTCTTCTTATTATTGATCATCTTATTTATCTTAAGCTTTTGGGGAATCTAATACATTAGGGATCTCATTTTAATTGTTCTGTTAATTTTAATTTCCTTCTTCTTGATGAAAAGATTATTGATTATTCTAATCATCTTATCTAGAGTCAGATTCCTTTTTATCTTGATTTTAGTTATCATTTTAATCACCATTGTCATCTTTATTTATATAATTCTAAAGATTTGGTTCATTTATCTCGTTTATCTATTCAATTGATATCTTAGATGATTAATCCTTATCGGATTCATCAATATGTGGCCTATCTTAATGTTGTTAGCCTCCCTCTTCGTCAGTGTTAAAATTTGAAAGATCCTTATTTTGATCTCTAATAATAATTATTTGTTAAATACTCCTTTTATTTTGGTTGCAGGTACTTTTCTGCAAATTCTTTAGCAGTCATAGTTAAAGCTGATTCTAATTCTTCAAAGGCTGTTTTTTACATTTACTAAGTGTTTTATAACTTTTATAGTAAATCCATTTCATATGTTTCTATTTGTTCAATCTCTAAAATAATTGCTTATTATTTACCTTTTTATTTTCCATCTTTTAATTTTTGCTCAAATACTAATTTCTTTCCTAATTATTCTCTTATAGCTTCTCTTTTTTCCAACACAATTCTTTCCTTCACTCTATTCAGATCTCTTGATTCTCTTATTATTTAATTTTTTTGTTTAAGAGTTGTTAAGGATTATTTTTGAGAACTCATTTTCCTAACTTCATTATGTTTGGTTTATTATTTTATTATAAATGCTTTTTGCACTTTATCACTTCGATGTTTTTCAATTAATAATTTATGTTCTCTCTCTTGCTATTTTCGAATTTATTGTTATTGTTCCTATTTCTTCTACAACTGCTCTTTTTCTTCTTCTCTCTAAAATATTCATTTAAGTAGATTTACTTTTTTCAGTTTTTCTTCATTCTTTTTTTTAAGATAGTAAATTTCCAAAGCCTTTTTTCGAGTCTCCTCTATCTTTTTTAAAGTTCTGATCTCCTCTTGTTTCAACAATGCCACTCTATTATCTAGCAATTGCTTATGGGCTTCAATAGTTTTTCTTTCTTTCTTAGCAGTGTTGTATTATTTAATTATATCCTTATCCTCATCAAGTTCGTTGTCATTTGTGAATAGATCATCAATATATGCTTACTATTTTGGAATTAAATCGTACTTTTTACACGCTTTTCTGCTAAGAATGAATATCTGTCATTTATTATAAATAATAATTATTAAATACAATATAACTGAAAACACAATATTTTTCAATATCTATTCCAATCACATATTTATAAACATTGATAAAATACTAAATTATAAAGAATCATTAAGAAAAACTATTTAAAAGGATTTATTCCTGTGGATAAGCAATTGATGTATTTAAACAAAACAGAGACATAGCAGACCCTATTTAATGAGAAGCAGACTATTTATATTTACATATAATATGGAACCAAGCTTTTGAAAATGGAATCAGATTTGTATTTGAATGATTCAATATATTTTATACATTTTGCATTTGCAAACTTTCCCCTTCTTATGCCATCCAGTTCCGTTGCATTTTAAGCAAATTCCCATTGCCCACAAACAATCTTTGCATTATTTGGTCTTACCTTTCTTCATATAGTATCCAGTCCCTCGACATCTCATGTTTAAATAAAATAATACAAATAACAATTGGGTCTTATTTTTATTTGAACATTTCCACCGACGTAAAATTATTATCCCTAAGGAACAACTATCGCTGTTGCAGGATATTAACCAGGGTATCTAAAAGAATGATCAAATATTTTACGGTTAAGGTGGGTAAGGTTATCCATAATTAGGAGGTGGAACATATCCAGGTTAAGGGGGAGGATATCCAGGAGCAGGAGGATACCCTGGTTATGGATACCCACCAACTGGTGGAGGATAACCAGGAGTAGGTGGATAAGGATAACCAGTTGGTGGTGGTTAATAACCTGGTTATGGATATGGAGGTTATCCATAAGCAGGAGGAGGAGGGTACTATGCAGGAGGATAGCCATAAGGTGGAGGAGGAGGTGGTTACATTAATAATAATAATATTTGTAATTTATACTTATGAGTTAGATTAAAACAAGTAAGTAATTTATTCCATATTTCTTATTTAAAGTTGTAGAAATACATATCGATTATTCAATATTGATTTTAAATTTAAACATATCGTATATATTGAATAGACTTATTATACCTACTATCCTCCAATATCAATTTATGCTACAACATTAAAAACCGAATTTAGTTTTTTCAATCAAAGTAAAATCCATTCTTAGATAGTATCTTTTAATGATTATAATAATAATAAATACAAATAAATCATTGTTTTCTATTGCAACAGGAGAAGGTCAAAATTTATTTTATAGGAGTAGCTATTCTTGATACTTTCATTTGAAATTTCTGACCAAAAGATTTTAAGTTCAATTGGTCCATCACCTACGGAGTCATCGAGTTAAAAAGCCAACCAAGTAAAGTCAACCTTATCTTTATTAGAACTTGGTACTCAATAATATATTATATTAAATTACTTGAAGGTCACCTGTATTGAACAAGGGGATAATCATCTAATTCAACCTTATATTATTACAACAGGATTTGATTCTATCCAATCTTAAACATTTACAGTTCAGAGGTCAGATTTTCTCCAAATTACCTATGACTTATAAATGTCATCAAATTTTGAGAAACCCTTTATTTAATATAACAGAGAAATTAAAAATAGTAGAAGAAAGAGAATTTACTTACTACTTTATCATCCAATGCTTGTGTTCTCTCCATGAATCTTTGAATAAAATTAAATAAGTAAAAGGTTGTATTTATTCGATGATCAAAATTTCAATGTGCAATCCCTTTCATTTTTGGTTTGCAAACTCATTTCACTCGAGATTTAGAAATAGATCCAGTTAAACGTACAAAGTTGTCTCCTTTGAATTAACCGTATAAATCCAAATTAAGTATACTTCATCCAATTTTTTTTCACTTTTTTCACCATTCTTACATAAGATATTAGTTTTTGGAAACTATTCAGTTAAATCAACAAGTATTTTATAAACTTACTTTTTCGCTTATAAAGTATAAACTTATTTTTAAGCTACTCTATAATAATTAATTTATCCGTCGATATCTGATGCAGCAGATAGAAATGAAGATTCTACTTGATCCATAACATAACAAGTTGTATAGACAAACTTCCCATAGTATAATTTTCCATTAGCCTCAGCAATGGTAGTAAAAATATTCACTATTCTAAAAATTAGAGTGATTTATAAATAAGGTACAATTTTACTGAAGTATTATTACAATTAAGAATCAATGCTTAAGACTCTATTTTTTTTATCACCTTCCATTTCATAAAACTAGTAATAATTGTGAAATCAGCTGTTTCAGATTCATCAGAACAAAATTTCAAACAGGATCCTATAAAATGACTTACAGAAGCCAGTGATCCCTAGACAATGACAGCATCTTACTCTGGTTTATTGGCTTTAGGAAATGCACTTTTAGTTAATTCATCAGTGGTTAAAATTTAAAAATCGTTTAAATTAATTTCATTATTTATTAGAATAGCCCCATTTAATTCTAAAATACCACTTAGAATTCTAATATAAACAGTACTTTTACCCTGGTTTTAAAATCATTTTAAGGCTACAAATCCACTATAGTTAACATCAAATTGGTTGCTATTTCACAGATATCTGTATTCGACATTTGAAATCCAACCAATTTCTAGGATTTGAGGTATTTATACGTTGGAGAATCAAGAACAGCCAATTAGTTCAATTGCAAAGGCTAACTAAATTCAATTGATAAATTATTACGATTATTGTAATTATTAAGATGAAATAGAATTGTATTTGCCAATGATTCAAAGGAATAAAAGAAGAAATCTTAAGATTAGTTTTATTTATTTCAAAAGACAAAAATTTTAAACTTATTTGTATTTTATATTAAACATTATTATCAATTGAACTATTTAATTGATGATATAGTATATTAGTCAGCCATAATTTCTTTAGGAATTAAACTCAAACCTAATTTTAAATATATGAACCTTATACTATGTAAATTTATTAGCCAAACGAAAAAAAAGATAAAAATTATCAAAATAACTGATCCAATCAATCCAAAAAATATGATAATCGTTAATTTATTTTAGTTCATTAACTCCTCATTATTTGATAATATTATATTCAAGACTTTTTCTGTACTCTATGTTGTTGAACTAAAATGCTCTACCAAAATATTGGTAAATTCTTATGTTAAATATAACTTATTGAGCTAATTGAAATCTGTGATATAGTTGATAGTCTCAATTTCATAATCGTAATTAGTTTTCATAAAATTGCTAACACTGCTAGTTATTCCAGCGAGCCCATTTTTTAAATAATCTCGATTATTATCTTATAAATAGAATTAAGAATATTTTTCAATGAAATTCTTTACTCCCAATTAATCAAATGAGCAAAACGGGATTTCCTGATTCATTATTTAACAAATATCCTTTTCATACAAACCTAACAATGTTTCTTTTTTAGAATCATCAATATCTTAAGAATATAAAATGCCCTCATAAATTTAAGTTAAATTTTCATCATACACTTCATACACTTCAATAAACATATGGAATAATTATTTTAATGGATCTCGATATGAATTCATTTATGATTGTGTATAAATTTTGTTTGACACAATTCCAGGATAAACTTATGGTTAGGTTTTAATCACTAATGCACTTGTTATTAGAGTGTCAAAATAAGATGAAAATCTGATAAAGTTAATTGCTAATTCTTATTAAGGTTATAAATTTTTCATTAAAAAATTATAAAAAAAATAGCCTCCAATTAAAAAGCTAAACAATAGCAAGAATGGAGAGAATATACATTTTATATTTCGATAGGAAGTATTTGTGACTCTTGAATTCAACATACCTTTTGCCTTTATTCTATCTTTATTAGATATATTAATTTTAAATACTTTTTTTTCTTCTCCTAACAGATTCAATGGTTATAATAAAGTGAAATTTTACGTTTTCCAACTAATTTGATCTATTTAAGTCGACTGCATAATTTATTTGTAATTTTAATGTAATAAAATCATTTCATTTGCTTTAAACTCTGAAAATTTGCCAACTAGAATTAACATTTTTTGTTTCTAATTTTCAAATTTTCTCCAGAAAATTAATTGAATTAACTAAAATATGAACAATATACAGATCTCTATTATTAAAACTATTTTTAAATTAGAATTATTAATTTATATCTTATTTTAATACATCTACTCTAATGATTCTATAAGCTCCTTATTCATATCAAATACATATTTGATATTATACCGCAAAGTAACAACAGCGTTGACGTAATCTAAATCTAATACTTTATCTTTATATTCCTTAGAGAATTAATTAAATGAAAAAAGATACTATAAAGTGTTCTAAATGTAAGTTATAAATTCTGTATATGATACTGTTTGTCTTTAAAGTTGTAGAAGTTTCAAACTAATATTTGGAAGTAATCCCATATTTTCAATTTCCAAGAATTTTGGGTACATATTACTTAAATTTTGAAAAGTCTCTCTTTCCATATGTTTTAGAGTAAAAGAGGTTTGATTTATCAAAAAATCACTTTAATTCACTATATTGAGTCCATTCATCAAAAGAGTCCAAGATAGAGCGTAACTCTAAAAAAAGTATCTATTGAATAAGAGGGGGGCATTTAAAGAATAGCTACTATCAATCTATTCAGAGAGTTAAAACCTAATAAGTTGTATATTATATGTAATCATTGAAACCAATATTAATATTGATATCACTGTAAAAAAAAAAAGTATTTTGAGATTTTTATTCATCCTAGGTTAAAATTAAAAAGATTTAAAAATAATAAGATTTTGTATTCTTAAAGTGTTAGAGGATTGACTAGATAAAGATTAATTCTCTTATTTATAAAGGAATCCAAGATCGTTTTCATAAGACTATAGCTTTAGAAAATTATTGCGTTATTAAAAATTTTTTTCACTGCCAAATTTCGAAACATCATTTAAATGAGATACTTGATTATACAGATTTACATTCTTATTTTCCTAATCCACTATTTATTGTATAGATTCAACCTGATCTTCAAATACGAATTATTACTTAATTTAGTACTTTTCTATTTGTTCTAAATTTTAAACATTCCTACTATTAAATTATTTAACAGCGTTGATTGAGCCAGTATTTTTTTTAAAGTCCAAGATCTCAATAATGAAATATGATCTTTATAAATGTTTTTTTCCGATAGTTCTATACTACAATTATATTTTCGCATGATATTCAACAAATTTAAATTTCTAAAATATTTATAGAATATACATTGTATTATTGCATAAATTCAAATACTTAGCTGCTAAATTTAGGACATAATAATTTGATCTCATCCGACAATTTGACACTAGTATTTATATAAAATCTGCCTGTTTGCAAATTTTATTTTTTTTATTTTTTGTTTGACTAAATTTTCGTGTTTGTTAAAATAGGAATATGAGATGCGGTTTTTAATAATGAATTCGCAATTAAACTCAAACTCGAAGTTTTATTTTCATAATAGTATTCAATTATTTTGGATAAATTTTCATATATTGTTATTTTGGTCATCAATTCAACTTAAAGGAAATCAGACTAATTAATGTTCTCTATTTAAGATTCCAAAATTGAAAATATATTTGTAAAAAATAGAAATATGTATGCTTAATTAATTGTTTAAGCACTTAATTCTTCTTGAAAGGCTTATTTGATTATATCAGTATAAAATCCTTATGTAGCTGATAGAATCTTGCCACTCTCATCGAATAAGATAAACTCTGATGTTTCCTTAACTTTTGATAAACATGCAGTTACTATGTAGTCATCAAAAAAACAGAAGTTATTTTCTAATTTTATTTACTAAGCTTAAACAAATTCATTTTTTAATTTGCTAAATACTATTTAATATTAATGAAATAATGAAGTTTATGCTGTTTCTAAATAAGATTATAAAAATTAAGTATGAATTTCAACTAAATATTGAGGAATGAATAAATTTATATGATTAATACTTTCCAATTCTTCAACTTCTAATCCAAAGTAATTAGCAATCTAATGTTTTTTAGTATTTTTGATTTATCCTCTATCTTTAACCATGCTTACCATAACCAAACATAAATTATCATGAAGAATATCAATATTACTAATAACATCATTAGGGAGAGAATTCTCAATTTATAAAATCTCAGATATTTATTATTCACATTTAAGAGAACTATAAAAATCATTTAAAATAATCAACAGAAATATTGATGTGATTCTTAACTCTAAAACACTTCTAACTTTTTAAATTTCATTTATTTTCATAACATCTATTTTCAAACATTTTTACAATGTGTCTTAACAAATCACTACCTTTTTTGAATAATCAAAAATCAATTTTTCTAACTCATAAATGGTGTCCAATCCGCGGATCTATGCACTCCAAATTTCTATTTTTTTGTCTATAAGTTACAATATCTAAGGCAGTATTTACTCTTCTATTTAAAATGCTTTAATAAAGTTTTTTACATCAAGATAGTTTTTTTCATAATTATGGCTATCACTTTCAGCAAGATCATTTTCATTTAGAATAATTTCTTCTAATTCCTTGAACAGATAACTAATTGTAGCTTTAAAATGATGTGAGATCTTTTGATGTTTTAAAACAAACCCTTTAAGTTCAACATAAGATGAGAGTGGTTATTTTTTAATTTTATTTAAATAGTCAACATAGTATATTTCTAATAATTCATAATCAGAACCAAAACTGACATATGTCAATTTTAATGCATTTTATAGCACACAATTAAGTACATAGTATTTTATTGATTTAGAATTAACCTTCTGATATTGAAGTATCTTTTTTAAACAGCTTGCACATTTTTTTTTATGATATTAAATAAATAATATATAAAAAAATAAATTTTACTGCTTTTTCTTCTTCTAATTTAATTCTATAAATGTATAAAAGAGCCATTCTACAAATTATATTTAATAATGGGATTAACTATCTCCTTAGAGTTGATAAACTAATTTTTGATTTTAATAAAAAACTGAAATAAGAACAAACAATGTCGCAACAATCAATTACACAACTATTAATTATTCTTCAGGTATTAATTTATTTTAAGAAATCACATTTATTGATACAATCAAAAGTAATCCAATGCATCCTGAGATTAAAATTAAAGCGAATTTTTGTATCTAAGGATGATATATATTAAAATGTAATGCATCCAAAAGTAATGTCAAAAAAAAAACATTCATTAATATCAACTACAGGGCATTTACAATGGGGATTCTATTTTAAAAATGTAAATAAATAATCGCAATTACAACCATTTCTCTCAGAAAACATAATTGACTAAATTTTTATACCAACCCATTATCTTTTAATAATCTCATTTTCCTTATAAAATATATGCTAAAGAGACAGTTATAGGTTAAAACAAGTATGGATAATATATTAATTGGCAAAAATACGTGAAATTAAAAGTTTGAATATAAAAGAGCTCTCTAGCTAAAAGACATAGATCCTATGAATACAAATAACTATGGGATAAAAAATAATTTTGGGACTAATACTAAATACCAATATGTGATAGTTAGTATAAATGAAAGTTTATTCTTAAATTTGACAATCCAAAATATTGCTGACAAAATAAATAGGTTGAATAAAAAGAAAAGTACAATTAATACTTAAATTAATGCTTCTGATTTTGCTTCGATTACTAAAGGAAAAATCAAGATAACGTTTAACAAATTTTTCATCATTCTTAAAGCACCATCTCTATAATTCCATTAATCCCACCCATCTATTGGAAATGCTAATGTTAATATTTGACAATAATATATTAGCAGTATTACTTTTTGTATCTTTAAGTTTAAAGTAAAGTTTGGCTGATACATTGAGACAAAACAAAATCCCTGTAGCATATATTAAATATAAAAGCAATGATTTATAATTACAAAAATACATACCCAAATTTTGAATTCTTTATTATATATATTTGATTTTGGATTTAATTAAATTAAATTAAATAAATTTCAACATACAGAATATCTGTATGGTCAACGCGTAATATCTATGATGATTGATAAATCATTGAAAGAAAGAAGATAGAAGAAAAAAGTAAATTGAAAAATTATAAAATTTTCCAGAAATCATCGTAAAGTGAGATTGAGCATTAAATGAGTTTCAATAGATAATTATATTTGATCAAGTCAGTATATGAATTTGAATTTCTAATTAGTATATGAATTTGAATTTCTAATTAGTATATTATATTCTCCTTAAAAATGAAAACTAAAATTTTTTTGAATAAATGATAAATTCATAAATGAACCTAATTAATTTTCAAATGCAAAGTTCTTCTATAGCTCTGTACCCTTGTTATACTATCCAAAATTCGTGAGGAACTAGATCAAAGAAACATTCTCTGGCTTCATGGCTTAAATAGAAATAAATATTACTTTAATACAACTCTTTATGATTTTTCTTGTAGTAATTTGTAACTTACCCAAAGTGCTAAGATAGATCAATTATTACTTTAAGGATCATGGGTTGTTTTTTATTTTTTTTTCAGTAAATTAATTTATTCAGTTAATAAATTAAAAGTGAATTTAACTTTTGGAAATTTTTCAGCCTTCAAATATCGATACTTGATAAAATTCTTTTATTCTTCCCATTCTTGTAATAGAGTTTCGAATCCTTTGCTATATTAATTTATTTGTTCCTTAGAAAACAAATTAAGTTCAATGGCCATTTCTGCAAATCTAGGGAGAGTTATCATTTTATTTTTGGACAACTCTTCAATGTAATCAGCATAACTAATGAATTGCTCTAATGCAGTATTTTTATCATATATGTTATTATGGATTGCTTTGTATAAATTTTTGAACTAAAAATGCTAAATGTATAATACTTCTGAGAATTCAATAAGATTATTTCCATCCAAATCTGCGGCCTGAAATATCAATTTCAAACTATCTTCACATTATCTTTTTTTTTAAAAATAGAGATTCATTACCTATATCATTACATTCTCAAAAACAATGGCTGATATTATTACAATAAAATTACATTTATTATTAGTTTGCTTTAATTGCTGTAAGAGCTAAGTGATATAGCTTTATCCAAGAAGCTATTAAAGAAAATCATTGCAATATTCAATGAGCTATTCATATGTTAAATTGATTTCAGGTTTATTTAATTATATTTCTCTAAATAAATTAGATACTTACTTATTATGAAAGTATTTAATTGATTCCACAATTAATTTATAAACAGCTTCATCCATTTCATCATCCATATAGCATAACCTTGAGATCAAACATAATTTTGGGTATTAATTTTTCTTATGAAAGATGAATTAAAGTAACTAATGAATATTATATTTAATTGTACCTATTTAATTTTTTTTTCAGCCACATTTTTAAAACCATACTTTTTTAAGAAAAAGTCATAAATACTAACATGCAATGGAATTTTATATCCTTCTTGATTTTTTGCAGTATCAGCTAAGATAGTATTAAAAATTTTGATAATTGACGAAATAGGGATGATTGAGTCTTTTTGTTTTTTCATTTTAACATTCATAACCTCGTGTAACAATGAATTTGCAGCATCTGTATTTTGACTATAAATTCTTTTGACCCTTTTTTCTTTTTTTAAATCAGATAGCAAAGATAATTTGATTGCAACTGGTTTAGTGAATCTTCTTTTCTAAATATTAGCTCCTCCATATTATTAAACAAGACTTCTTATTTTTTCTATTTTCTTAATGTCTTCTTCTTTTGCTTTGTCCGATAAATCATCACTAGAAACTAAGGATAGATTTTCACTCTCATTAACATCACTTGATTAATCAAGAGTATTTATAGTATTGCTAGACTTTTAGTGTGTATGCTTGACAACTTTTGAATGCTTTCTTTTTAATTGCTATTACTTCGGTTCATCATCCAAATCCTTTATAGCTGATAAACTTTTAATCTATAAGGATTTTCTATTTGATTAATTCTTAATTGGAGATAAATTTTTTTATTTTTAGTGTTGTTATTCCAAGTCCTCTATGCTTTGACTACTTTTGCTATTCTTTCTACTGGCACTAGTGTTTAAATTATTCTTATTTTAAGAATTTTTGACATCCTTTGAGTGATTTGATTCACTATTTTTGATATCTACACTCAAATTGTTATTCTCCTAAGTGTGATCTTCCTAATTTTAGTTTTCTTATATTTCTTATTTAATTAGATAGTCTTCTTCAGCAGAATTATCCTAAAATTATTTGAACTCCTCATCATTCATATTGAGATTTTAATTGTTTGATTAGTCGAAATCAAAATTGTGTTGGTTTTGGTTCTAATTACTATATTATTAAATGTTTTGCATTATTGAATCCTCTTCACTTTTCTCGTCACTTTCAATAATGTCTTCTTACAGAGCATCCTATTGATTAAAGACCGTGGAGTTTCTAAATGATGGAGTTTTCACTCCAGGTGAATTAACTAGCACTTATGGAATATCTTATTTAGGAGGACTACTTTCACTTTACACTTGAAATCTATAGAATAATATTTACTAGAATTAAGGCGATTTTATAGGAGTGTTTGGCTCTTCTTAAGTTTTTTGATTTTCTATTTTTTCTTTTTAAGCAGTTCTATAAATTCTTAAGTGGCTTCTTATAAGGTTTGTTCGTAGTATTTTGCATTTACTTTTTGTTCTTGCAATTCAAGCATTTATTCAATAAATTTCTTTTTTATTTCACCATCAGACTCTGATTAATTGCTATTGCAGAATTGTAAAAGTTCTATTAATTATTCTTTGTAATTCTGAGTAATCTCATTTTTTGAGATCTAACTAAAATTTCATAAAAATGATTACATTTTGGGACCTTAATCACTCCATCTATGATTGAATAAATTATCAATATGATCGAATAGAAATGAAAAAGAGGAATCGGTTTGAACATCCTCTAAGATAATTAAATATCATACTATCTTCTGTGTTAATTGGTATCATAGCCCTTGATTGCAGTTTCAACATATTTTAGTATTGAAATGTTGAATTTAACTAATCAATATCTGTTTTTGATAATCCTTGCTTAAAATATTCTTCATCCTCTCTGAGTTATTCAACTTTCTCGAATTGAATTGAGGTTTTCTTTTGTAATTTAGAAAACATTGTATTTTTCATTGATAATAGATGTGCTACAACGGATTGGCCTTCTTGGATTCCAATTTTAATCTTTTGAGTAGTTTATGTTTGTTAAGAGGAGTGAGTTTCTATTTGCAATTTAGTTTGGATTAATTCATTATACACTTTATTATGATTGTCAGTCATTTCATCTAATTGAGAGCCTAGTAGTTTTATCTCATTGGTCAACTAGAGATTTTTTTTGGCTAAATATATATTTTTATCGTTCAATTCTGTCTTCTCTGATTCCAATTATTCTATTTATTGTTTTAATTAATAAATTTCTTATTGCAATTGTTGGACAAATGTTTGATGGGTCTTTTGAATTCTATGAACTGTGTCTATTGATTGGGCTTCCATTTCATCAAAATTCATGGCTACATTTTAGATGAGCATTTCTATAAAGGAGACAAAGGAATTCCAAATAATTAATAACAATGTTCCTCTTTCTTTGCATTCGTACGATATTTGTCTAGCCAATTCATGGATGCATGTTTAATAAACTTATTGCAATTAATTTGTTAAATCAGTTATTAATCGCAAATTGTCGGTCTTTAAAGCTTGAATCATTTTATCAAACCACAATAACAGATCAATAGCTTGTTGTCTATTTGGAGGACATTTGGTATCAAAGATAGTTTTGCACTCCTATTGTAAAATCGACTGAAGGTAATATTTAAATTAATGTATCTTGATGTTTTGGAGTAAGGGAGAAAAATCGATTGTTTTATCATATATTTTTAATTCAGCAGGATTGTCTATAAAGGTTCCTTTTACGTTTTCCTTAATAATAGATGTGTAGATGTTTGTTCTATTGGCTTAACTGTGCTAAATATATAACCGATAATTTTACGAATTCGTATAATTATGGATCTCGAGCAATATTACTTAATGGTATTTTTGGAGAAGAGACAGAAGACTGTTTATTAGTTACATTTCGAAAATTGAGATAGGAAACATCGGAGTATGTTTTTAATCTGTCAGTCTGAGATAATTAAATGTTTGATCTGCTCTAAGTTGTTGTTCGAAATGTTGAAATTTCTTATAGAGAATCTTTGATCGTTAAATTCATGGTGATTGACTTGGCCTTTGCTTTTGTTTGAGGCCGCTTTGGCGACGACAAATGGGGAAGTTTTTAGGCATTCATAATTAGGTATAATTTTTATTAAATTACTGAAATCTATTTAGAACAAATTATTTATATATATGAGTATTACTATCCCAATTTTTAATATGGCTCACTTCATTATAGTATTAACCATTGTGTGATTGAGGATGATATTCAAAAATGTTATAACAATAAATGCAATTATTTAAATTAGGCAATTGATTTGAACATATGCATAAACTGATTCAACTTACTCTGCAAATTCGATATACCACCTTTTTATTACTAATCTTCGTATCAATCTGATGAGTTAGAGAAAAATAATAAAAAGAAGGGATTAATTTGAATTATACCTATAATTTAGAAATAAAAATTAATAATTGGCAGATAAATAATTATTACATCATATTAAAATGGTTTAATCTTACATTCTTATTTTAATCACTCCAATATATCCTTCTTTGTATATGAGACGTGTCTTTTATTCTATTATGATTGAAAATATTATTCTTTTTCAATAGTTTTATGTTATGAGAATATTAGAAAAAATGTTAATCTCTATTTTTACATACTACTTTTGTTTATCAATATAAAAATAAATAGAATTGCAATTGCTAGCTATTCCAAGTGAAAGTAATATTTAACAAGTTGAGTTGAATATCTATTTATAAATTTATGTTAACAATAAAAGCAATATTTTAAATAAATAAAATATGGGAAAAGGGAAAAAATAATCAAGGTCGAGGACTCCTAAAAAGAAGAATAGATCTAAATCAAAGGAAAAATAAAGGTCTAGATCTAAGGAGAGAAAATAATCAAAATCGAAAGAAAGAGATAGGAAGAAAGTAGAGACCGGATTGGGAAGATCAACCGGTTGGGGAGTAGCTTCACAACCCAAGACTGGAAATACAGATGACTTTTTGAGAGATATGTACAATAATCCAAAAACCTCTGCCACACCACAAAGTAGAAGACATTAAAATTTTTAGCTGCTCAAGCCTTGATTGTTCCATAGTCTCACACAATGCAAACACAGATGCAATATACATTTGTAATGGTAATTAGCTATTAAAGGTACCTGGTATGAATCCGACAATATTAAAAATGCTTAATGACCCAACAAAAGTAAGAAGAAAGATTAAGATTCCTCCTGATCTGTCATTCAATTATATTGGTCTGATTATTGGACCTAAGGGAGTGAGTCAAAAAAAATTGGAAGAAGAAACAGGAGCTAAAATATTGGTTAGAGGCAGAGGATCTTAAAAACCAGAATAGCCTCCTCAACCTGATGATGATGAAGATTTACATGTTTTAGTGGTCGCAGAAACTCCATAATAGGCAGCTAATGCTTGTGATAGAATAGAGAGAATATTATTAGCTGATGCTGATGAACGTAATAATGATATTTGATTAATAGTATAAAGATATAGATAGGAATAAATGAAATTAATTGCCTAATCGTAATAAACTCCTACAACAGCCCAACCAATAGCATCAACTGGAAGTGTAGATCCTAGTGATTTATCTATGACTACTCCCTATGGACCCCCTAGCAAGGATGCTTATGTGTATCCAGTGCCGAATGAGTTTGTAGGATTAGTTATAGGAGTAAAAGGAGAAACAATTTAATAATTGAAAGAGAAATCAGGATGCAAGAATGTATAGGTGGCTGCTGATTCTGCTCCTGGGTCTCAAACAAGAAATGTATTTATTGTTGGGGATCCCGATTGTGTGAAAAAATGCTAGGGTTTGTTATAAGAGATTATTGATACTCAGAGAAAAGTCAGGACTGCTCCTGGTGCTAAGAAAATTGAATTCCAAGTACATGATTAATTTGTAGCACTAATCATCGGCAAAAAAGGAGTGACTATTAAAGCTATCAGCGAAAGAAGTGGGGCTTTTGTTGCCATCACTTAAAGTCCTGATTATCAAGTCAGACCAGATCACAAGGCATTTGTTTTAAGTGGAACTGAGGAATAACTGAATATTGCCATCAGAGAAATCGAAACACTATTAGAAGGAGCTAAAAAGTAATTAATTTGTGATAATAAATAGAGCTTACTTTGCTAAAACTTGTGTAGATCCCAGCACCATCAATATTCCAACGTAAACTAACATATTTAACTTAGACCCTTGTTGATTAATCCTCCGAATGCTTTGGCTAATTATTAAATTACCAACAATGAAATGGCTCCCTAGTAAACTATGCCAGAGTTTAGAACTCCAGAAGAATAAGGTAAATTTAACACTTATACTAATTATCTTTTCTTTATTTATAGTGGCTTATTAAAGATAACTGTAAATGTAAACTATGCAAATGCAATACTACATGATGATACCAGCATAACAGGCGGTTGTAGAGGAAAGAGTCATTACAAGGGATAATCGATAAAGATGATTGTGAGACAAACCAAAAAAATATTATCATTTAAAAATATATGTACGTGTATTTATTCATTCTTCTAACTATCGTTGCTGCTGAAGACTATTACAAACTGTTAGAAGTATCACCGGATGCAAGTGACAATGACATCAAAAAGGCCTTTAGAAGGCTCTCCGTAACCTATCATCCAGACAAAAACCCAGGAGACAAGCAAGCCACTAAACGATTCCAAGATATCAATAAGGCTTACGAAATACTTACAGATCCTGAAAAAAGAATGATCTATGACTTGTAAGGCCTTTTCTTAATATTTCTAGTTATGGTGAGGAAGCCCTTACAAATCCACAGAATTATAATAGACAAAAGGGCCCTAATGCTTAAGCTGAAATTCATGTTACTCTAGAAGAATTATATAATGGCACGGATAGAGAATTTACTTTGCAAAAGAAAGTTTTATGTAAGTAGTGTAAAGGAACTGGATCAAAAGATGGAACATTAAAAATCTGTAAACATTGCAATGGTAGAGGCTAGAGAATGCAAAATGTCAATATGGGTATAGGATTCACTGTCTAAATGCAAACTGCATGTGACAGATGTGGAGGAAGAGGTAAGATTAGTTCAGGAAATTGTTCTAATTGTAGAGGAAATAGAGTCTAATAAACATCAAAGACATTACAAATAGAAGTAGAAAGAGGCATGACTGATGGATAAACCATTGTTTTCAGAGGAGAAAGTGAACAGAGTCCCGATTATTTCCCAGGAGATGTCATCTTTTATTTAAGATAAATGAAACACCCTTTATTTGAAAGAAAAGGCAATGATCTATATATGGATATGGAAATCACATTAAAGGAAGCCATTTTAGGATTTAAGAAGAGAGTTAAGCATTTGGACAATCATTATGTTGAAGTTGAAAGCAATAAAATTATCTAACCATTTGAAGTATATCAATTATAATAAAATTCTATTAGGTCAAGTAAATTGCTTAAGAAGGTATGCCAATTCATTAACTCCCAAGTGTAAAAGGTGATCTGTATATAAAATTCATTGTTAAAATGCCAGCAAAATTAAGTGAACAAGAAAAAGAATTTATTAGGAAAATATTTGCTTGAAAATATAACATTATTTTATTACAAATTTTTTATTTACATAGATTAATTTCAATTATAAATTTTGATTTACTTCTTTTCTATTTATAATTAATTAAAATCATTCATGTTTAATAATTCTATCCCTTAATCTTTTTAAGATAGATATCTTAGATTTAATAACAATAAATGAGAGTTTAATAGAGTATTTACAGTGATAAATTCAATTGTAAATTTGTTAGTAATTAATATATTTCATTAGCAGAATGATTATGATCCCTTGTGATTAAATTTTGATTTCTCATGAGTGTCTTCATGAGAACTCTTCATTCTTGCTTACCTATTTTCTAAATCTTAAATCCAAAACTCCACTTAATCCTTAACGGGTCTTTACTTTTAGGTAAATCTGGAAGTCATTTATTTTCTTTCGTTTTCCATTTGAAATAATCTCTCTTTAATTGAAGGAAACATAATGGCAATCAAAGGAGATCTGGCATTAATGGCAGCACATCTGGTTGATTTTATAAAGAAAGGCTTTAGATTTGACTTTTCAACCATCATCTCTCTGTCTATGCTCTATGATTTTAATTTAAATTACTTTCGGCATGCCCCTCCTGGTTAAAATTCTTTAAATCAACTCATTCTTAGATAAATCATCATCTGGGTTGAAATCTTGCTTGATAACTTTATAGTCTCTTGCTCCATAATGTTTTTATTCTATTTTTTCATTTATATTTCTTCTTTTTAACAGATTGAATGGGTTGGTTCTGAATATCCTATTAATTTCTTCCTCTACGTATTTGAAATCACTCTTGTCAAAGACTTCTTTCAATACCTAAGTAATTATGATTATTTTACTTATGTAATAAAATAAATCAAGGTCTCAAAGAATTTCTGGTCTTTGATTATGATGTTGTATGTGCCTTTTTTTAAAAGTATTTGAGAATAGATTTCAGATATCTCCTTTAATTTTTAATTAATTTTATCTGTTTCAGATGATAATAATTTTGGAGCTACTCCAGTTCTTTCCTTACTTTATTGATCTAAAATGGCTTATTTCTTTTCTAATTTGTGGAGTTCTACACAATAATCATATATAGTGAGTAAGAAATCCATGAATAGTCTTTCTGTAATGAATTTACTAAAATCTTTAGGTAAAAGTAAATTAGGATTATCAGCTTTTGTGCGTTACATGAGTTCATACTTATCTTCAATGATTTTTCTAAATAAATCATCAATTTCATATTTGGAATGAAACTACCCAAGCATTATATAATAATATTAATATTAATATAATTATATGCTGATTAAAAGTAGTGAAATTCTTGTTTAATAATCAACAATAAGACATTTAAATGACTAAATTTTATTAATAAATATAGAGAAAAATTAATTTAAAAATAACTAAGATAAAATTTATTTCCTTTATTCATAAATAAATTTATGTAATTGCCACCATAACCAGTTGGAGTAATGACTTATTACTCTGATTAATATGAACCTTAGTGTCCATTATGTCAATCAGGAGAGCATACTTCGTAAACAGAATCTAATTTCGTTTAGTCATCACATGCAATGACTGGATAACAAATTCGAGGGAGAGGTATTAAATTTAAAAAATAATTAGTTGTGTACACTTCTCCTGAGAGAATAGTCTCTCGAAAGGTGATCGAAGGTGTCGCTATTTCACCAATGTAACTCAGATAACAATAAGCAATAACTCCTCCAAGAGTGATGCCAATAACTTCTTAAATAATCAATACACCCCCCATCATTTAATAGAAGTCCCCAATATTGGTTCAACAATCTCCAGTGATTGTATAGCAAGCTCCTATTCAACTACAATAATCTCCTATGACCATCAACACCTAATCAAATGTAATCTAATAGGCTATTTATCAACCACCAATTTAATAGTAATATCAAGTGCAACCTCAAATTTAATAGGCCTAAATACTTCAAACTAACATAAATACTTAATAATTGAATTAATAACTTTAACAATCTCAGTTAATATAGCAGGAATTGTTATTGAAATAGAAAGAATGGGCTGAGAAATACTATAAATAATCTGAAGAAATTCAATACAACAACTTAGCTTATTCTTAATTGCAAGCCTAATACTAAGAGTAATTAGAATAATATGAGGCCTTGAAACAAGCTTATTCAATAACTACTTAATATTAAAATCAAAATTTTATTCCTTCATTTTTGTAAACTGTCTAGTATAAAGTAATAACCAAAGACGGCAATTCTTAATATAGTTAAGAAGAAATTGAATTATATTGGAGGCATCAGGTTTATCAATTAGAATAACAAATGTATTAATTGTGGGAGAAGATTAATTAGAAAAAGTTGAAAAAGGATTTGCCTACGAAATCAGAAGACACTCAAAAAGTAAAGAGTACATTATTAATTTTAGATTGAGTAATTACAATTGGAGGTTGGACACTTAGAACACATTTAAAGAATGAAAATGAATTCTGTAGTAATATTGAGAAATAAACTAAATGATCTTATGTATTAACATGATCCAGCCACAGAGGCTACACGAGAATATGATTAATAATTATAACAACTCAGATAAAAAGTGATGCAATTGAATTCTAGATTGACTGAAGTGCAGGATGAAATACAAATGTCAGAAGCTTAAAATGAAGCAATCAAGAGTGGAAAAGGATTTAAATTTGTTTCTGTTAAATAAACTACTAGCTAAGTGAGGTAAGTAACAAATTCTGTAAGAACGAATTAGGCTTAAGATTATTAGGTTTCTTGATTATACATGATATTTAAGATTAATAATTCTAATTACTTAGTATAAGTCTTAATTAAGCAAAATAAGTTTATATATTTTTATATATTTGATGAAAAATGAATTGTAAGCGATGCCAGAAATCAATGAGAGATTGGAAGAATTGATACGTAGTACTCATCCTCCAAAAATCTAAAATGTTGTATCTACTGTCGATCTGGGAACAGAATTAAACTTAGTAGTCATTTCTAATGGGGCAAGAATGGCCGAATACAGTACTCTTTGTAATTAATGTAGATCCCAAGCGATTTTCAGCTGTGATTATGCGATTAAGTAATCCAAGTACAACTGCTCTAATATTTTAATCTGGAAAAATGGTTTGCACAGGAGCAAAATCAGAAGATTAATCTTTGATTGCGGCTAGAAAATATGCAAAGATTATTAACAAATTAGGTTTCCCTGTTGTGTTCAAAAACTTTACAATACAGAACATTGTTGCAAGCTTCGATTTCAGAAAGCCAATCAAATTAGATGAATTTACTAAAGATTAATAGTATCGATCAGTCGTCTAATATGAACCTGAAATCTTCCCTGGATTAATATTTAGGAAAATTACAGACCAAAAGAAAATAACTTTACTAATTTTTGTTAGTGGTAGATGTGTAATCACAGGAGGAAAAAAGACAGAAGATTTAAATAATGTTTTTAAGTTTATATTGCCAATTTTGGATTAATTTAAAAAAAGAGATCTAGAATATTGAATTTTATTATTTATTTTTAAAGGTTTATTCACATTGTAATTACTTAAATAGATTATGATAGATGTTTAAAACTATCCATAATATAATTAAAGTTTCTGTATATAAAATAGAAGTAGAAGTATCGAGGATGAATAAAATGTTATTGTAAAAATTAGAACTCTATGAATGACATAATAACATTAAAATTTCTTAAGTGTTCTTAGATTAGATTCGACATCAAAATACTTATTAAATTATATTTAAGCGACAAATTACTTTTTTGTTAAAGGATAAGAAAATATTTTACAAATAATGAGTGCTTAGGCAGTACATAAAAGAAAAAAAAATTATTGTATTATTATAAATTACCAAAATGCTAAATACAAAATATATAGATTAGGACAACTTATTTGAATTGATTATATTTCAAGGATATAAGAATCTTGTGTTCTATTGGAATTTCGCTAAAGGAATGGTCAATACAAAATCAGAGATTCAAGATCTTTTGAAGCAAAATAGAATACAAAATATATATGGTGTAAGTGAAGGTTTGAAAGGATTTAGTTAAGCCTTTTCAAGTGAACCAATAACTAATTTCAGATACTTCTTAACCAGCTATTTCAAGTTCACCATTTATGAAATGTGTTCAGGTGTGAAAATTATCTTACTCTCAAACATTTCTGATTAAACTGATTATTCAGAAACTCTTAAGGAGGTGTACACAAACTATTTGGAAATTATCAAAAGAAATCCATTTTATGTTCACGGAGAGCCATTAGATAACCCTCTATTTATAGAAAAAATTACAGATATTTTTGAGCCATTTCAAAAGAAAAAATGAATTGATTTTTACAAAAATTAATAAATACAATATATAGAAACGATACCCTTTATTTGTAGTTTCGAAAGAATGATCAAAAAATATATGAATGATTATATTTCGCAATAGTTTGATTGTTTTCATTGAATTGAATTAAATGAATTATAAATATCAGCTGATATTAGCTTAAAATGTATTAAATAATTATTAATTATATGTAAGTTTTTTATGTGTTTTATTATTTCTATATTGATTTATTTGAAATGAATTAATTTTAATACAAAAAATGAAAAAACATGATCACGGCCAGTCTCGAACTGGCGGCCTCGTCCTTGTTAGGGACGCGTGATAACCCCTACACCACGCGATCAATGGATAACTATTTTCATTGTTAGCGCTTATTAAAGGGATAATATTTTTCTATTTATTACATTTTGATAATCTATATAATGTTCATATTTTCATATTTCTAATAGAATTTAAAATGGGAAATCTAAGGATTTGCGTTTTCTTTTTTAGGTAACATCCAATTTTATTGATTGTTTTAGTATAAATTTGCATCAAGATTTGTTCTATCCTTTTTGTTACTAATAGTATAAAAATGTGTATTCAATAATGTATTTTAATGGCAATTAGGTTTATAAGATACAATTAGTATAATTGCTGGAAGATCACATAATATAAAAATTTAGACAAATCCAAGGTGTTGTTAGAATCAAGTAAGACTCAATTAGGGATAGTAAATGATTAATTCTTGGGATTAACAAAACAAGGAGATATTAATAGAAACCTTAATAAATAAATAATTATATAATTCCACTTAAATATCAATAATTAATAATTATGAGAGGGCTGTTTCAAAAAGAGCTTCAATCATTTAATCTTTCTTAAAATACACAATATACAATGACGGATTTGAGATTTCGGTCAAGCAGTGTAATTGTTGGATGAATTTGAAAGAACATAAATATGAACTAGAAATTTAACCTAATAATAGCTTTCCTGACATCTGATAATTAGGACCTCCATTTCCTTTTAGTTTTAATTGGCAGGGGAGATTATTTCACATTTGAGTGATTTTCGAACTTAATGAGAGAATCTGCAGGGTGATGTGGGCAAACAAGAAGCAGGAATGTTTTGGAATGAATATGGAAATCGGAGATTGTCAGTAAATTATTTGATTATAAAATTAATTATATGTTCTGAAATCTAGATTGAACTGTGGATTTATGGGGATCTGTTAAGCTCACTTGTAATTGTTGATAAATTTAAAATTGTTTATCATAGATAACCCAAAAAAGTATGTTGAAAATTGTTTTATTGATATTTCATATTTTTTATGATTATAAATAAAAATTAGAATGAAAGTTGGTGAAAAGATCGAGAGAATGGTGATGTCATATTATATCAGTGATATCATATAACTTAATATCATTTTATTTTTATTAATAAATCCTTTCATTATTATTTTTTTAATGAATAAAGAGAGCAACAAAAACTTTGTTTCATTATTTGATGAGCCCAACAAACCGTTATGGTAAAAAACTAAGCCTGACTTTAAATTATATCAAATATCAAGCATATTGACAATCAAAAAAACAAATTCGTAATCAATTAAAAAAGGGAAGTTTTTCATCTCTAATGAATATTTGGTAGAGGTGGACACTGCTTACAAAAGACACATTGATCTCAATAATATTATTCTAGAATAAACTAACTAGCCATTTACTTTTAGATTAAGCAGAAATAAAAAATAAATCGAATTTACTACTAATGAATAAGAATACTAATTATGGTTTCAGTTGATCAAGAAATATGCTATTTAAAGATCTTTTAACGAAGATTATAAACTATTGAAAATATAAGGTTAAGGAAATTTTGCCAAAGTAATCTATTTGTTTTCAATTCTTAGGTCTACAAGGCAATCGGTAGGGATAATTTTGCATACGCTGTCAAGTCCTTCGAGAAGAAAAGCTTCAAAAACCTCACTCTCGAAAGAGTAATATTTATAGTTTCAAATATATTAGGATGCTTTAAAATTAGAGATCAGCATCATGCGAAAAATATAATTCTAAGGGATCATTAGATTATATGAAGTTTATGAAACTGAACATCATATATGGTTAGTAACAGATTATTTGGAAGGAGGGGAATTATTTCAGTATCTTCGAAATTAACCCTAGGGGTTTAACGAAATTCAAGTAGCGTTGTTAATGCATAACCTACTAAACTCGTTAGATTATTTGCATTCTTAAGGCATTATACATAGAGACATAAAAGTACAACATCATAATATAAAAAATAAGCCAGAAAATTTAATCCTTCGTTCACCACTCAATGCATCTGATGTGTATATAGCAGATTTTGGATTGGCTGATTATTACAATCCAGAAGGCAAATATTTATTCAAACGATGTGGAACTCCAGGATACGTAGCACCTGAGATATTATAAGAGAAAAATTATGATTACAAAGTCGATGTGTTCAGTGCAGGAATTTTAATGTTTATAATGTAAGTGAAGATTTACAAATATAAGGTTGAGTGGACAATCTCCATTTCAAACTAAATCAAAAAATGAACTTGTCATCAAAAATTATAATTGTGAAATAGATTACACAATCAATAATTTATAACAAAAGATTAGTCCTGAAGGTAAAATTTAGATTAACTCTAGCTTTACAGCTATTAATGATTATGTTATCTCCCAATCCGCAAACTAGGTACACTGCCAAATAAGCACTTTGCCATCCTTGGTTTATAAAGTGTTTCGCTCCTGTCTATTAAATGAGTCCTCCTTAATTATATATGCCAACCAACGTGATTCCATAATTTCAGCACTACCCTGACATCTTTGCAAGGAGTCCAATAATGAATTAACTGCTAAACCAATCTATTTCAAATCTTTCTTTATCCGGATCATCAAGTATTTTATATAATCCACCCTTAGATGTAACACCTTAAAGAACTCAATCAAATTCCTTACAAGTACAAAACCCATGCAAAATTGCAATCGAAGAAGATCACTAAGATTTCGAAGTTATTTAGGAAGAAATTTGTTAGATTCATGAAATCAATAAGTATTCAATCAACAACCAACGAAAGCAAACGCCAGCTTAATAAAATAAATTCACTTAATGATATTAATAAATCTTTATTTATTTTATTGGTGTTATTAAAAATTAATGAACAGCTATATCAAAATATACTTCATTTTTTTTGATTCTCTGTTCCCAAAATTACAGATGCCTATTTCTATAAAACAGAAGATGTTCCTTGATTTGGCTTCTATTAAGAATATATTATTTCCTATTCCACCTCCTACAATTCCTACTCAGTGACCTTGTAATCCGTAGTGAATATATCCAAAAATTCCATGAATTCGCAATAATTGTATTTTCTACTGTACACTTCTGCCAGTTTCTTGGTGTTAACCTTATTCTTATATAATGCGATAAATGGAACACCTCTGCGCAACTAATCCAGTGAAATAAATAGAGTTGGATATTTTACATCCTTAATTCTTTAAGGAGTATCTGAATCCATCAAAGCCTTAAAAAGTGACAGGTAATGATAAACATCTTGTCTTGATAAGTTCTTCTCTAACACTATTTTCTCGACATTTATCAATTGTAAGATTTCCTTAAATTTTTGATTATCCTTCGCACTAAAAGATTAAAAGGGATCCTCTACTGATGTAATCTGTTTAGATTTCTTCTTAAAAATATGTGTATTTTAAGGTAAAATATGATCATACGCATCCTCTTAGATTTCTTCTATTGATTTTTCATCCTCATATAATAGTTTCCTTTCAAAATGCTCTTCTTCTTGAGGTCTAAGAAAATGTTTCTTTTAATATAATTATATAAAAGTACAGTTTTCAGTCTGACTTAAATAGATTATCTCCTCATTGCTTTGATCTTCTTTAATCGCAGTCTCATATTCTCTTCTAGATTCTTTAATTTCTTAGAATATTTCGATTTATTTGAATGGATGTATTGTTACAATACTTTTAAGTAAGTATCTTATTCTTTTTCGTTCATTTAAATGATAGATTATTCAAACATCTCATCATCAGGTTCCCTAATATTATTTTCGATTTCAATATAATATTGAGAGGGTATGGAGGTTTGACTTCCCATCTAAACTTATCGAAAATAAAATGGCAACAAATTTTCTCTTTTACAAAAAAATCTGCTGACCTCATCTTTGCTTCTAAGATCTAATAGTTTAGTTGCTAATTTTGGATATTTGTCGACTTAAAATTCTCCCGAAAGATTCAATTTTGATTTCATAATACTCCAAAAATCGAATTAGCCCTAATTTAAAGTAAATCATAACTTATAATTGGATGTATAGAAACTTCTCGTACTGTGGGATTTAAGTTAATGCTGAAATTTCAATACTGTCCAAAGTGAATGTCTTGGCAGAGGGAATGTAACTTCTGTAATGTAGGATGTCAAGAAAATACGAGAACCATTCCTTATAATTTTCTTGAATTTCCTTTTCATTAATTATTTTCTCATAGACAGGGACGAAATAAGGAAACACACTTAATTCAACTTCATTTGTTCTGAATATACATGAATTATAATTACATTGATTTGACTTCAGTTTGGGAACTTCTCAAATGAATATTCTGATGTGGTAAATAAATTAAGATGAATATAGGTCTTAGACCCTTTTTTGTATTTAAACCTACTTGCACAATTTTTTATGATAAGTTTTATTGTATTACATCTGTTTTCCACTGAGTCTTAAATCGTTCTAGATGATGGATTTCTTTTTGTATTTCATATGCCTTATTAATCCGATTTACTTTGTTGTTCACCTACCATAATTAGCTTTCAATTTCTGGACTTAAACTTCTAAATTTGAAGGAGTCTGACCTTGGTGAAGCACTATAATTGTCTCTGGCGAGAGTGGTGAGTTCAGTTATTATTGGCTTGTTGTATGAATTTTTTGTAACTTAAGTATACATTTTTTGGCTCGATTTATCCCTTTCAGTTTTCTTAGGTCTGTTTTCTGTTTTCAAAATAGCAGCATTTTGGTGTTAATCACCATCAAAGTGCAATTAGGCTAATTGATATTTCCTCAATTTAATCATATCTTCTTTGGTTTTTTAGAGAATGTTGGGGAAAACAATAGGCTTGATACCAGTTGGAATAATATATTTATTAGATGAGGTTCTGGAATTTAGCAGATGAGTGCTTGTTTTGCTTGTTTTAATTACGGATTCGATTAATGGTAGTCTAAATAGAAAAATATTAAAATATGTCAATACTTCTCTTCTGTAAATTCTGTTTCGATTCTCTACTATTTAATCTTGTCGTCAATCAGAACTATTGGAATATATTCTTTTTATTATTACATATTGAATTAATATTTAATATATATAAATTTTTGTTTTAGATTACAATCATTCCCAATCATCTAAGATTTCCACTTTCTCTCCAGAAGAGCACATATTGATGCAGAAATGAATATCATCATTGTCTGGGTTATCAAAGGTCAACACTATAGCTTAAGTATCATTTGGTTTATTTTTGCATGTAAATTTGAGTGTCTAAATTTGAGAACAAGATTTACCTTATTTTCTAAACTGACATCCACAATAATAATATCACCCGTTGTAAAAGTGAATGATTTCTAGACCATATTCTCTTCTTTTTTAGAGTGAGACCAGGTGTGTGCGTTTGAGGAAATCATATAAGAACCATGTCCCAAATTTTAATGATCAAATTTCATACTTAAATGTTATAATACTTTTTTACTTCTTCAAGGAAAGTACATTTTTATAAGCTATACCTATGCCAATGAAATTAGTTAAATGTGTAATCTTGATGGCTATTTTACAAGACTCCAGAATTTGAGGTTCAATCAAAATGAATCTATTTTCACTATTCTGATTAGCAGTTTGATGAGCATTCTTTTGTTCTGTTATTGTAATCGATGGAGATTTAAGAACAGTGCTGAATGTGAAATTTGGTGAATTTTGGGCTTACAATGGTTGAGTGAATTTTTCAATAGGCTTAGAAATTTTGGAAGTTGATTATTTGAATTACGTAAGTAAATGATTAAATTGAGCAATTGCCTCTTAAGACTACAATATTTAGTATGAATTAGATTACAGCTTTTTAATATTAATCAAATAATCTCTAAGGTTTGAAGTCAATCTCAATCTTTCCAGCCTACAATTAACTAACATTATCTATAATCTTTCTCACATCCTATTTGAGTTGATCCACATTCTTGTATTGACTATTGAGTATTTACTAAAATATTTATGGAAAATTCATTTATGTTTAATTTTATTCCAACAATCTTTGTCTCGTGTTCTTGTGACTTAAATTGATTTAATCTTCCAGTAGTTTTATTTATCTTATAGTAGTATAAATAATATACAAAACCATTTTTTGCACAGTGTCCTTAAGACTTGATAATAATTTGGTACGCACTTGATCTATCTAAGTCAATAATTGATCAATCGAATTTTGATTCTACTTTCCATTAACATTATTCGAAATATCTGCAAGGAATATCTTTAATGGAATCACTTTATGTTTTGCATGTTTTTATGATCTACAAACTGGACAGATAAGACCCATTTCTTTGCAAGTGGTATCTAGACAAACAAAATTTAGTTGCTCTCCTTCATGCATATCTCCCAGAGTGCAATTCAAATAATTAATTGCTCTAGTCTTAATATCCTCTGACATTTTATTAATGATATTTAAATAAAACACGAAATGAACATCAGGTGGGGGGTGGGAATTAATAATAATACTTAAAACTAATTAATTTCATAATACAACTATTCTGATCGGAAAAACATTCAACTGATCGGCTTTGCTCATTTGCTCATTTTCATCACAAACTTAATAAAGAAATAACACCAAATTTGAATTATAAGTTCAACTATAACTAATAAAATGATCTATTCATTCAAATTAAGAATTTCACTTTAGTGATTGTATTGATTTGTTTGATTGAACATTGATCCTATTAGTATAATAGCAGAAGTAAATGAGAACAATTATAATAAGTTAGTTAATTAACGTATGTTGGATACTTATGATTTTATTTTTATAACTTAAAACATATATAATAAAAAGAATATATAGAACTTAATTGCTTCAGTGTTGGGTTTAGAACTTATGAAAACCACACTATTTTGAGAAAGTTAATTTGAAGAATAGTTGAATAATAGTCCATTTATTGAGAACTCTTGAGTTAAATAGTGAGAAAAGGCATATAAATAATATTATGCTTTATATAAGTTAATGAAAAACCTAAATATTCAACATATTTACCCTCTAAAATTCCGTGATCTTTCTTTCTTATAATGAATTGATAATGAGTTTTTTTATAAAATTAATTTTTAATTTATGTAAGTCGAGACATTCAAGGATTAACTCTACGCAAAACTACGATAAAAAAATTCACCTTAGAATGATAAAGGATTAATACTATTATAGTCCATTGAAAACAACCTTAACCTTGAATAAAGAACTAATCCTACTGCGTATATTGCATAATTGATTAATTTATTGAAATCCGCCAAAGAAGGTTAAGATGTTATCATTTTGCTAATTTATAAAGTAATAGCAATCTTTATGCAATTTAGATATTGCCTTCAGTTCCAATTGTTGTAGTAAGAAAGTTAATTCCTGCTTTATTGGAAGAAATAGGAAAAGTCTAATTAGATAATCTAAGTGTTGGTGTTTTTGGTTAAATCCTAATACTATCAGCTAAAGAGGTATATGATAGTTTCTATTCAAGGATTTGAACTCTCCAAAAATGCATTAATTGTTCAATCTTTTATTACAGCAAACTATAAGTGACAAGAAAAAGCTGAGAAAATAGGCAATCAAAACATTATAAGCTTTTTATTAATAAAAAGCATTGGATATTTAATAAGTTCCTGAAATAAATGAAAGATTGAGAACTCATTTCAAATCGAATTTACAAGAAAACAATGAATGTGCATAACATTCACTCACACTATTAGCATCTCTTAATAATCTCATTCCTTATTCTATTCTAGTTGATGCATTATATGTAATAATTGAAGAGATTTAGAATATGGACAGTAAATATTATCCATTTATTTTTCTATCTTTAGAGGTATATGTAGTTTCTAAATAATTAGTAAGTACTTTAACAAAATGTTGGAGCAGATTAAGCTGAAAAATTGATATAGTAACTAAATTAATTACAACCAGAAGAAGTTAATGCATAACATGCTTATATTTAGTGTATTAGATAGTGTTTGCTTACATTGAGTTAGAGTTCTTTATCTTTGGCTGCATCCTATTTACCATCAACTTTATCTAATATGGCAGAATTACTCCTACAAAATAATTAAAAATTAATGCAACATTGCAGATTAGAGATGATGACATTAATTGAAAAAATTGGAAAAGCCACTCTCTCTCTTAAGCAAGATTTGGCTGAAGATATTATGAATTTGGAATTAGAAAGTGCAGGAACTTTACAATAAAAATACATAGCTACTTTAACCTATTTATTTAGTAATAGATTTGATCATGCTAATATTCTTGATGTTTTTGCTAAATTCTTTGCGACTATTGATGATAAATCATTTGAACATTGTAAAGATATAGTGAAAGAGTTTGTACATAACAAGAGTAGATGGCCACATGTATATTTTGAAAAGACATTTGGTCAATTATGTGTTGGAGTAAGCATGTCTAATTTATTACACACATTTCCACTTAAAACAGAAGGTGTCAATCCTTTGGATAAAGATTTCGATGAAAAATCTAATTGTTGGATTCTGTATATATTAAGTAAATATGCAAATCCAAAGTTGGAAGAATTCCTTGATTTTCTATTTCCATTAACAAACTTACTTTCCTTAGCATCTAATGCAAATCCATCGCATGAATAAAAAATCATTCAAAATATTCTTTTCCATGTATTAGAAATAGCTTCGAATTCTAAAGCAACTTATGAATCTTAAAATCACCAAAAACTAGGTTAATTTATTGAATTAACATTAAACTATTTGAAAAAGGAACATGTATTTTTCGAAAAATTACTATTGATGATTGCCAAATTATTCTCGTAGTTAGTCACCTATCCAGTATTGTAAAATTTTGCCAAGCAATATATTTCCACTTTGGCCAAATTGGTTGAATAAAATAATTGCACTCACACTTTAAATGCCATTAAAGTAATGAGCTTTGCAGCACCAAAATCATATATCTAAGAAGCCTTCAAGAAAAACATAGAGAAGTTACTATCATCAAAAGATAAATTGGATGATAGAGCTTTAAATAATATGGATATTGTATTGTAAGTCGTAAGTGCCTAATAGATGACTTCAGATCTCTGGGATTACTGTATTAATTTTGCCAAGGAGATGATTAACATACCTTTAATTTAGAAGAAGATTTATAAATTCTTAGTAGCAATATTACCAAAGGTTCATCACACTTTCTTGGCTGAAGTCTATAATTTAGTCCTAGAAGCCGAATGCGAACCTAGTTCTCGATAAAAAAGATTTTAAGTAATTTTACAATTGGAACAAACTGTAACCTCAAAATTAGATAGCTATTAAACATTCATATAGTAGTTCTTACCTGAGATGGTAGTTGCAATTAGAGATAATAACATTAAGACTCGTATTTTGGCTGAAAAGCTAATAGAAAATATTGGATAGAGATTATTGGGATTGGATCTATTAGACTAATTTATATCAATGGTATTTGCAGGATTGGCAGCATAATCAAATGTTATGAAAGCAGATGCAGTGGCTACAATTTCATTGTTGGTTGATAAATTCTATTCAAATTTGAAGGGGGAATTCATTGATGAGATGACTAAGTTAATTTTATTATTGTTAAAAGAATAAAATAATGAGATTTTTAAATCCATTATATTATATGTGAAAGTATTGATCAAACATAGACATACATTGAATTCATAGCTTTTCACTTAATTGCTTAATTTAGATGAGGTATCAAGAGACAAGAACATTATACTGTTAAAAAGATTACTAATGAAACTTAGTAAAGCATATCCTTCAGCTGAAAGTTTAATTCCACAAGAGCATATTAAATTATATAAGAATGCTATAAAAATAGAGAAATAATAGAAAAAAAAGAAGAACAAAAGAGATTAGGAGAGAGAATTAAATAAATAGAAATGGTAGGAGAAGAAATAGAAAAAATAAAAAGATTCTGATCTTGAAAGTGAGGAAGAATCTGAATAAGAATTAGAAAAAAGGCCAAAATAATAGTAAGGTGGTATGGAAACTGAAGCAGAAGTAGAAAACAATCTTTTGTTAAAGTATGATTTTAAGAAAGAATAATTCCATTTTGAGGATGCAATAAAATAAAAAAAGAAAGTGTAAGAGAAGGAATAACAAAAGCAATCTACAGTTTAACCTTTGGTTGAGTACAAGGATGGAAAGGTCATTGTAAATGAATAGAAGGAGGTTTTGGGTTAGAAGCGTAGGAGAGAGACTGCAAATAGCGATGATGAGGAGCATGCTTAAAAGAAAATAACAAAAAATGATCGAAAGACTAAGGATGTTGTTCATGTGGTAAAAGAAAGTGGGTCTACATTCAAATCCAAATAGAGAGCTGGCGGTGATGTAACGGTAAAAGGAAGGCCTGAACCATTTGCTTTCATATAATTAAATCCAAAAGTAATCCAAATTCATATAGCTCATTTTAGGCTCTCAATAAAAGATTCAAGAATCAAGCTAGCAAGGCATTTGAAGAGGTATTTTCAAAAAAGTCAGGTGCCCTTAAAGGAGTAAAGGCACACAAATGAAAGTGTAATATATTATTTAATCAATATAATTAATTAAATGTTAGCATAGAGCTAACAATTATAGTCTGATCAAAAACCAAAGGCAACATCATCAATAGGTAATACAAGCTTTACTCGCATATTTACAATACTTCCATATTATAAATTCTGTTTGCATTTAAATTTTAGAATACAGTTCCCTAAAACCTCCACGACACCCTCAATCTGACTAAATAGATCAAAGTAGAATACAAAAATAAATGGGCTAAAAAAGATACAAGAATGAAGAACAAGAGGCAAAGCAAAATGGAAAGGTTTCTTTGCCTTCTTTACCAGGAATAAAGAAATAAGAGATTCCTAATTTTGAGCCCTGTACTTAAAATAAATAATATTGCTTAGAATAAAAGTTGATAAATATCGCAAATTATGGAAATGGCCTAAGAATTCCAAGTAGATTGCCAAAACTAGATGCAAAGAGTGATGTTCCAAAATAAAAGCATAGTTCCAATGGTCCTCAAATGAGAAGTCCAAAACAATTGGATGAAGAGGCTCCGATGCCTCATTATTCTTCAGTAACACCTGAAAAGAGACAATAATTTAGTCCTGAAAGATAGGTCTTAAACAAAAGGAGATTGATGGCAAAAACATGGTAAGGGGGACTATTTGCTTCAAAGACCAAAGCTGGTTGTCTTCCTAATAAGACATTAAAGACAAATTAGGATGCTGCCATCTTGTTTCCCAATAATTTAGAACAGTAAATTGTTAAGATCATTTAGAAAGTTACAATTGTTCTTTAATTGCAGTGGGTGATGGACATGGAACAAATGGACATTTAGTATCAAACTTAATTAAATAACAACTACCAAAATACTTGGAGCAATAATTTCAGACCTAAGGAAGAGATATAGAAAAATGTTTAACTGTAGCTTTTGAGAAAACCAATAAAGAGATAATTGAAAGTGAATTCGACACGACCTTATCTGGATCAACAGCAGTGGCAGTCCTAATAAGAAAGGAGTAATTATGGACTGCCAATGTTGGTGATAGTAGAGCCATTATATGTAGAAATTAAGATGGATGGAAAGCAATCTAATTGACCAGGGATCATAAACCATCTGATGAATAAGAAAAGTAAAGAATTATTGAAGCGGGAGGTAGAATTGATAGTTAAAGAGGTTAAAATACAATGATATCTCCTAGATTTTTATGGTAATTAACTAGGACCAGAAAGAGTTTGGTTATAATATATAGATGCTCCTGGATTAGCCATGACAAGAAGTATGGGTGATAAATTAGGAGCATAAGCTGGGGTTATTAGTGTTCCTGAAATACTTGAATATACTATCACTCCTTAAGATCAGTTTATAATAGTGGCCTCTGATGGTGTTTGGGAATATCTTACTAATGAAGAAGTATTCACTAAATATTATTAAGGTAATGAATGTTGTAGCTCCATATATTGAAAAAGATAATATTGATTTGGCTGCTGATAAACTAATGGCTGAAGCTATAAATGCTTGGAAAAAACATAGCTTAGCCAGAGATGATATAACTTGCATTGTTGTTTAATTGAAAAATTAAACCTGAATTTTTATAATTTAAGTTAAAGTCAGAAAACTTCAATTTTTTCATTTTTTAATCAAACTTGTTATATCATTCATTTATAATTTATAGCAATCATACACAATTCTTATTTATTTTTGAGGTTATTAATTAAGACTATGAAAATTATCAATTCGAAATATTTTAAGAATAGACTACTCTAAAATAGATTAATAAATAGAATTCATTTTTAATTTAAGGAATCTTGCTCAAAATTATTGAATGAATCATAGCAGAAGTTATAAAAATAGCTTATTTATTATTTGATTTACACAAATTATTTTTCATTTAAACTCAACTATGGTTCCAAAATATGTATGTTTTATCACTGGATGCTTAAATAACACTTCTCCTTAGAACATCTTTATTAGTCCTGAGCAAACCTTCTCCCATCCAGTCAAATTAGTAAGACTATGCAAAATTGGACTATGCTCATGGAATGGTCCTTTTTTAACCTATTTTTAGTATAAAAAACAATGTGATACATTATTAATGAAATCTATACATTAAAAAAACATGTATTCTGCTTTGTAATTCTTTATTACATTCTCTTTGATAATACAATCAGGAAGTAAACCATCGTCATTTTGTATCTAAGAATTAATTCATTTTCTTACTAATTCTGCAGCTCCAAATACGAATGGTAAAAATTAATAGTCATCCAATCCCCAAACACCATGAGAACCTGCTGGCTCAAGCATGTAAGTCATCTGGACTTTTCTTGCAAAATCGATATACCTAAAATTGTAGTTGGTGTTAATGTACTTATAAAATGCTAATCTCACTATTCCTTCGTAATCCTTCTCAGTGTAAATGCCTAATCTAAATAAAGAAAACAGGAAGAGGAAGAATTAGAATTCATGTCCTGTTCCATAGTCAATTCTTTGTTTGTTTCCAAATGAATCCAATAAATAAGATCGAAGTTCCACAGCAGCATTTTGCAAATTCTCTGGTAGTTACTTCTTCAGATAATCATCAACTATGGGGTTAATTTAATCAAGCCAATCTCTAAAGGCTTTATTGCCATATCTCATTGATTATTAGATTGGTGGCACTTTCAAAAGTAACTGCTCTAACTACACAAATAATTATTCTAATTGTAAGATGATAAAATACAAATGTGAATGAACTTCTCATTTCCTTTTGTCTATGAAATCTTCTTATTTTAGATCGATTGTATTAGTGATTACAAGAAAGCCAATAATTCTCCTAGTATTTTTGTCTTCTTGAATTTCTCAACATCCTATTCAGTTATAATCTTCTTCTCCACCTATTGGAATTGGTGATTTGACCAGTCATATTATTTGTCCATTTAATGTGAGAAATATATTAAAAAATTATATTAATAAATATTCCAAATATCCACTAATATTATTAATTTTATAATTAGAAGTTCTAAAATTCATCCCTTCAATTTTAAATCCTCTCTAAGTATCATTGCAATTCCAATAGCCTCTATTTATCTTAAGAGATTGGTTATTTACTGAGAGATTATGATATCTTAGGTGGCAAGATTAGATATATTCTTAAATTAGAATTCTTTATATAGAAGTTCTGTTGACGTTCTAAAAGCATTAGATTGTTAGATCTTATTCATAGTTCCTCTGCTAATTTTATGTATTAAATAGATTTTGAGGAGGGAGTGGGAGAGAAATGAATATTTAAATTGAAGCAATTGGTGGCATTGTTTAATAAGTGAACATTAATCTAAAATATTATTTTCATTTTAATAAATTTAATATTATCTGTTATTACAATATAATCTTAATCACAAAATGAAGGGAAGCTCATAGAAGAATAAAATCTTAGAGCAAATTCAGAAACAAAGACGTTCTTAATCAAGACAGAATGATTCTAAAATAAATTCCTTGCATTTCTAGGGTATATAGATTCAGGAGTTTACCAAGGAGATCGATGATTATTTACGAACATTTTCGAATTTATGTATTGCATTTATATTATGGATAGAATAATTGGGATTTTAGAGATGTAAACTTGAATCCCTAAACAATCTCTCAGATTATAAAAATATTAATTCATTGAATTTAGAAGAGAATGCTTTGGATGATGGAAGCATTAAATTGATAGTTTAGAAATTTCCATCTTTAACATTTTTGAATCTGAAGAAGAATCAAATCAAAGAATTCAATGTATGACCCATCCATTATTCACTAGGAAATTGAGTAATTAAAATAACTTGACCAATTAACACACCTATTTCTAGATAAAAATCCGGTTTGTGATGATGATAATTTTACAACCAAAATTTGGGACCTGCTGCCCAAACTAAAGGCCTTGGATGGAAAGGACAAGAAAGGTAAGATTGTAAGGGAAAAGACCGAAATTTACGATGATGATGAAGAGGATGAAGAAGAAGACGAAGAGGAGGTATAATTTGAATAATATCAATTTAGATAGATGACGACGATGATGACAGTTTCTCTATATCTGATGACGAAGAAGATGAGGAATACAGTGAAGTGGAAGAAAGTGAGTCAGAAAGCAACAAGAAGAAAAAGAAAGTTAAAAAATGATACATTAAAACATTTAATCAAAAATATGAACAATAACTAATTACAAATATATTTTATATTGGCTCTTTGCTTAGAAAGGAGAATTAAATTATTGGACATTACAATCATGTGAAAGTAGAAGATATATCTAAAAATTAATTGGAGGATTAAAAATATTAATAACAGTCATAATAATCAAATCAACTCATGAGAACCATCATCATCCATTTAAATATTTTCATCTTTCTCGATCAACTCCTCATCAAATTTCTGATCTTACGAATCATTTTATTCAAGGTTAATAGGTTAATATTATTGTTGTTATTACTATTGTTTTGGTTATTTCTATTATAATTACTATATTAATTTCTAATATTAAAATATACAAATACATCTGATTTCGATTGTGGAAGTTAACTCATTTCAGTTCTAGTAAAGTATTCCTTGACTTTATCTTAATTATTGTACACCCAAAATAATCCGAAAAGGATTCCTCCAATAACAAGCCAATCGAAGATCCAACCCTTATTATTGGGACAACTGAATCTCATTGAGGGATGTTCAACTCCGCCCTCGCAAATATCTCCTGCTATTTTTCTATATCCACTGGAAACAGTATAATAGTCATTGCATTCAGCAGGTGGATCAACATTGATAGTGCCATCGATAGGTACACATAATTAATTATTCATCACAAATCCTAAATCGCATTCATAATCTTCCTATGAACATTGGCATGGTGTGACACTTATGATTTTCTCTAATGTATCAGGATTATAACATGCTGCTTCTCTCCTTTTTCTCATGTATGTTACCTTTTTACCGAATAAACATTCTGGATTGACCAAACCAGAAGGTGTCCATAATTCATAGTCACTACCAACTTCTCCTGGCTTATCTTAACCAATACAATTCCTTTAATGCAATTCATCTAAATCTATAGTAGCAAGTAATCCCTATTCAGTTTTGATGCCATTAGATTCTAATTAGATAGAACCATATGCTATGAATCTGGTTCCTTTATTCTAAGGCTCAGTAATAATATTTTATATTTCAGCTTTTTAATCTAAAAAATTGAATGGAGTCCATTCCATTCCACCATTCCATGAGAAAACTATCTGATTGGTTGTCTCCTAATCTTTAGACATAACAATTAATCCACCATGATTACTCATTTCATAAATATATGATCCCTTTTTTATTTCAATCCAAGTTAAACCACCATCTCTACTCAAATAAGTGTTAACTTGATCCTATCTGTAACTTAAATACTTTCCTATTGATCCTGTTGCAACGATTATTCCTATCGAATTAGTTTGAGTATAGATTGGTGCAAATTAATAAAATGCTTAACTAAGATGAATATGTAATGAACATTTATTGCAATTTATTGGTTTTCCATCTGCATCAACTGTGGGTGGCTAATCATAAATTTAATAATTATACTTTCAATGGAACCCATTAGCCTCCTTTGTCAAAGGTAATCCTTGTTTACTTGTATTTCTTCAAATCCTCATCTTTAAATCCATTTTATTAAGCATAGAATCCTTCTTCCATAGCTTCTAAGACTTGATGAGAGTATATTTTAGCTTAATCTTCAGCATAAACATTAGCCAAATAGATTCCTTCTAATCCTTATACTCTATAGAATTCTGCACTGTTTTCTAATCTGGCCACATTCTCCAGAGATCTAGAATACCTTGTACCAGTGGAGTCACTTATATAGATTACTCCCAAAGGAGAAGATGGCTTTAAATGATTAACAACCATGAAAACTTAATTTTCTGAAGTATCCAAAATACTGTATGAGTGTTCTAATAATTTTGAATCAGCATCAATAATAGTATATTTATATTATCCTAATTCAGTGCCACTCACATATAAACTAACCTCTTAAGTGTATTATGATGTGACTTTAGCTACAAATAGGAAGGATTCCGTCAATAAAAATCTTGAACCTGCTGGTACACTTAGAGTACGAGTTTAAAAGAAATCATCGCTGTAATATAAATTGGCATCCATATTCCAACTACTAATTGATTAATGTCCTCTTCCTTGAGGATCAAATGATGCTAGAATTCGTTCTTTTGGAGTGTACTTAGCCATGTCTTTGTTTTTGACACCCCAAGTAAATTGATTAACATAAGTAGCTATGGAATGCCATGTGATTCCTGTATCCTGACTTAACAGAAGTTCCTTGTATGAGACACAAGGCGTACCAGCAAGAAGTTCATCTGAACCACATTGTTTCCATGCAGAGGCTAGAATCCAATCTTTCTCGATTGGATGAAATTAATATTCCCTCAATTGCTTACCTGCTTTAACTGCTGTAATAGTTTTACCACAATCAAGTGATATCCATGCAATTTAACCTGTGCCTGTAAAAAGAATGAGTTATTTATCAACAGGGCTTGCAACCAAATTATTTACTATTCCAACTCTATCATCTGAATCCTCAAGCTGAATTAGTGCTTTACGATGGAAAATCTCAGACATTTTTGTCCATTGACGCCCACGATCATCACTTCTGTATACAGATCCCTTTGAAGTTAGTGCCAATACAGTATCGCTACACCAATGAATGTTTATTAAAGAAGCATCGATATAAGAAATTTAGACATCAATATTAGATGCAAACGTCTGCATGATCATCAAGAGTAATACTAAAATCATAAACACGTTTTATTATTTTAATTAATCAATTTATTTATAATTTCATACTTGCAATTACGCTTAGCATTTACTATGACATGAAGTTCTTTTACTTAAAACTACTTTCTTAATCTCATGAAGTCTAACCATATTTTCTTTCAATTCTTAAGCACTTGGCATTACTTTTAGTCTTAAAGCCTCAGAAATCAAAATTTAAGTCTGAAATTGAAAAAAAATATATAGCATTTAGAATGAAATTGCTGAATAAAGCCGCAATTCTCATTTTCTTTAGCATATACGTTCTCTGTTTCTCATTTATCATTATTCTCTTTTCCGTTTACAAAAATTAATCAAAACAACACTATATGTTTCTATATAAAAATATACAGTGTTCTGAAAACATCCGTCTAATCCTCAATTCTAATATATTATTCATTGACTAAATGTATATATAGTAACCAGCAATATCACAGATTCTTAAATGTATTCAAGAATACATCAGCTTCAATACCACCATTTGGAGATAATTTTTAATGATTTTTGGCCATTTTGTTTTTTTTTTGAATTTCTGTGTTATTAATAATTAGATCAGCTTAAAGGGATTTTGATTCATAAAACCAATTCTAATGACTGGGAATCCTCTAGTGAGACTTTTATCTGCAGCATTCTATTCAAATTCAACACAATTCGTTTAATGTAATTTTTATTTGATGTCCCAATTTCAGTTCAAAGAGCTCTTTCAAATTAAAACAGGTATTAATCCACAACCGAATTATAAACCTAATTTTAAAATTTTACACTTTCAGATATTTCAATTTTAATTGCTCAACATAAATTTTCCAAATTACATTAAAAATTATGCAAATAATAATTCCATCTATTTTTATATATTTTTTAAATATTTCAAAAACAATATTGCAATTTTAATTAGAAGTTGACTTATTAGATACATACCTTTATATCCATTAAGGATCACATCTGCCAAATTATTATTAGGGTTTTTAAATTGACTGTATACTGTTATTAATTGCATTTTTTCTTTAATCTATTTTCCTTACAAAATTTGTTTTAACCACTGTTATATCTTCATTGAACATAAGATTAAGTATCTAATTTTAGTAACTTTATTGTTAGCATTTAAAATGGTATGCTCAAAAAAGGCAACAACTCTAGAAATTTTAATAAAAGTTTCAATTCTATATTCTTCTTATTTATATTGTTTCACATTTCTAAGGCTTGTATTTGTGTTTAATTCACATTTATTTTTACATTACTATCAATATATTTGAATTTCTTATTATGATATTTTAAACAGAAAATTTTGACATCCAACATAATTAGATGATCTTGTTTTATATATAAACGAATAAAGTATTTTAAACTTAAAACGAATAATGTAACAGCAGTTATTAAAAGAGTACATTTTTATATATTTTACAAATTCATAGAAAAAGAGGATTCGAAAACATATAATAATCTCACGTTTTCCTCCTTGTATATCTTTCTACGTATTTCTAATTTTTCACTTTCATTAATAAATCAAATTTAGTTGTTGCTCTTCTTCTACTCCAAGATCTTCTTGTATGATAAGGTATTATTAATGTAAGTTAATTGTTATCGATCAGTTCTACAGATAACTCAGATTATGAACTTTGATCATCTTTTTTGAGAAAATTTAAACTGTTGTGATTTAAACTACTATTAACTCTTTTAGTAAAAAAACGATTGTCTCTTTGTTTCATATAAATACAACTTGAAGTATTTATATTTCCAATAGTTTTTGAACACTAAGATGAGTTTCTTTCAGAGCAGATAGAATAAGAACTTTCTAAATCCATAACTTGCTTAGGATGTTGAAAATGAGCTCTTTTCAGTTATTTAAATGGTCCATTTTAATTCATGTAGATTTACTTTAGATCTTGTGTATTTTTCATGTTTTTACAGGCACTACCCATTAAATTAAAATATATATATCATCTTTTGACAATAATAACATAATAAGAAATTTTTCAGTATAAATGCCATTTCCTTTAAATCTTGTCTATTGTCCTATTTTTATATATATTATTTTCAAATACCAACTAATATTAAGATTTCAACTTTTCAAGGTTAATCAACAATATTTGAAATTTTGTTCATATTTATCATTATTTAGTTGATTGTTTTTCTTTGGTGTAGATTTTAACAATTTATATATCTTATATTTTAAAGAGGTTAATCTCTCCAAAAAATTGCTATTAAATTAAACTTTTGTAATTCTAGATTTAATCTATAATTTAATAAGGCAGATAGCTTCATTTTGATTATAGTGAATTCTATTAATGGATTTTATAATTTCTCCATCTTTTTCTCCTAATTTCTATTATTAAAGTTTTTCCTTTTGTAATTTTCAAATCCTCTTCTCCTCTTTTTATTTCTTTTTATTATTCAATTTCATCATCAATTCCTAGTTTATTTTCTATTTTTTTCCTTTCTGTTCCCAAAATTTCAATGAAACCACAATATAAAAAGAAAATAATAACTATAAATAATTTTATATAAATTTATTCATAACATATTTTTTTACCATTTTTAGTTATTCAGGATTTTGTTCTTATTTTTATATTGTTTATGAGATTTATTATTAAATTTGTAATTAGCTTCCACAGAAAGTAATAATTTTAAGTATTTTTCATGTGATCGTCAATCCTTCAAAACATGTCTTATGATTTTTTCTTAAACTATCTATTTCCACGTTATTTAAATAAATTATAATTCTCTTTTTGTTAAAATGTTTAGTTTCTAATTTGATTAAATTTCTCTCAGCCTAAATTTATGATTGTTTCATTAAATGTCTAAAATTTATTTACTGATCTAAAAGAAATATTAATATCCTTTCTTCAAAATTTCAACTATCTTAATTCTCAATTAGGACACTCTACATGTAAGGGTTATGTTTTTCAAATGTGAAACAATCTATTTATTAAATGAATGGAGTTCTTTCTTTGAAGCAACTTCATTATGTTATTATAAGAAATATCAAAATACTTTAAAATTCCTTGCCAAATTCAATGACTTTATAGTTTAATATTTCGAGTTTAATTTATGGGAATTATTCTAAGCATAGGTATCAAAATTTCAAATTATCTATTCAGACTTATTTACAAAACTAGAAGTTAAATATATAATTATTTTTTCTTTATGTATCAAATCACAAAATATATGGTTGACTTTCGCCGTAATCAATTTCTGAATTAAGGTCTTCAAACAGAATTTACAATCCAATCTGAACATGGGTATAGATCGGCTTAATAAAATAGGAATAAATTAGTAAGTGTAGGCTCATAATTGAAGAATCTGAATAATATTGAAAAAAATAGATATTTGAAACCAGATTCATCATATGAGGAATGTTCTGGCGAATCAAGTGTCATTTGTGATTAATATCAACAAAAATGTTTAAGTATTGAATAGGTACAGTAAATGGTGATAGACACTTCTATTAATTAAGCAATTAAACTTGAGCCTAAAGCATTACAAAAAAAGTATAAAATTGATAGTTATACAGCAATCGTGTTGATTAAGAATGGGAATCATAGAAATCAATTATCATTTGGAATGTTGATGAGCATGCCATTGATCAAATAAACCTTAATGAGTTTTTCATTGATTAGTATTGATATTTATGAATTGCGGTTTAAGGATAAGTCTTTCATCTAATTCAAAAAGATTGAGCTTGGCAGCTTTGAAGGCAAGCTTGTAATAATCATACGAATGAAAGAGGACAAAAGTGCTTAATATGTGTACTACAATTTAGTAACTTCCACTCACAGATACAAGAAAATTTTTGGGGAATAAATCGAGGTTAGTGTTTCAATTAATGCTTAGTATTTTCAGCTTAAAGTATCGGAAAAATTACCCAATAAAAACGAGATTACTGTTATTATGAGGTTTTTTCCTATATAGTTCAACAACGAGAAATTGTAATCTCTTTAAGATATGAGAGCTGAAGAATTGTTTATTTGTATTTATTGTGACTAAATATAAAATAGATTAGGGCTACAAGTACGGAATTTTCAAAACTAAAGATTTTGAAACTGCAGAGAATTATAGGAACAATTTGCTTAGGTTTTTAAATTAAATTATTCTCTAGTTATCTATTTAGTAAAAATATCAAGATGCTCATATCACTATAATGGAAAAGAAAAAATAGAAAAATCTTAATTATAAAGTATTTTTTGAAGATGATTGTATCAATCCTCGTTTACAATTAGAACAAAAAATAGGGATTTCATAAAGCCCACCCAAAATTATACCATAAAACATTATTAATTAATAGGATTAATAATAAGTTACCTTGGCTGTAATTTAACCTACTATAAGTGCTATGTATAATTCAACATTTATGTACATTAGCAAAATTTCTAAAGAAGAGAATCTCTCTAAGGGAATTCCATTATCTGAAGTGAAACAGGAACCTACTGAAAAAATTGAATAAAAAATAATGATTAGACCTGTTTAATTAAAGCCAGTCATCATATAAATTGAGAGAGATAGAAGTTCTAGGAAAAAACGAAATTGATCAATAAATAATTAATATAAATATATAAAAATATATGAGAAAGAAGTTGGACATTCTAATATTTTGATAAAATCTTGTGAATGAAAAGAATACATAAAATGAAATTCAATAATTAATAAAAGTTAAAAGGATTCAAAAGAAATCAAATTCATTTTAGGCTCATGGTTTATAGAGTGAAATAACAATACAAGAAATGTATAGGAATGCTACCATTTATAATTTCATCTTTATGTAAATACAATTAAATTTTTTACTGTCTAAGTCAAAATTGTTTTTAAAAACAACTTTGGTAGGGATAAATTTAACGAGAAAATAATTAACAATAATTATAAATATATTATGCAACCATCATAAGATTCCTCTTTAATAACTCAAATTAAAGATGTTTAAAATGAAAAATTTAGAGAAATTAATAATTTATCTAGGAATTTAATCAATTTTTAAGAAATTTAAAGAATGTAAAAATAGAAAACTTTAAATAACTATGAAAATTAGAATGTGAATATAATATTGAACAAGAAAAGGTCTCATCAAACAAGACTTAAATAGAAATTTATATAAAAATGGATTTTCTGTTAAAGAATCAGTCTATTTGAGTTTTATATCTATCAGCAATATTTAGTATGCATGACTGATTATAGAATTATAGCATGGATTCAATATTAAGTTTACATAACTGCATATCTACTCTGGTTACATATATTTACTAATAAGATAATCATTTTGACTTATTTTTCTTTCTTTTTTTATCATCTTCATTTTCACCGGTGAATATGAGCAATCCAAAAACTACCATTCCAAATATTATAATTCCTATTCCAATAGGTGACAATAAGAATGAAATTAACCCTTCCCCTTCCTGAGTTGAAATTAGTAGAAATAATATACTTCTGGTTCAACTGAATCAGGCACAATCATATTTTAAGCCTCTAGTTCTGCTCTCTATAATTCTGCTTCCTTTTTTCTATTTTCTTCTAACATTTATTCCCAATTATCAATTAAATGCTTTTTTTCTTCTTCTCCAGCATTATGGCCTTTGACAATCACAATACCATCGACTTTAGGTAAATCAGCTGCTCCTTTTCTAAATCCAATTTTCAATTTTCCATTAATGAATCTTGATATATTCTTATTCACATACCCTTTGGTGCATTCTTCATCATTGTGGAAAACTTTGTCTTCTTTAATTTCAATGTAAATGAACACTTCCTTTGCAGATCCCTTTTAATGCTTATTGTCAATAATGGATAAGTTTTAGATTATTCTTTTTGTTCCAATAAAGATATCAAATTGTCTTTCTCCCTCATTTTCAAAGTATAACTTTTATGGATTAAAGTACTTACTTCTACAAATTACAAAATTATTGTGTATTGTCCATTCTTATTTATGGGTAAGCTATAGTCAAATGAACTGCCGTGTCTTTCAGTAAAATAAACTTTTGGAGTAAAAGTATATGCAATTCCATCATAAACAACATCATTATATGTGTAATCAGAGACTCTAGAATCCCCACTAAAATGTTAATCCTCAAATAGCAATTAGTTAATACTTCTTAATAAAGAAATCCTTCTTTTGAATTAAATGATTCTTATCCTCCACAATCTATTGCCATAAGAACGGATTTCAATGATAGGGAATTAGCAAAAGTAATAAGAGAAATAAAGAATAAAATAATCATGCTAGATATAAATTTTTATTAATCATTTCTCAATTATAAAATTTGAGTTAGTGATACCCATTTAAACGTAAAAGTGCAAGTATTCAACTTATGTAATATTGAGATTATCAACAAGATGTTAGATTATTAACGTAATATATATCATCATTTCAAAGGCTTTAATTTTGTTTGCATACTCAACTTCTTAGTTCTTGTGTACCTTGACATCTATTATGACTTTTCCCATTCATAGTTGCTATGAAAGACAATCTTCAAGTGACTTTCAACGTCCATATCAAAGACAATATCCCTATTTCCAAAAGGTCTATTGTAGATACCTGAAATCGATTTTGTAGAGGAAAGATGATGCAAATTGCGAGCCAAAGATTCGAATTCAGTCCTGGCTAGTTATTCTTATCTGATTCTTAACTATTAAGCCTCCTCCTATTCCACTCTCTTGAGTTCTTCCAAAAACGTTTCATTTTTTCTTTTCAAGAAGGACAAGTATTCTTTTCTTGTAGCCCAGTTTAGATAATATTTTCTATAATGAAATCCACGGAAATATCTTTGGATTTATGTAGCCTAATAGCTAAAGTATTTAAGATTTCTCTCATTAAATCTATTATCGCTATTTCTTTTCATTAACATTCTAGCCAGATAACCTTTTGCAAACTTTTGTATATAAATTGTATTCTAATAAAATTGATTGCAAAATTACATATCTAATTTTAAGATATTTAATTCTCTTTACATGCATTCTATACCATTGCTAAATTTTGGTTGCTGCTTAATTTTCTTTCCTTTTATTTTCATCACTTAGTTCTGCCTCTTTATAATACAATTCAATTATTGAATGATAATGATTCACAATATCTTATTAATATTGCATTTTAGTGAGAAAATAAATAATAATTAAAATATTTTATGAAAACATAAAATAACTTTGCTCATTTCTCAAGAGGAGGTAAACTATCCACTCCATATTTAAAATTTACCAAAGTTGATGCTGAAACTGCAAAAAAGGCATTTACACCTTAGGAACTCAAATAAATAATGGATATGTTTGTTTATTTTGATAAAAGTGGAAATAAAACAATTTAGCGTGACGATTTAGGGTTTGCTTTGAGAGCCATAGGGTATCTTGTGACGACAATTGAAATTAGAGAATTAGGAAATTACTTAGATCCCAAGAAAACATCAACTTTAAATTTTGAATAGTTTATAACAGCTTGTTATAATGTAAGAAATCGCAAGCCAAACAAATAAGAAATTATTAATGCATTAAAAATATTTGAAAAAAACAAATCTGGGTACATTGATGTCAAAGAAATAAAATCAATCATTACTAAAATTGGAGATGTTCTAAATTTAACAGAATTTGATACAGTTATCTCTGAAATAACTTAATAACACAATGGATTTATCAAAACCGATGATTTAGTTAATTTACTTATAATGTCATGAAATGTTATTAACATTCTACTTTTGGCTATATTAGTATCCTTTCGAACAAAAAATAAATATCAAATTCATCAAAACTCAAAGTTATAAATTGTTTTTAAATCCATTTTTTCAACGATAATCTTAATATATTCTATTCATTCTTTATAACAATAAGTTAATTTCATTTCTTTCCCGATAATGGTCCATTACAATTAAATTCCACTTAATATAACTTATAGATATATATTGGTAAAATTTGATTTTAAATATTCAAACATTAATCCAAGATGCCTTATTAATTCAATCATCCTTAAATTATGACTATTAGCCTAAGATTAATATTATATTATAATAATTATTTTTATATTTAAAATCAACAAATAAAATTTCATAAAACTTGATTAAAAAATTTTTTATTACTAAACCTAAAAGGTTTTCTATAATTATTGTTACTTGGACCTAAGAGCGATTTTAATGTATCTTAAATTTAATCTGGTTAAAGAGACTACCTATAAGTCTGATATATATCTTGCTCATTTTCCAGTTATTTTATAAAGGTCATTTAATCCATTTCCTTTTGTTAAATTAAATCAATTTGCTATACTAAATTAGCAATTTTATCATTAATGAGACTTATTTTTCTACTTTGAAATTTAGGAGGGGTATCATCAATTCTTGAGTCTTATTTTTAGATAATGTGACTTAATTGAACCCTGCTTTAAATTGGTCTAATTTCATTTAATTTCTTAGGTTAAAAAAATGTTTTTTCGCTAAGTAATTTATTTGTAATCATTTTCTAATGATTTTAGGATTACAAAAAGGTTTATTCACTTTGAGCTAATACGTTAATCAAAAATTATTACAATTTCTAAAAACACTATCTATTGATTTTATACTCTCCTTTTTTTTTTCTTTATTCATTTGTTTATAAACTTAATGCATAATTAATTCTTTTTAAATTTACTCTTCTTTTTTATTATAAATTTTTTTTGTAGCTTTTTAGACAATATTTATAACTTTTCTGGTTTTCATTTTTTTAAGAGTTCTCCTTGCCTATTGTTCTCTAAACTAAATTAAAGGAGCAATATACTTCAGTTTCATTTATATCTTGATCTTACATAAGGATTAATCTTGAATTAGTCAAAGATTGAAAGTTCGAGTTGCTTTAGACAGAGGAAGAGTTCTTATCAAAATAAATTCTCTCATCCGATTTCTAAAGCTCCTTTTTATGCACTATATTCAGTGCTTTACTAACATTAAAGGGATCTTATATTTCTTTATCTGATAGATCCTCTTGCTGCTGCCATAATTAATCATAGTTTTCTTTTAAGTTTTATTTTCTAGTCACTTATTTTCTCAACTACTCCTCTTACTTTTCTATAAGTTCTATATATTTATAGGATTACACTTTTTCATCATCAAATAATCTACATAATCTTTCTCAGAATCTGCAATAGTTGGAGGTATTTTAGGAATTGAAGTATTTTGCAGATGATTAATGTTAAGCAAAAACTTATGATCACTACTTTTTTATTGATCAATTGGTTATAGAAGTTAGGATGCATTAGTGGTTTTAACCATAAGATCAGATACTTTGGATAGTATTCTTCTTTTATTGATTTCTTCCTAAGTCAATTAATAAAATGGTTTGTTGATTAGAGATTATAACTTTTCAATTTTTCTTAATTTTCTTTCCTTATTTTTCTGTTAAATTGATTAACTTAATTGACTTCTATCAGACTACATAATATGCAAATCTAATTACATCCTCATATTCACTCTCTTTTTAGTGATTCATTTAATAACTCAAAAATTAATTTTATAAAATTGATTAAATAATGCCTTTATCATTTCTTCCCATCTGAACCATCATCCTTCTTTTTTGTTTTTTTAACTTATTTTGCCTCATCCCTTAAATAATTAAAATGGTTCTTCTCACTATTTTCATCTATAGTATTCCCCTCTGATTCCGATTCATAATATGATTGTTCTGCACTTGAATCACTAGATTATCCAAATTAACTAAAACTTCTATTGCTTAAATCAGCCTTAGAATCCATTGATTTAGTTCTTTTAAGAGCTTCTCTTTAAGTTAATTTTTTATATTTAATTCTAACATTCTTTTTTAGATATTCCTCCTTTAAGGTATCATTTCTAATATTGGACCTATTAACTTCCCCAATTATTTGTAATATTTCCTAATTCTATAATACTTTAAATTACTTCAGGCCTAGCTTGTTCTACATCTTCAAATATCAACTTTTGAAGTTGTTCAAATAATTCAACATCCTTGCCTCTTGGATAAATGTGATAATAATTTGTTCTCTCATCCAAAAACTACATAGATGCTTTTTCTATTTTGCCAAGCATCTTAATACTCCAAGAATACAATTTCTATTTCATTATTTCAGCCTTTTTTGCCCTATCATCAATACTATAAAATTATTTATATATTTCTGAATCTATTCCCTTCTTTGAAGGTTTTGCACTCATCTCCATAATTTATACCTCATCTTTTAACTACTACAATTTATTTCTAAAATTTAGAGTAATTGTACCTTAGATTCTCTTTCTTCCTTTTCAAATGATCAATTTTCTTTTCATTCTCTGCAATAGTTCCCAAAAGTGAACCATATGTAGATTCTTTTGTTAAAAACTTTTAAACTATTTCCTAGGCTTCTGATATTCCTGTGGCTGTCTTAATTTCCTAGAATGCTGTCTCTACAACTTAGAATTTTTCCATTTCTTTTTCCATTTTATTTTTCAACAAGGAATGAACTACTTTATGTGCTAGCAACAATTTTCTCCACTTTTTCTATACAAAATATTTCTATATTCGGTTACTTCACTTGCATCCTTATCATTACTGGCATGTTCAGCTATTTCTCTTTACTTAATCATTCTTTCATCTCTTTTCTCTTTTGCTATTAATTATGCCTTAATTTGCTTGTTGTATTATGCTATTTGTCTTTGTCTATTATTCTTTTCAATTTCAATATTCTATTTTAATAAAATCTCTATCGATAAATACATTCATCATTTCATCGCACAACTTTCTTGTCATCTGATTTAGCTGTATTGATTCCCATTATTTTGCACTTGCTTAATTGGCTTCAGTTTTCTTCTTTTCAAATACGTCAACCATTTCATTTAACTTCTTTCTAAAACATAGGACATCATGCTTCAATCTATTTATAATGTGTTTGTAGGATTTTTCACTCATTTGGCTTTCCTCAAATCTTTGTTTGGCCTGCACATAATCAGTCTTTGAGCATTCCAATTCTTTTGTTAAATCTGATGTGTTATTTATTAACTCTGATTCTTCCAAATTCAATTTTAACAGTTGATCCTAAAGTATAATTACTTTTCCTACTTTGAATTGAGATATCTCCTTTTCCTTGTAAAGAGATGTCGTATGGTAAGTGTCAAATTCTTTCCTGAGCTCTCCTAATTTTAAATGTACTTCTTTTTCTTCCATTTAAAACAGTTATAACTAAAAATCATTAAGTTACTTACGCTTTCATTTTATTGTTGTGATCCCCCTTAATAATTATTAAAGGAACCAAGAATAAAAGACAAGTCTTGTTTTCTAATATGAATCTCGAAATTACTTAATTGCTTTTTGAATAGATCTCATAGCAACAGCTTGTGTGCTGACAAAGCGATCTGTTTTCATTCTTGGAGATGTACTTAATACTTGAGTTTCCTTGAGTTATAGCATAAAATGTACTTCTGTTGGTTACATGAGTAATAGTATTCAAAAATACAAAATATAATTTATATCTATATATAAATCAAATTAAAATTAGAAAAAGTAGCTCTAAATTCATCATTTAAATTCAAAAAACTTTCACACTTCTTTTTAATAATAAAATTAAGTTTTAATTAATGATGAATTTTTACACGTCAGTATGAAATTCAATGAATTCAATACGATAGCTGAACTAATATTAAATATATATTTATATACATCAAATCCCAATGAGAAATTTTCTTTTTTTTATCCACAAATATCAGTGGATATAAAATATTATTCACTTTTACAAAATAATTGAATGAGTATATTATTTTGATGAAGATGAGAATCTCAATAGTGTCTAACATTTTAAGAAATAATATAATTAAATTATGTTTAGAAAGGTGCCTGGATATTGTTTTGGAAAGTACAAATTTAATGCCAACATCATAAATAAAGTTTCTACCTTACTTAAGATTAAACCTAGTTTAGCAAATGAAGACATCAATTTCTTTGGTGATGTTAGATTGTTGGACTCGTAAAATAAATTGATTGGTGTTTTTGCATGTGAAGAGGCTAGGAAGAAGGCAGATAAATTGGGATAAGACTTAATCATGATCAATCAAGAAATTAAGCCTGCTTTATGCAAAGTTTGTGATTACTCTGATGAACTTGCATCTAAATTCATGAACGACATTGTAAAGATTAAGGAATAATAAAAATTGAATGATCAACATTTTAAATTAAGTCATAGCATAACAATGTAAGATTTGAAATTGAAGGTTAATTAAGCTAAAGATTTGATGAAAAAATAAAATACTCTTAGAGTCACAATTATATGTCCAATTGAAACAGCTATCCAGGCTAAGAGCATTTTATATACTGTAAAATTGATGACTATTTGTATAGTTAAAAGATCTGTCCTAATCTTTTATGATTCCAATAGGAGACATAAAAACCAAGGATTATAAAGAAAAGGAATAATTTGATAAAAAGAAAGAGCAAGTAGAATAAGTCTAATTGGACATCGAATTTGAAGCTATTGAAAAGTCAGAATAGCACCTAGATTTAGCTTAAATAAAAATAGAGAGATTAATCAACCAATATTATTCCCGTAGTCTTTAGTATTATTCATTCTTATATTCAGGGAGAAGACAGAGGATGAATAAGAACTTGCTGATCTCTTCAAAGTGCAACAAACTGAAAAGGATAAAAAAGTTGAAATTTAGGAGAACAAGAAAACTAAATTGGAGGAGTTGATGGATGATGACGGACTAGATTTCTAACTTCAAGATGTTTCAACTAATATCTAATGTAAATTCATTAAATTTAAGGATTAGCATGTTATTTAAGGGATGGCAATTTGTCAAAATATGTGAAGTTATATAAAATGATTGAGTGGTCTTAAGGAAGAAAATGATCATAATCTACATGTTACATTAATTTTATTATTATTATGAATTACAACAACTTTTATAAACATAAATTAATGATAATTTTAACTGAATATATTAATGCAATATTAAGACTCACGAAGAGTGATTAATCCTATTTATTAAGATTAACCAAAATAAGTAAGGCCTAGATCTATTTCAAATACTACAAAGTTGTTGGCTTGGGACACTCAACAATTTAATTCCAAGACCGATATCACAATAAATTGCTAAACTACTAGTAATGAAGTAAAACATGCTAAAAAAAATTAAAGGAATGCTTCCTCTATTTTAGGTGGAGATAACTTTGCTAAAGTCATAAATTCAAGACCATACTACGATTTTAATGAAATTATCAAAAATTAACATGTAGCGTAAACTACTAAAGAAAAAATAATTAATCCCAATAAATTGACGTTACAAGATGATAATTAGGTGCTCTCATCAAAAGAATCAAAATCTTAGGAAAGGCAATCTACCAAATAGATAAATTTCTCAAAAGGAGAAAAGGAAAACTATTCAATACATTAATAAGAATTGATACGATTAAACAAAACAGAGAATGTTAAATCCAGATCTAAAGGCTAAAATGATGAAAGTAAACAACACATTTCTGAATTGAAAAGACGCATGATGAATTACCCTTAAAAATCATAGAGTCCATCTCAACACACTAATAATCCAAAATCATGTATTTAAATGGAAGACAACAATATAACCATTATTTCAATGAATTTGAAAGATATAAAGGATGATGTATAAGCACAAGAGATAAAATAGTTGTGTCAGAATATAGGCTATCATATGGTCAAATTTGAAAAAGAATATGATAAAATAAATCAAAAATAAAATGGATTTGGTTCAATATAAATTAGAGGTATTAATACAGATTAAAAGCTGGCTACCTTTTAAAGATCATTAAGTAGAAAAGGTATAAATATTGGAGAATAAAATCAAAAGCTTAGGGATTTTGTCTCTAATAAATATCTTCTCAAAAGTAAGGAGCATTCTCAGGCAAATAATTAATCATCCCAAAATCAGGAAGAAAAACTTTTAAATAATTATAAAAAGTTCCAAAGTCGATAAAAAGGGCTATTTGTGTGATTGTTTCATATTCTATATTGATAAGCTTTTCATAAATTTTGGTATTCCTTAAACTAATTTATATAACCTAATAATTTAACATAATATATTGCTTAATAAACAAAGATTGAACAGCTCAAAAATTTTGAGTTCATCCATAACAGTTCTTGAAAATACTGTGTTCGAAAAAGAAAATTGTGATGTTGTATAACATTTGAAGATAACAAAGATATAAAAAAAAATTATAAAGGATTTATTGGAATTTAATTACAACAGAATAAATTAGAAAATAATTAGCAACTTAGGAAAGTTTTCTAATTTAATAAAAAATAATCTATTTATGCAGAATCTGCTCAGCATTAGGATTAATGATAATCAGAAAAAATACAAAATTAGAAATTAGAATTTATAACATCTCATTTGTTTAATTTTATTATTAAATATGAATAAGCAAAGTTTTGTTTAAGTTACTCAAGAATATGATTAAGTCAAAAAAAGAGTCAATTCCTTGAAATTTTAATTAAGAGACATTGATTAAAAGAACTTTCTTTTATAGACGAAATTAAAGGATCTGAGATAGATTTCTCCTAAATTCTAAAAGTCCCCAATAACATAATTATAAGAATAACTGGGATTGGATAGAAAACAGGTAATTGAGCAATTCAAACCAATTGTGGAGAAAGAAGGAATTTATCTTAGAAATGAAAGGCTAAAAACAGAAACATAATTGTAATAATCAAAAATGTAGGAAATCTAACAGAAAAAAATGAGAGTAAAATTGATAGAAGAATTTAATTCAGAAGTAACCAAAAGAAGAGAATAATATTAAAAAAAAAAAATAAAGGAAGTGAGGGAAAGATAATTATAAGAAATGGAAATGAATAGAGTAATTGTTAATAAAAGGATGATTGAAATAAGCAAATTAAAAAAATAAGAAAAAGAATTAATAGAAGAAATCCAAAGGTATAATTAGATAAATTAACTTAGTGCTAAAACAAAAGAGTAATAACTATGCAATAAATTTTGTAATGCTTTGGTGTCAAACGATAATAGCCTCATTTTGCCATCAATATAAAAGTCATATAGTAAAATGAGTTACAATTCAACTTCAAAATAGTAAAGAAAGGGTTGCTCACCAATCTAGAAATAATATAAAGTTATAGAAAGAATATAAAGAAGTGAAACAAGAAACGAAAATTCAATAGCAGAGTAAGAAGAGAATCGAAAAGGATATTTAGAATCAAGAAAGAAATCTCAATCTATAGATTAACTGAATATCGCCTGTCAAACTAGTTTTCTAATCACACATCAAAATTTGGAAAGCATTCAATACTCTTTAAATTATGATTCTTATATGAGTAGCTAAAAGGATAAACCTACTGAAAAGTCTATTACAAATTTAACATCAGATGAAACCAAGGATTATCATGAGAAATATAGATAATCTAATAAAAAAATTTAATGACTAATATGAACTATTGTTATATAACTATTCATTAGAAAATTAATAATAACTATTAATTAGAATAAATTTCTCTGTTAAAATTCTATGAAAGGGGCTTTTCAATTTATTAGCATTTGATTGATAATATTTTGGCTAAATTTCTGTGTACAAAGTCCATCCTTTCATTATTTTAACAATAAAATTATTTATCATATTTCCATTTAATAATGAATTTGAAAAAACAAATTTAATTAATTAAAAAAGGATTCAATGGGCAAATAATATGCTAGAGAGCCAACAGTTGCTAATAAGTCCGCTAAGGCTAGGGCAAGTGATTTAAGAACTCACTTTAAGAATACATATGAAGTAGCTAGAGCACTTAAAGGATAAACTCTTGCTTAAGCACTCAAATATTTACAAGATGTCTTATAGCATAAGAGATGTGTTCCATTCACCAGATTTAATGGAGGAGTAGGCAGAACAGGTTAAGCCAAAGAATTCGGCAGATCTTAAGGTATAGATTCATAATAAATTAATTACAGGTAGATGGCCTGAAAAGAGTGTAAGAATTGTTTTATCACTCTTGTAAAATTTGGCTGCTAATGCTTAAGTCAAGAATTTGAGTAATGAAAAATTGATTATCAATCATGTCTAAGTCAATAGAGCTTAAAAGGGTAGACGTAGAACATATAGAGCACACGGAAGAATCAATCGTAATCTTTATGATTTATTTTAATAGCATTCTTATCATCAAATGCTCACGTTGAAATATGGGCTGCTTAGAGAGATGAAAATGTTAAGAAAGAAGCAAATAATAAAGTTGTTGCTCGTTAATCAAGAAAATAGGCTGCAAGATCCAAATTGGCTATTGGTGCATGAGGCTATATTAATAGTAGTATAATATTTTAATATTCCAATGTGTTAAACTTTTTTTATTCATATTTAACAGTAGAAATAATACATTAATGTTTGAAGTAGAATCAATTTTTGAATAAACTAAAATATTCATTAAAAGAAAAGGGTATAGACATATTAACTGGAATTTCAGGTTCTTTATTTTATTTTTTCATAAACTTTTCTTATTCAATTAAACTAATTGTTACTTATTATGGAAGAACGTTAGTTTTCTTCTATCTTTAACTAGTTTGCTCTGTTCTAATTATTTATGAGGGTGATTATTTTTAAATTGGGTTTTCTTATTTCTTCTTAAAAGTTAGTATTGAGTATTGTTATTATATTTTTTGATTAATTAACATTTATAATTGTGGAGATTGAGTTTATAGTTTTTTAAACTATAAGTCTAAGTGATGCTCTTAATCATGCAAGGATTTTAACTATTAATTCAAATCCTTGATTTCAGTGTCCAGTTTCTTTAATTTTAAGTCTTATTATAATAATTAATTTTATTCTCTACTCATTTCTTCATAAATTTGAGCGATTTAATCAATATTTCTCTTGATTTCTTCATTAGAATACTTTTAAATTGAATTTTGTTACTTCGAATTTTGTTGTTGTGATTAATCGCTAAATGCAATGGTAAATAAATTTGAACCAAAATCTATTTTAATTTATTGAATTACTTAATGATTGTTCTCTTGAGTTTTAAATGCTAGTATTTGGAGTGCTCTTTTTAGATGTTTCGTCTATCTTAAAACATAGGAATCCAATCAATTATTTCTGATTTTTTCTATCATAAATTGGAACTTTTTCTAATGAAAAGGCCTAGTAAGTATTCAAGTCTAATTGTGAGGTCCCTAAGTTTTAGATTTCAATTTTGATTTTATGATTAAAAACTTCAATCGCTTATGTCTGATAATTTGTTATCTTGTACTTAGTTAACAATTGCATATCTTTGATCTTAAGGTTTAGCAATGAAGGTATGTTTTTCACACACTATCACTTTTAGGGGTTCACTAACTAATGGGTAAAGGAACTCCAATCTTAAACAAGTAAATTAAATAACTCTCACTTTTTCACTAAACGGTGATAAACTCTTTCTATGATTCATAATATTAAATTATTAAAAAAATGAGATGTTAAAAAGAAAAATTACATTGAATAATAAAATAATTTTATAGAGTTATTACTCATATAACTCAGCTCTTTTATTCAGAATCTAGAGCAGGGAAATCATTTGCATTCAAAGCATTTTGTTTTATATTTTATTTTGGTGTCTTCTATAATACTGCTTTAGGTATTAATTAATATTATTATTATGGTTATTACTGTTATTATTAATGGTGAACATCATTTTTTTACACATATTACTATGATAACTTAAATTATATACATTATTTCCTCTATCTCTTTAACCGCCTCTTCTATCTTTATCTTTTCCTCCTCTGTCATTTCTATCATTTCCTCTTTCATTCCTCTCTCCCTTTTCCCTATTGTGATATTTCTCTTCATGTCTGTCATCATCTTTATCATTTCTATAATATCCATAGTTTCCTCCTCCTCTTTGTCTATTGCCTCTTGCTCTAGATTTTTGATAAGACCTGTCGAACTCTTTGTCCTATTCTTCGTATTAATCATTTCTCTTGTATCCTTATTAATCATTGTCTTATTGTTCGATCTTTTTGGTCATCATTGAGCATTTTTTAGCATTAATTTATTTATGAAATTCATCCAAATAATCAACATTTTACATAATGACTGAATCAATTTGAAGTTCTGCTTTTTTTGACATCAAAAAATCAAAAATTCCTATTGCATAATTTTCAGTTTAAGATGTCACTATTAATTTTACATATGTTTTATCAGCTTAATAAATGTCTTCTTCATAAATTAATTCCTCTTTTGTAAAGCCAGATTTTTAAAGGGTTTCTTTAATGAGAGCTACATTCAAAACTGGTATTTTTATTTATATCCTCTTTCTCTCTGTTGGAAAGTAAGGACGAATGATTAACATTTGATGATCAAAATTCCATAATTATTTGTTATATTTATTTAAAATCTAAAATTTTAATATCTCTTTTATACATCTGTTAAAATTAAATGATATTTCTTGCGAGTATTCAATTCATTTTATACATATTGACTTTTAATTGAATTCTCTCTTTACACAACAACATATTATAGCAAATACCAATCAGGTTTTAAAATATCAGTCTCGAATTTTCTAACCAGGTATTCATTGTTAAGTAAATTATCATATTTAAACAATTCAATCATCTATATAAATTATACATGAATTAATTTACAGCTTTCTCTAGTCTCTAATATTGGTCTTCTGGCTAGCATGATATTATCATATTTAATACCTTATCGGATAAAATTTCAGGAGCAATCATCAGTTCACAACTATTGATGCAAATTATTTATCTAATTAATTTTCATCACAAAATAAGAAACTCAAACTAATTAACCTATATAAATTAGAAGAAAAATATTATACTCTTTTGAATCAATCCCTGTCAATAATAAATTGAATTCCAAGAAACTGATCACAATTATAATTTCTATATTAAATCACTTTATTTTTCTTTGTTTAGTAAGATTTGTGAAAATTATAAATACTTATAGAACACATAATAAATCTTAATAAATTTATAGAAATAATCCTTTTACTTATTGGATATCTTTTTTGACATTATATATTATTAGATTCTTTAATCTTTTATAAGAATAAACCTCTTTTTTTATAGGAATTTTATTATTTGTATAAATATGATTGGTTGCATGATAATTTTATAAATTAATAATCAAACCTAAATGATTTAAATGGATGAACCAACACATAATTCTGCATACGGATATAGGTCTTATGTAACATCTAATTTCATTGCCTAATAATATTTGAAATACTTTTACAATTTATTATTACTTTTATTGATGAGTGAAAACAATTTGCTACTTATTCATGTCAACTTCCATAATTATTATATCATTATTTGAATATGAGAATCCTTTGAATTAGAAGTTAATTTCAGCTTACAAATGGGATAGTATTAATCCAGTACTAAAAATAAGGTAAGCTCCATGACCTAATGAATGGAATGAATTAGGAGAATAATTAGATTGAATAATTTTATCTTTATGGCATAAACCAACATATAAGTTACATACATTGCTGTGAGATACTTAAAAAACAATTCTTGAAATCCCAGCTTTAGGAATGGCAGGCTCACATAATGTAAAACCCCATTCTTATCCAGTACATACTGCCTTCTTTCCGTTCTCTTGAATTGCAATACCTTTGAATGTTAGCTAATCGGAAAAACGAAAATTGGTATGATTAGCAGGTTGTATAATAATAGAATTTGCAGAGGTACTATTTATAATTGATTAACAATTTGTTTGAATAAGAGATAGTTATAATGCACTGCCTTTTATTTGACTTTCTCCAGCTTTCGCAACATTAATCTTTGAGTTGATTTCTTTGAGATTTAAAAGTAAAGGAGAATTTGATAATTATTGGATGTTAATTAATTTCAAGACTTGGTTTTCTAAATCTGTTAAACTATATTCAGAGAAGTTAATGTTGGGATCTACATACAAATCTTTCATTTAGTCTGCCAAATTCAATAAATGTTTTTAGATTTCCGAAGATGTACTCTAGATTTCTTAGTAAGTTTAATACAACTAATTGGACCAAATTTTAAGTTGATCAAAATTCTTAAGATCATTGACATGTGATGAATGACATTTAGAAATGCAATGATGACAAAAGGGTTTTTTATTCAAACACGATGCATTAAGACAAACTCCCAATATCGCGCTATTTTAATGACCATCATACAGACAGTGTTAATGAAGGTAGGCCATATGAAAAATATAAATAATTCATAAGATCTGATTATTCTGGAATAAATATTTCTAAAATTCTATCATTTATATAATCCATATTCTTTAATAACAATTTAATTATTTTTGTTCGTAATTAATAGTTTAAATGCACTTAACAAAAAACTCATCTTTGAGCGAAATTGAGGAAATTATTGCTTACAGTTAATCAAACTTATAAATTCTGTTGAATATGGAAGCATTTATGAAATATTTGAGAGCGAGCGATCCATTCGCAATTGATTTTCTTTCTAGGAATGTGAAGCAAATATTCGACATTTTGTTCGTTGACTATGAAAAGGTTTAAACTGAGTACTTGTCTATCTATAGCGACTTGATTACTAAGATCTTTGAGATAATTGACACGAAATTAGAGCCTATAATGAAATAAATAGAAGTAATTATCAGATGTTATAATAGATTAATTGGGAAGTGATATTTGATTTGAGATGGAGAAAGGCAGTACCAGATACTTAATGGGGAATGGCTCATAAATTTTTAGAGCTGATGAAAGAAAGAGACAAGAAATTCGTGATCGATCAATTTCAAAGACCTAACTTTCTAGTTTCCTTTCTCCCATTTATACATGTTAACAGTGTTGCCTAAATCGTAATAATCTTTTATGAGTTTGGGTTTAACTAATAATAACTAGATTTTTTAAAAGCAGGTTTTGTCATATTTTAAAATTTTGATTCTTGTAGTGCTATCAACTTTACCTACATTGTTCATGAAATAATGATTAGGAACTTAAATGATGCTCAAGTATCATATGTCCTAAAAGGAGAAATTCAAAAGAAGATGCTTTCTATAATTGTAAGAGATGAAATCAATCATATGTAAAATATATATTTATTTTAATAGTACTAAGAAGAATGCTGCTCATATTCTATCATTAGTATCTAATTATTATTCAATGAGTATGTAGAATATCTAATTGGAAGAACCAGAGACTTAAGAAATTATATAAAATTTTAGGAATACTGAATTCTTTTAGTCTTTTGAAGTCTAAATAATAGGATTAGCTTTGAAGCAATCACTACTACATTAAACTAAGGTTGGCCTATTGAACATTAAGTTGGTTGAAGTACTAAAATATTATTATAAATTTTAGATCGTTGACAATTTAGTCAGAATAACAGATATCTAACTATGGGAAAGGGTGGAAAAGACGAATATCATGGAATTGATATTTAGTTTAATGCATAAGTTTAATAAATCAGATATTTTTATATCTTATGTGAGCAATATGGTTTAGTTCATCTTTGATAGGGCATTAAACGACTACCATCCATATTGGGCATCCAAACTAATATTAAAGAATAAAATACATGAAAAACATCATAGATAAATTGACAATTAAATTTATTAATTTGAATAAAAATTGTCCCTTAAGCTAATAAAGGATGGAGATTTCTTGCCATACTTTGATTATTTGAAATAGATAGAAGAATAATTGATGGTTTCTCATAATTGGAGAACATTGAAGGTATATTAAATGAAGCAGGAGGAACGACATAAGAATAAATTAGGAGAAGATCCTAGTAGCCCTTATATTGAAGAAAAGTTTATTGTATCAGCCCTGGAAGTAGAGGAAAACAAATATTTAGATGAAGATGGAATTGATGAATAATCTAACAATATTTTTATTAATTGTTAGAGTAACTCAACTCCAAAATAAAATTGTCTACAAATCACTCAAAATAAATTCGAAACTATCCCAATTTTAAATGTAGATTCAGAATCAAATTCGGAATCATATATTAGTGAGAGTGAAGAATCCAAAGAGAAAAAGAATATTTGGGATAAGAGTGATGAAATTCAGTGTAATACTTTAAATGAATTTGAAAAGGTTTTGAAAGATATGGGTTATAGTACAAATTATTCAAACAAACTATCCTACTCTGATCCATTAGATAATAAAGAAATGAAGGATAGAGCTCTATCCCTTTCGTTTAATAAGGTCAAGTAAGAAAATACAGCCATGAACAATTCACTAAATCATGAATGTGATATTCCTCCTCAAGTGCCTTAAAGGAGAAGTTCATTATAGCCAGTGTCTAATGTTAAGAAATTAAACAAAGATTTCGAAGAGTTCCACATTGATTTCTTAAATAATCAAAAAATACTCAAAACAAATGATAATCACATTTTAAAGGTTGATGAGATTGATCTTTAAAAAGACTCTCCTTAAAAATTAATGCAGGTTGTATTTTAAAAATAAAACAATGAGATTGTATTCAAAACAAAACTTGTGGAGAAACCAAATTCTGAAAAAAGTTTAGGAAAGAAAATTGAAAAAGTTGAAGATATAAGGTTTAGATAAATTCAAGAAAAGGATTTACATTTTTTAGAGTTTTTAAATAATCAGGAATGATAATATTAAATCTATTTTTATAAAATTTTATCTTTGAAATTGTGTATATAAATATTTATTGATAATTCTATCTTTAGTTACTTTTATGATACTATTTTATTTAATTCGAAAATATTTTATATTATATTTCTTAAGGTTTAAATCCTAAGATCCAAATGTGAATGAAGTTATGATTATCTTTGTATTAAAAAATTAAAAAGTGCAGTAATTAGTCGGCTTTATTATATATTATTAATGGTAAGTGAGAAAAATGTCATTACTAATATTATTGAATTAGATTTAATTTAAGAAGATGTAGTATAAATCAAAAAATAAATGATTTGTTTTCATTTCTATCATCATTTGTGTCCCATCTTTCGAGATTCCATTAAGAAGGTTAATGATAGCAATCTTGTTTGTTAGACTGCAATACTATTGCTCGACGAGGAATATTTTTTCTAAATGTGTGTGATGTTTCTACAAATTTTTTGTATTTCAAAGATTTTGCTGGTCTTGGAGACAGATAAATCCTAGAAATTGTAGAATTCAGAGAAAATGAAGGCTATGTTTTAAACTTTGTTATTGAACAAGATTTATCCTGATACTTCCTCCCAGAACTGCCATGTAATCTATAAGTGGATTAATTATTAATCTTGAATCCAGGTACTAATTGATAAATAGTTGAAGTATCTGTGATTGTTTCTGCTTACCTTGAAGCCATGATTGGAGTTACATTCATAGGACTTTATGTTATAGGGTATCTAACATATTAACCTAATTTCAGTCTATGCTCACGTATAAGCGGGACTTTTTGCATCAGTTTTGCTAGAATTTCTTTCTTGGATTCAGGTTTCATAATTATTAATATGTTTAAGCCAAAAAGTTAGAAAGAGCAATAATAACAGCCATTTTATCTAAGTTGGTTTGCTAATTAAGGGTATTTGCATCAGGAGTTAATTTAGCTTAGAGAAAATCTTAAAAGAGGAGGAACAGCACCACACCAATCCCGAAAAGAGAAATTACCCCTTAAGAGTCCATATTAGCAACCATTGATCACAGTTTCTCATTAGGCTCCTAATCCATACACTAAAGCAATGTGAGTAGCACTCTTTCTAAATTAGATAGCCTCCTAAAAGTTACTAAAACAACATCTAATAGATCTCAAAAATCTATGCCGGTTCATTTTAAGGAATGATGAAGAGAAGGAGCGTTGAAAAAAGGTATGACGAGGTACCTAAGAGTGGAAGAGCCTCGTGTAAACCATCTAGAACCTTTACTTAATAAAACTCAAGAGCATTTCGCTCCTGTGAACAGCAGAGTAGACCTCAAACATAATAATTAAATACTTTTGAACCTAAACTATAATGTGATAACATTGTTGCGTATAATTATGAGGATCCATAACTAACACCTAGAGACAATGATGAAGTTGAGATCATGGAAGTTGATAATATTGATATCGATTCAAATGAATCCAATGAAGCTGACAGTGAAGGAGATCACAATCTGCAACTTCCAACTAAACAATAAGAAGAGCCTCACATCTAGAAGAACAAATCATTTGTATAAAAACAATTGGAGGAACCTATAATTAGTATGAGGAAGGCAACTGCCACTCTGAACAGACCATAAACATCTGAAGGAGCCCGAAGAAAAAGATTTGCTAATTCAACCAATGAGGTTCAGGAAAACACTACTGAAAAAAAGGATTCAGAATTTCAGCTATTTGATTGTTAAGCCAATATTATCCAAGAAGATGATTCAGAAAATTAAGAAGTTATGCCAATCATCGCTAACAATCTGAATTCACCTAAAGTACCTATATCTTTTATTTATAGGATATCCTCTCAATCCGATCAGGACAAAGAAGGAAACCAACCGATCATGTACTAGATAATTTGGATAACAATGATCGTCCTCCTTCAAGACATAAAACCCCTCCTAAAGCCACTGGATTAGATTTACCTCTTGAGGCTGTCAACTCTTTAGTCAATCATGAAATCCCCATTAAGAATATGTACGCCTAGATTGATGATAAAGGTAAATTAATTTGTTTATTCGATCTTAGTTAGCAATAATTTTAATGATGATCTTGATGAATTTGATCTTGGCTTTTTCAAGATGAATAACAAAGTCAACTTTAATAAATTTCAATCCAAAGATGGATATCATACTGATGAAGGAAGTATTAAATTTAAATATCTTTAGAAAAAGCAAACATCAATTATAAGCATCCTTAGTCAGCTAATTTAAAATTCAATAATATTGGATTATAAAATATAAGCTATTCCCCCTTAAATAATCAAATTACCTCAGCTCATGGATTTAGAGCTAATGAGCCTTAAATAGTTATAAAATATAATAATAGCTCTTAACTTAATAAAAATTAAGCTAAGGTACCTGTTAAAGTCCCCTTTCAAACTTCATTAGGCTAAGACTTCTTGAGTCTATTTGCAAATGATTGCGCCGACTGAAATTATTAAAATAAGCATTTATTATTTTCTACTGGTATTAATAACAATTCAATTTCTTAAGATATTTATCATTGTAAACTAACTTACATCTATAATTATGAATTAAATTAGTAATTTTATAGCATCAACATAGTATCTCATTAAAACCAAAAGGTTTCTTCTATATTTTCATTAGTTTATATTTTAAATGATGGATTTCTCATTCTTTCTCATATATATGTAATAAAACAAATTAGTAATTAAATAATTCTAACCTTACTTAAAATAATATATAAATCTCATTTATTTTAGCTAATAAATTAATATAGTAAAGATATTGTATGATGTAATTCAACACTTAGTAATAATGAATTTAAGTATATATTCTAATAATAACGAAAAAATACTACAGTAAGTCTGAGAATACAAAAATGGTTTCATAAGTTAGAAAATTATTCAACTCTATAATCTATTGGACTTCTATTTTTAACTAGTTAACATCAAAAGAAGAATGATACATTTATTTTGATATATTAATGATAATTATAAATGGATATTGAAAAATAATCTTATTAACTTTGGTCTAACTTGAAATTTGATTAATCCAATGATTTGGGGCTTGAAGATAATAACTACGAAGTTCATAAAGAAATAGCATTTCTTCAAGCTTAAATCCTAAGGTGCCTAAAGACTATTTCTAATATTTAGGTCAATAAAATTATAAAATTGATATATATAATTATGCTGTTCAGAAGTTTATTCTCCAGAAGGAGAATAGACGAGAAAGCATGAATTAAGAAAATACAAGAAAGCAAGGTGCAGCCCAGCTTTCTATTCTCAATCAAAGCCCTTTTTAGAGACGACAGGATTCCCATGAATTAAAATTTGAATGTGGAATTATTTGCTGATGTGTTGTCCTTAAGGAAGCATTTTGACACCTGCGACCTTTTTAGTTATTTATTCTGTCTCGCTGGGGGGAGTTTTGGGAGAATCATTTTTTTTTTTATATAGTTTTTTTGATTTATTATATTGGGACATGTGCTCAGACCATATGGCCTTACCCCAGGCATATGACATTCGTAACTCCTCACAAGCCTATAAATTGTTATTTTGATTAAAATACTTCTTTAATTGGTTTCTTTTCGTAGAGAATACGGGTCAAGAGCATTACTTTCTCCTTGGGACTGGGGGCAACTCTGTTAGATTAAGTCTTCTTCATTTAAAGTTCAACTTAATATTTTAAATCAGCAAGAATGGGCATGAGTTAATGAAATTGTAGTAAATAATAAAGCTTAATACCCTTCTATCAGTTTACTTTTATCTCTTGATAATGCGTCATACAATTTAATAATAATAAGCAATAGTATTATATCAAAAGTATGATTTCTATGTCATTTAATTGTCCAATTCTTTTTAACCTCAAATTAGTGTAGTACATATTCTATATAGTAGGATAGCCAAAGCATTTAAATATCATTTTCTTATGACTAATGCAATCACTTAAAACAGCTAAAATCTTCTTAACTCCGTACAGAAATATATTGGAAGGTATTGATCTACTAAAAAAACCCAAATATCTAAGCGACAATAACTTTTATTGATTTAAATTATTTTTGGGAACTTAAAATTCTTGATAAGCAAGTATCAAACCAAATTATTCCTTGAAATGAAGACCCTCTTATTACTTAAAAGGAGAATGAGTGACAATGGTTTCAAACATAAGAAACCCATTAATATTAAATTATTGAAATATTAACAAATTATTTTAATAGTAAAAATTAAAAAAATAAGGTTGTCGTTAAATTATTAAATGGATAATCACTATTTAATAAATTGCTTATCAAATATTTAAAATGAAAAAATACTCTTAGAGTAATAATAAAATCTCAAACACTTAAAATATAAATAGTTTTGTATTCGTATAAATTTTAGACAAAATACTTATGAATTTTAACTTTGAAAGTTTTTTAACAAATGTTTTAACCAATCTTTTGTAGTCTACCTTCTCTCTATTTTAAATTCAACAATCAATAATTGCTTCCTTTTTTGATAAGTATAAAGGTAGAATTATTGTGTTTTAATATCCAACTCAAAATTATAAGCATTATTTCTAAGAAGAAATAAATATTCTTTTTATGATTCAAATTGAAACTCTAATGATGGCCATATAATAATAGATTATTAGAGCTACTTAAATTTAACTATCATAACATCTAAGATAAATTTCAATAGTATTTTGATTTATAATTTATTCATTAAATATTCAAACGAACCCAACCTAAAATAACACCTTGAGATGTAAATTAATTATCTCTACATTTCAAATCCTCTTTTGTTGGGAATATCTATCTATTATTGGAAATTATAATTTCATTATTCTCTCCTTTAATAAGTTTTAATGCTCTTGAAAAGCTTCTTGTATCCCATGATTAATCATAATTTTATTCTGCTATCATCACATGAGGGTAACTGGAATCCATTTCAACAGAAATTACAACTGCAACATGTCCATGAGGAAATTTCTCTTCATCTTTTTTCCAAATCAATAAGTCACCATATTCTGGAGGATGGATACCTCCATTTTAGAATTTCCTTAATTGTAAGGTTTGCTTAGTATTAAAATTGTATGCTTGTTAAAGGTGAAATATTTATTCAGCATAATTAACAGACCCAAAGGTTGAATTATAATGTACGATCCAAAATCGTCTGGCAAATTGAACGCATTAATATCTCAAATAAAAACAATATCTTACTTTTATCCAACATACACTTCTTCTCCAAAAATAGTTTTTGAGTCTTCTAAAAATTCATCTTTCTTCGTGTCTAAAACATTTGGATCTCCAAAATTAGAATATGCAGGCACTTTAATAGCCTAACCCACTTTGGTTCCCCATTATGGTTTTCCTTGATTCCCTTGTAATGATTAATTAGAGTCAAATACATTATGCTCTAGTAATTTCACAAGATGTACAATACCCTTAAAAACAGAAGTTATCACCTTCACACTCCGAGGCTCTGCATTCAATTTTAGGTGTTACAACAACTTCTGATAAACTTAATGAGAAAAGCTAAAGTAAAAATATTAACACTATATATTTCATTTATAATATATATAATATCATTTTAGATAATAAACTTCAATGCATAAACATTTGAATCTATTTTAAGTTTTCTAGTCTGTGAACAATGGATTATCAAAAGTATCACTCTGATAAGTAAACCCTCTATTCAACTCTGAATCAATTTAAAATGCTGGTCCGTTTCTAAGTATTAAATAATCTACTACTTTCCACTTCCAAATGCTAAATAATCTGGGGCACACATCATAAAATCTTTATTACCTGATGTTGGATTATACTTTCTCTCTTCAGGTGACAAAGTAAATAGAAAAGTTTCACCAGTGCCTACATATTTATTCTTCACAGCCAACATTTTATCACAAAATGCACCAAATATCTATTATAATAATACAAATCAGTACAATATTTTAATTTGTTTACATCACCAAGAGTACTGGGTAGTCACTTAAATCTTGGCATTTAGTATACAATTATTTTAATGAATGTCCATCAGTTTTGGAGGCAAATATTAAAAATGGATCAGTTAATTTGTACATGTTCGACATCCAATCCCATAATATTTCAAACTAGCTAAATATCATATATCTATAAATGCCTATTCATTTGTAATTAAGTCTGATGCTTGAGATGGTATGGGTAAATAGCATGGCTAATTTTTAGTGTAGGAGACTGTTGTTCTCATAAACGATTTAACTTGCTCACTTTCACTTAAACTTAATTTAAATGCCTATTTAATAATGTTGTTTTATTCTTCTATGTTTAAATTCATTAATTTCTTTCTTAAAATAGATTTTAAATTAGAGCTTGATTTGCATGACTTCACATCATCTGCAACGTATCTTAAAACAGAGTAAAACATTCTAAAATATATCTTTATTCCTTCATTTAGATACATGATGAATATTTTTAAGACAGCAGAAAATGGTAGGTAAGTTAACATTAAACTAATTGAAATCTCTTAAAATAATTCAAAAGAATCAAAGTGAATATTTTACATCAATTAATAAATATTACTAAATGTCTTACTCCTTCTACTCACAGTTTCATAAAATGTAGTGGCTGTTCTATTCTTATATTTAATGATATTACTCTTTAAAATGTTCCTCATTCATTATTAAATGCCATCGTAATTGTTGTTTCGTCTGATTATCAGTTAAACTTTATTATGAATCCTTTATCATGAATTGCAATACACAATAAGTCTAAGCTTCGCTTAAGAATATTAAAAGCAGAACTATTATATGGAGGAGCATTGGGTTATATTCCAAGAAATGATTTAAATTGTTCACAATCCAAAGTAACCTAATCAAAGCTTCCATTCCTTATTAATTCAAAATCTACACTTTCAGTATTAATTAGATTTTTTTTTCACTTTCATTTAAGTAATTAAATTCTTCATCATCGTCCTCGTTTGTATTACAACCAAAAAGAGGTACATTTTTAAAGGTTTTGGGAATTTATTTGTTTTTGAATACCACTTTCAAAGCAGATAAATATTCTGCTTCGCAATCAACATAAGTCAATCTAAAAGTATCCAATATTATTTTTTTAGCCAAGGAACATGGAACACCTCTATTGATTACTGAATGTCATTACTTTCTAAATAAATATTGCCATTTCTTATTCAAAACTTTTCCTTTTTACCTAACCAATTCTCCATGTCTTAAATTTATTGTATCAGCTTTCGACCAAAATTTTTCCATTTATGATTAGTCCTCCTTATAACCAGGATAAATGAATATGAATTTTTATGGTTCAAATTATGGCTTGTCAACTCCAAACCAATCTTAACTAAAAAAGTATTGATAATCTTGGTTTAAGTTCAACAGTTGACCTTCTTGTAAGAGAGACTTAGGTGGCTCTACTTTCTTTTCACAACACTAAGAACTTAAAAATTATCCCATTCCTATAATGTTAAATTAAAAATACAATTTATATTTTAATACACAATTCCAATTCTTATTATAAGAATCAATAATTAGCTTATTGTTGGATCCTTTTTTGATAATGAACAAATTGTTTCTAAAAAATAAAGATCCAAGAGTTCTAATGTAATGGATTTCTTAACAATAATATAAACGAAAATAATGGAATGTATAAAGTCATTTATGAAAGCGTTGAATCAGTTAATAACAAACTATAAATCAATATGAAATTACACCTTATTTCTAGAAATTTAGAATTTTTTCATTTTTAGACAATAAAATTTATAAATAAAATTATCAAAGACCTTTCATTTGAAAAGCTTTTTGGGAAGATAATACGAGTTTCCTTTCACTTGTTTTAATTATTTTTCTAACATAGAGACTTATTTATAATTAGCATCCTTGAGAAACTAAATTTCTTAATTCAATCTCTTAATTGTGATTTCGAGTTCTTTTTTATCCTCTCTATACATCTGAAGCATTTCATTTTATTAACTTATCAATTTCTCTAACTTTTCGTTTTAGGCTAATAATTTAAAGGTCGCTTCAATAAATTATTACTGTTTTTTATCATCCTTATCATTCTTTTCTGTTTGTACTCTCATTGAGGGAGAACTACATTTGTAACTCTACTAGGTGTCTCTCATGCTCATGCTTGTATTAACTGGTTACGGTAATATAAACGAATGTTGAGTGGACACATATTTAGGACTGCTAAATGATTAGTTGATTGATAAATTGGTTTATTAGGTTAATATCTAACAACTATCATTTAAGAAGGATTTTTAAGTAGATTTTGCAGCGCTAAGTCGTGCAGCAATCAAATGCAAGTTCTAAATGTGATTATTTTGATGTCTCATAAAATAAAAATAAAATTTATATTTCATAAGAGCTGCAATTATTTGATTTTCAACTCACGCATAAATCACATAATATTTCAAATTAAATTATTCATAAAAATTAATATATTAATTAAATTTGTATTCATTTATGTTACCATTTAATAATTTCACCTATCCATATTCTTGAAATAAACCATAATCAATCTTACAATAATTTTATCAATTAAATTTAATATTAAAGGGTAATAAGTTAAGATGACGCTTAATTTATTTGAGTAATAAATGAGAAATAAATTTATGTATAATCCCTCAAACCTGCATTTATCATGAAATTTATGCAAAATTTATGCTAAATCTAATGATACATAATGATTCTTCAAATAAATTGAAAAATCTTAGATTTTATTATAATCCCCTCTTTTACATATTTGAAGAAATCTTCCAAAATATTATTTATATATTTATAAAATAATTACAAAATGAAAGCAACTACATAAGACTTAGATATCATAAGACTTTTGAGTAGCAAAGAGTGGTAGGCTGCTTATAAGAATTTTGTTTACTAATTTTCATCTCAATTTTAAGACAATTAGTAGAATTTGAATTAGCAATAAGAATTGCATAAAGTAAATCAAAATTTAAAATTATCTAAAGAAATTTCAAGAGTCTTTGTAACCAATTACGATTAAATATATATCAAATGAGTCTTAGGAAAAGTATAAGAAAGTATTTGATATTAAAACTATTGTAGAATATTAAAGAATTGTTGAAAAATTATGCTTAGGACACCATCATCCAATATATCTGTTTATTTGATTTTCAATTATTTCAAACAGAGATGATTTCACAAAACTAACTTCTTGATTTGATTGCCTTAGAATTGATTAGAAAGGAAGCAAAGTAAGATTAATAAGAAAGCAGTTCAGATGATGAGGAAGCTGAGAAGGAATACTTTGAAAAATCAAGAGAGTAAACAAAATAGCAGATTGAAGGAACTGCGAATATTGAGGAGGAAAAGAAAAAATTAGAGAAAACTATTAGAGAAACCATTGCAAATTTCAATTTACCAGAAGTCATAAAATAGCCAGAAATCGAAGTTGATTAATATGGATTCAACCAAGGAGTTGTAGAAAAAGAAGATGATATATTAAAAAAGAGTATTAAATTAAGAACTTTAAAGCTAAAGTAAACAATCCCAAAGAAAGAGATAAAACTAACTGCAGAATAATTAAAAAAGAGAAGATTACAAATAGAATTAGTTAAAAAAGCAATTAAGGATGAATGAATTTAATTGTCTTACAAATAATATAGAAAACATAATATTTATAAATAAGATAATCTATCTTGGAGATTTAGGTATACATTTTTATTATGGAAAGAAAAATAAATTAATTAGAGAGTGAATCAATTCATTTTAATTTCGCTTATTTTCTATTTCTCCGTTCCTCTTTAATATATAGTTTAAATAGTTGAATTCTCATTTTTATTTTTATCACTACTTACATACTATTATTCATAAAAACTATGATAAATTGAATTCATACACTGCAACAACTTGTGGAGAAGAAGCTTACATACCCTTATATTCAATTTTAGGGAAAGTATGTCCATCATCACATCCAACCCCAGAATAAATTGGAAATAACCATAAGGATTTATTTTATCCAAAAATCTAGGTAACATTAGTATGTGGATCGATATCATAGAAATTAAAGTTAGTTTAATTATTTTTGCTAATTATATCTTCTAGTGTTGTTTGATTCTTTTATAATAGCTCAATGTGATATTTAAGAAAGTTAAAAAGCAAAAATACTAAAACATAGTTGCCTATGCAAGCCAATGCATAAATCATATTAAAAATTGAAAATTTAAATGAAAGCAAATATGTTTTAGTTGTGCTTACAACTGTAATAAAATTAAATAACAATGCATAAAATAAGAGCAATATAAATTACTTTCTGCTCTAATAGCCAACACATGTATTTATCCATGGACAATGATGATCCATTTATAACACACAGCGATCACAAATAGAACAATGCTAAAATACATTTTGAAATTCTACATGACAACGTTCTGGCTTTTAACATTTACACTTTTCGCAGTACACTTTCTTTGAGAACGGGGATTAATTATATTCATCTACTCTATCTTATTCTGTCAATTTACATTTTTGGTTTTCCTGGATCGATTATAAGCATGACTATAAAACACCAGAAAAGCATTAGGAAAACGATGTTCAAAGCAATCATATGTATATACAATAGTAGGTTTAACTCTTCAGTTATCCACAGATTAAAATTGATCCAATAATGGATAGAATAAACACTAGCTGCAAGCACTACCACCAATTTTCTTCCAATAATTTCTAATTTCTTACTCATAATTATTTTAATGTATATTTTTAATAAATCACCAATCATACATCACAAACCAATTCAAAGACATCAAACATCAGTTCAAATGATAGATTAAATTTTACTCCTTTCTATAAATGAAAAGGTGCACTAACAACTTGTTTCTCACTCAATCTTAACCAAGTTCCATTTTTGCTTTCCAAATCATTTATCATCAATTTAACTGATCCTGCCTTAAAATTATAATCATAATAAATTTCCATATGTTTTGCGCTCATTAATCTGTTGCATCTAAAATCCTTTATTATAAAACTTACTAAGAATGCATAAATGTAAAATTATTTTTGGATCTCTCTCTCCCTATTAAAAACTTATCACCTCTTTTTAATTATATTTATTTGTGCTTTGCTGTTCCTTCATGTTCATACCTGACTTCCAAAAATCCTGTCTCTGTGTTGATGTCAATTATTTTAAATGCAAATCGATTTCCTATATACACTGACATATCTTTTTCAATTACAAAATTATGGTTTATTTTTATAAACGTACCACCTTTTGATCCTACATCAACTAGATAAAATGCCTCTTACAATTTATATTAAAAATGATACTATCTTTATAATGTATTTAGCTATGCTTGCTGCTAATTTTAGAATGATCTGTAAAGGCAAACGTGCAGTCTTCATTCCTGCCAAAACTCGCTCCTTAGATGTTTACAACTTTTAACTAATTTTAACAATAATATTTACTTTTTATTACTCGTCACATTTCAATTTCAAGTGGGTTTATTATTAAAGCTAAAACAAATCAAATAATGGTTGAAGAGTTAGTTTTTCTATTCTTTGTAATATCTATTCTTTAATTGATCTCTATTATTAAATCTAAAAATTATTTTATAATAAGTACTCTACTCGTTAATTATCTTATTATTCAATTATTTATTGAATTTAGATTGACTTTTCTAGAATAGTTGATTATTACAACATGGTTGATTATTGCATAATTGTTGATTATTACATCATTGTTGATTATTACATCATAACAGACTATTACATCGTTGTTGGTTATTAAATCATTACTGACTACTGCAGCATTGTAGATTATGACATTACCGTTGGTTATCCTAAAATAACAGATTAACCCATATCTTATTATTATTATTATTATTATTATTATTATTATTATTATTATTATTATGATTATTATTATAATTAAGATTATTAAATTAATACTGATTATGCCATGAATGCAACCGATTATTACATTTAATCATTAAGTTCTTATTGTTCTTCTTCCTAATTAGATAATTATTATGACTGTTCTTCTTATGACTGATTCGCGTTACTCCCTGATAATATTTCTTCATCGATTTAAACATGAGTTTCTGTGTTCTGCCTATCTCTTTCCTGTTCAAGTGTATTGCCATCAGCGTCTGTTCTTAATAATTTAAACAACAAAATACATCAAAAATGAACTGCTTCTATTATTAACACTATCTTCAACATTGAATTAATTAAAAGTTTAATTTTTAAATTTAATCCAATTTGTATCTCTTTAAACATATGGTGATGTTTAGGCAGAGTGTGTAACATTAGGCTGACTAAATTATTTTTTTATCTATTCTAAACTTTGATCGGTCACCATAATCTTAATTTCAAATTAATCTAAAGTTTCAGTTTTATTTCTATTTTTCATTTAAGCTTCAACATTTCCATATGATTTCGATGATCTCTTAAATTAATCAGTTAGTGTTGATCTTCTATTGGCTTAACCTACTTGCGTGTCTTTGGTAAAATAGTATAAGGAAATCCATCTGATTTGACTTACTTTTCTTTATCCCAATTGTTTATATTCAGTGTATGATTCCTAATTTTTGTAAGCTGCTAAACTCAATATTTGTAATAAATAATGTAATAAATGAAGAAATTAATTTATTTAATGATACTTGCTTGCAGTCTACATAGTATTTCTAACCATACTTTATCGATTTTAATAGAGTACATTTTATGATTTCTATGTTTAATTTTGCTAACTCATTAATAAACATTTTAAAAATAGATTATCTCCCTTAAAAGGTGGATTGACCAAAATTAGTAAAATAAACCCGTCTATTTAGTTTTAGAATAGCAATTAGTAATAATCTTGGAATTTAATTACATGCAATAGAACTTTAATATCATCCATGTCCCAAAATAGCGGTTGTTAATCATATGATGGTAGATGTGAAATAGATTTTAACAATAAATTGATTATGTCTGAACTTATATACATTGAACATCTTCTGTTTTAATTTTGAGTACTGGGCAGCTCATATATACTTTTAATGTAGATCTCAATTTCACATAACAAATTGTTTAATATATGACATGCACAACTGATTTCAGCAGTACAACTCTTACATTTAGAAGTAGAAAAGAATTTGGATCCATAATGCTTCTTAAACGTCTCTCTATAATGCTGATATTTCAAGACTATAAGGGACCATATCTTTAATTTCTAAATCTAATAATAAAGGTTGATATCCATAGAATGACTAATCAATTTATAAATGCCCAAAGCATTGCACAATTCTAATATTTCTTCATACTATCTTGTACAGGCATCCAACAGAGGAATTTATAGTTTGTTAGCATGAGTGTGTGCCTCTTAGTTATTGTAAGATCTCTATTTTGGGGCGGCTTATATCTAAATATTGATGAAGTCATATACAGTAATAATTGACACAGCCCATTACAACCCAACTGATTCACAAAAGGAATTCAATTATTATTCATTCCATCTATAGGGCGAAGACTTGAATTTAGAAAGAAGCCATGAAACAATGTTGTCTAATTATCTAATATTCATAATATTAATATAATCATTCATTCCAATTTTTGTTTTATTCTTTATACAATTTTTAAAACTATTCATTATAACTCTTAATTAATGATTAGAGATAGTTGTTAACCCAATTAGCAAATCTCGTAATATCTTTCTAAAAGTTCGATTCTAAGATTTTGAGTACTTTTTGATTCTCTCTAATTTACTCCTTATATGAGATTTTTTCTTGAGTAAATAATTCAAATATACCATTAAAAGATTCAATTTGATTGTGCATTTTGATTTATTATTGAATCTAATAAACCAAATCAGATCGGCTTCTAATTAATCCGACAGCTTCATCTAAATCCAATATACAGAGCTAATTAACAGGATTCATGTACCTCTAATTTGAATATTACACTTAACTTAATCTCATTTAAAATGTTCTCATTGAGGTAACAACTAACTTCAGTCTTTTTGATGTCCTTTTCCAATTAAGGGAGTTCGAGTTCCTTCATTGAACTTATTACTTTTTTAGTTTCGTCATTTTGTTCTAATTTAATGTTAACAATATTTTAATAGTATTCAAAGATTCTTTTAACTTTCTATTATTCTTCGATCAATAACTAAATAATAAGATTTTTCAATACATCCTCCCAACTTTCAAAGCATTCCTTGATTTCATGGGGAATCTCTAATTCAGGGTATTGCATTTATTTTTGGGAATTCAATTAACTATTGTAAATGAAACTGCTTAAATAATTAAAAGATCCTTTGGCAAGATCATAAGCCTTTGATCCAGCATTTGCAATGGCTGATCCTATCTGATGAACATAGGTTTGATACTATGACAATTCCAAGAGTTCTTATTGCATGGCCTGTAAATCTATTAATTATTTATACTTCTTAAGATGCTGTTAGAAATACTTGAAATTTACTACTAACTTACAATTGAGGGTGATCTTTGATTTTATTTAAAAATTCTGCCAATTGCTAACATTTTATATAAATAAATTACTCTATATCGTTTCTCTCTCACTAACTAAGTATGCTCAGTTAGATTAATTTTAGCTAAAACTGATTTTGGTGGGATGGCTGGAATTAATAGTCCTGGGAACTCTCTCTTTAATGCTGCATTCAACCATTCGAAATGTGTGTATTTTCTTAGTACTGTATGAGCAGGTTCTTCTTCCACTTAACTCCAAAGCTAATAGGAAATATTTTCGTAATATTATGTGTAACTCTACTGAACTTTTTCTGTAAGGTGGAAGCTGATTTTATGAATATTTGATTTCTCAGAAGATTCAGCTTTGAGTATTGGGAGAGGCGGGTAAAGTATTTAAGACACCTATTCCGATTATGTCAGGTAGGATTCCTGTGAGTCTAATTTTGGTTCATCATAATCAATTGGTATATCTATTAATTCATTGTCCATTATTATAAAATGAAAAAATAAAATTGAATCCCTATTCTTATTAAATTTAATTGGAGATACACCTAAGTAATGACTCACTTAGCAGTAATCGAATTCTGGCAACATCATCTTAATATCTACTGGGCGGGGAAAGAAAGCAAAGCATATTAAAGTTATAATTTCAATACTTGAAATCGAAATCTGAAAACAGAAATTAGATTCGAGTTAAATATTATAAATATTTTGATGTTAAGGCTTAATAAAATCTTCTACTCAAGAAAGTAAAACGAAAAAATATTGAGAAAATATAATGTAAATTTAGCTTTTCATTCAGATAGGAAACTAGTCACTCTCTATGATAATTCAATCATTTAAATAAGTTCATTAAATGGTTTAGCATTAAAAAGAACCTAGAAATCTTAGAGAAATTATTATTAAAATAAAGCCTACTAAGGATTTAATAATCTTAATTCTAAATCAGCAACTTCTTTTAACCAAATAATTTCCTCATATCAATAAAGAAGTTTTCTCATCTATTTAGATTTATTTTTTTACCTAAGATAATTATAATTATACTATGTATTAAATGCTAAATTAATTAATTTATTTATAAGGGTAAATATGTAAAACATTTTTACGTTAAGTAAGCTATTTACAATCTCTTTAGATAATTCAAGGTAATTTTGTGGAATATAATTAATTCTCTCAAACAAATTAAGCTTTAATTAAATAATATGAAAGATTGTCAAAGAATTCTTAGTTAATAATTGTGCTTGAAATTCTTTCAAATAAAAGGAAATATTTGGATGTTATTAAAATTGTTTTTAGAGAATAAAATATATTATTATATATGATTTCTGCTTATTGTGTATATTAGAATTAAGATTATACTTGCGATAGATGTAGAGAGAATAATTAACTTATTAATAGTTGTATTTGATTATCAATCATCTTCTGCATGGGCTACTTATTATAAGACTCCATAAACATAGAAATATCGATTAAAGCATTAATAAAACATTTCTTTAACATTATTTTGATTGAACTCTACTTTTTTCTTTTGGTTAAGAATATCATTCTTCTCCTTCTAGTCTTTTGCTCTATCTGCTAAACCTTGCAAATATTCTGGTTCATATAATCTATTAAAATATGCATCATCATTAATAACAGCTTTTGCACAAACTCTAAACATCTTATCCTGGAAGTATTAATTTTAAAGTTCGTCAATTTCTTGTTCGCTTGGCTCGTCCATAATTAATTTTTAAATATTAATACAGATCTAGTCTTTATTTATAATTTTATATCATTTAATGCTATTGTCAAGAATAAGAACATTCAAAAATTTAACCACAACTCTTAAGCCTCTATAAAATAATAGATACTACAAATTCTCGAATGCTGAAGCTAGTAAGAATGCAAAATTTGACAGAAATGCTCATTTCGAAGACCCAGTCAATGAATGGGTAGACCCATCAAAAAGATGGCTATTAGGAGGATGGTTGCTTCTTTGTGCAGGAGGAGTGTATTTTATGGTCTTGTTAGGTGGATACACTAGACTTACTCATTCAGGTACATATTTGTGGAATTATATTTAGGGTTATCAATGACAAAATGGAAACCAATAGAATATGTATATCCAAGAAATCAAGCTGATTGGGAGAAGGAATTTGACTATTACAAACAATTTCCAGAATATTAACATACGCCTATTGATTTAGAGAAATTCAAGAAAATCTTTATAGTTGAATACTTACATAGAGTATCTGGATCAACTTTGGGAGCTCTTTATGTATTACCCTTAGCTGCATTTACAGCTATGAAATGGATCAAACCATAGTATGCAAAAAGACTAGGAGCAATAGGTGGACTTGGATTACTGTAAGGTTTGATTGGATGGTGGATGGTCAAATCAGGATTAGATCGTCCAAAACCTGAGTATTAATAAAAGCCCAGAGTTTCAACTTATAGACTTACAGTGCATTTATCAATGGCTTTGTCATTATATTCTCTATTAATATGGAATGCTGCTACTCTTTTTAAGAAACCCCAACATTTGTAAATAACCCCTGAGAATTATAAAACACACCTTAAATTTAGAGGACTTGGGATTGGTTTGATTCATTTAGTTGCCATCAATTTGTTAACTGGAGCAGCTATGGCAGGTATAGATGCAGGAAAAGTTTTCAATACATGGCCAACTATGAATGGATAAATTGTTCCAGCCAACTTATTTAAAGCATCACCATTTTATAAGAACTTTTTTGAAAATGTTGTGATGTAAGAATAGTTAACTATATTTTAGGGTGCAATTCAACCATAGAAATGCTGCATATTTAACATACGCCTTTGGATCATATATTACTTACTTAGCATATAAGAGCAATCTTCCAAAACAAGCAAGGTACATGTGTTTTGCCCTCTATGGAGTTCTAAATTATTAACTACTCACAGGAATTGTAGCATTGCTCAATTAGGTATGCAACTCTATTATCCTAGGTTTAAGTTCATTCAGGAAGCATCCATTAATTTAACGCATTAAATGTTCTTACAGCAAGTCTTTTATTATGTCATAGTGTTAGAAGACCAAGCGTGCCTTACAGAAATTATTTAAAGTAATTTGTTTGATATATACATAATGGCTAATATTATATAATTAATTCTATTAACAATTTGAAATGCATTAAAAGGGACTATTTACATAAAGAAACAAATGAATAATCAATTTTTTATAAAGATAATACTAGTTCCTATGCTTATAAAAGAGATCATGATACAAGTTTTTAGAGAAAGTGCTTTGAACATATTTTCAAATGAATTTCCTATGACTTATAACCAAAGTTATTGTGTTCTAATTTTCATTTCTATATTTTAATTTTTGCAGATTTCTAATTCTTTGCATTTTTCAGACATTGATTCTATTAAGTAATTTTCTGAACATTGATTTTACTCAAATTCTGTAGCACAATTTTTCATTTCTATTAAAACTTTAGTTTTTTAAATATCAATATGAGCTTGAATATCCTTATATATTTCATAAGCCATCCAAAGAAAGCATATTAAAAATAAACTTTTTAAGATTGCGATAGCCCATATTCCTATGAAGTCTCCTGTAGTCATAGGAGTAAATTTTAATGATTTTTCTAAGGAGCCATCATCATGCTTTCTTTCGGATAATTCCATCTTCATATTGTTTTTGTTGATTCTTTTAATGAACTAATTTACTTATTACTTTTACTTCTGATTTTATATCCATTAATGATTCTTGTTCTTAAAAGCGAGTAATTTAGTTGTAGGTAGACATTAAAGTCGATTAAATAGAAATTATTATTATTAATTAAAATATTTAGACATTATATTTTTGTACTTATAATTTATATAAGCTCAAATTACTTCTTATTCTTAACCTTATGGTTCTTCTTTTGGTTAATTATTCTCCTAATTTTCTTATTAAATTTATTCTTCTTAGTGTTCTTGGCTCTAAAATTAATTTTATTCCCCCTAAGGTTGTTCTTGTGCCTGCTATTCAACATCTTATACATTATTTGCATTTTCTTAATGATTTTCTTCATGGCTCTCTTAATGGTTTTCTTATTATTGTTCATTTTAATCTGAATGATTTTCTTATTATTACTCATTTTATTCTGAATGGTTTTCTTTTGATAATTTTTCAGCTGAATTTGGTTCTTAATTTACTTAAGAAGCTTATTATTATTACTAGAATTGTTCATCTGTTTATTATTAATCTCCAGTTTGAGCAGCTGGTTATTTTCCTTTTTTTACTATTTTCTTATCCTCTTATTTAGGTTCTGCCTTTTTATCATTTGTTTTGGGTTGATTTTTTGATGAACCATTTGCTTTTTAATCTTATGGTTTATCTGCCTTTTTGGGAGCTTCTTTTGGCTTTTCAGTTTTCTCTGGTTAAACAGGAGGATTTTATTTATTTTATTTTGGCTTATCTACTTTTTTTTCATCTTTCGGAGGCTAGCTTTGCTTTTGAGGTTGTTCTTTTAAATATTATCTCTAATCTTACCTTAACCATGAGATTTTGTATCTTTCTGATCTTTTTTATCTTTCTATTCAGGCTAATTTTAAGGTTTTGGTTTAGGTTATGGAGGTTACTATTATGGTTATCCTTATGGTTTTGGTTGCTTTTATGTGGAATCTCTAGGAGATTTCAATGTTACTATAAGATAGTATAATTCAAATACCTTTATCAACCTCAGTTGAAGCTGTCTTATCTACAATTACACTTTAACTCAAAGGCTTTTGACCTGTTTAAGGTCTAGGCTCTTTGACCTTATTTTAATCATTCTTTTAGACAACACCAGTTTAAGGACGATCAGGTTTTTTGTTTTCTAATAAAATTGAATTTATAATAATATTGCTTACCATGATTTCCATTATTATCTTTCTTTTATTCTTGCTTTATTTATTCTAATAATATTTATTATGAATTGTACTTTTCTCTTCCTCCTATTTCAAAGGCTTAAGAGAGTTAACTAAGTGTCTTAATTATGTCAATTCCTCAACAAGTGAATTGATTTAGTCTTCATTTTATTGATCCCTAATTTTTAATTCCTCCACTCTTTCAAGAACAGGCTTCAATAATTCAGAAAGATGTTGCTCAACCTCTGGGGAAATCTATTGCATATCTAAATTTCAAAATTTATATTATTAATTTGTTTATTCAAAATAGTGAACCAATTTGTATAAATTAATGTACGTCATGTTTGTGAAATAATGTTTAAAATAATAAGCAAGATACTTTTTATCAATTTATTCATGTGAAGCATAAATCAACATGACTCTTGCAAATTGGGCAATTTTTCTAAGTTTAAAGCCATTTTTTAATGCACTCAAAATGAAACTAATGTTTACAATCCAATTACACATCAATTGGTTCTTTAGAAGGTTAAATATCTTCCATACAGATTGGGCAACTTCCGACTTCGTTTATTTACACTTTTTTTTTCTCTAACTCGAAGATTTTGCTTTAGTACCCAATTTATTCCTCTAAGTTTAGGTTAGTAAAATACTCATATAAATCTTCCCTACTTAACTCATTAATTTATTTGTCTGTTAGTCTCATACCAGGTATGAATTCGAACTTTTTCTTTTTTGCTTGCTATTATTAGTATGATGGTTATTATTATTATTATTATTATTATTATTACTATTATTATTATTATTATTATTATTATTACTATTATTATTATGAGGGTTATTATTATTACTATTATTATTATGATGATTATTATTATGGTGGTTATTATTATTACTATGATGGTTATTATTATTACTATTATTATTATTACTATTATTATTATGAGGGTTATTATTATTACTATTATTATTATGATGATTATTATTATGGTGGTTATTATTATTACTATGATGGTTATTATTATTACTATTATTATTATTACTATTATTATTATGAGGGTTATTATTATTACTATTATTATTATGATGATTATTATTATGGTGGTTATTATTATTACTATGATGGTTATTATTATTACTATTATTATTATTACTATTATTATTATGAGGGTTATTATTATTACTATTATTATTATGATGATTATTATTATGGTGGTTATTATTATTACTATGATGGTTATTATTATTACTATTATTATTATTACTATTATTATTATGAGGGTTATTATTATTACTATTATTATTATGATGATTATTATTATGGTGGTTATTATTATTACTATGATGGTTATTATTATTACTATTATTATTATTACTATTATTATTATGAGGGTTATTATTATTACTATTATTATTATGATGATTATTATTATGGTGGTTATTATTATTACTATGATGGTTATTATTATTACTATTATTATTATTACTATTATTATTATGAGGGTTATTATTATTACTATTATTATTATGATGATTATTATTATGGTGGTTATTATTATTACTATGATGGTTATTATTATTACTATTATTATTATTACTATTATTATTATGAGGGTTATTATTATTACTATTATTATTATGATGGTTATTATTATTATTACTATTATTATTAAGATGGTTATTATTATTACTATTATTATTATGACGGTATTTATTATGGTGGTTATTATTATTACTATGATGGTTATTATTATTATTAGGATGGTTATTATTCTTATTACTTGTTACTTTGTGGGATATTTAGTTATACAAATTTTTATAAGTTACATGTCGCTTGAACCTAATTACTATTTATGGGGCTTTTATTTTCAGTCTATGGTCTTTCTTAGATTGCATGTTTAAGTTATGGCGTAGGTTATGGTCTATATTTTTATTTTCCACCATCTACACTATTTTTTTTTTCAGTATTAGTTTTCTCTTTCTTCGAAATAATTTAATCTGCTTTTAAGAGCATTGTTTCATAAAATTACTAATTTTTGGGATCAACTTTTTTTCTCAAATCAAGCACTTCTGTGTTTTCAAGTTTATTGTTTATTTTTTCTTTATTTTCAAATTGATTAAAGTTTTGTTCAATTTATAAAGTTTATTGTATTTTTTCGCGCTTTTGCTTTTTTTCAACTTTTTCTTCTGCCGATTTATTCTGTAATTGTAATAAATTACCTTCTTCTAATTGAAAATCAAATTATTATTTTTTTTCATCTTATAGAATTGAGTCTTTTTATAGCTTTTCCTATTTTTTATTCTCTACAGTAATCTTTAATAAATCTTCTTCTTATTATAGTTACTATTACTATTATTACTACTATTTTTATTTTTCTTATTATTACTGTTGTTACTACTACTATTATTACTATTGTTACTACTACTATTATTACTTTTTTTACTACTATTATTATTACTATTGTTACTACTTTTATTGTTACTATTCTTACTCATATTATTGTTATTATTGTTACTACTATTATTACTATTATTATTATTACTCTTATTATTATTATTATTATTATTATTTTTATTATTATTATTATTATTACTATTTTTATTATTCTTTGGATAACTATTATGATTATATCTTCAAAATATCATTTGATTTGATGTTCTTTGAAAATTAATCATATTTGTCATTCTTTTATTGCTTAAAATAAAATAATAATTACATAAAATTTTTTATCAGATGTTTTATTGGATTCCAAAACATTTCGTGTCTGGTCATTTTATTTTTGATTCTATGCTTATTTTTATTCTATCTGAACTCCTATTATTTGTTAATGATGAGAAAGGTCAATTTTCTGCTCTTTTTGACAATATTTGGGGTTTTTAGTTGTAAAGATAGTAGACTAAAAATTCTAATCTATAATCAATTGAGCTAATTATTCATCTAAATATTCTTAATCAGTTTTGGACAAAGTATCCATGCAGTTAGTTTAATGCTATTTTAATTCAGCTTTAAAAAACACATTTCTGCAAATTATACATTGCTCTTTTTCTTCCATTTATGGATCTTCACTTTTCAAGCAATCATTCTATGACATATTTATAATATAAACTGATTCTAATAGAAATTAATAATTATTAAAGTGTAAATAACTAAAGGAATATTAAGCATAAGAGTTACTAATTATTTTATAAAAAATTTGCCTAATTATGGGGAATAAAAATGATTTTACAGATACTCATAACTATTGATATTATCTATTAAGAGATATTTATGGAACTCCTAAATGTAGAAAACCAAAATAATATTTTAGCATAAAAGATTTTGATTATCTATACTTAAATAACTGTGATAAACCATTATTAATAAAAGTTTTACATCTATTTCAGAGATATTAATTATAAAGTTTATTGAGAGTTACAATTATTTAGAATTATAGATATATTTTTAGATTAGAATAGATTTCACTTTTTGTTGTCACTTCAATAAGTTTTCTAGAGTCTTAATATATAAAATAATGCTCTAATCATTTAATTTTAACATAATTCTTATTGCTATTATTTTGAGACTAATGTAATTTATAAGTATTGTGCATGTATGCAATAGAATGCTGATATATAATTATTTTAGATTTTAGTGAAATACATAAATTATACAACAATTTATAATATATACTTTAAAATTAAATTACATTAAAATTTTGTTAAACAATAATCACCATCTAATACGAACAATAAGAGATGCGATCATCAATGCTAAAATACAAATAGATTTAGCAATCTTTCCAAGATTTTTCATTTTACTAATAAATACTTCAAATTTTTACTTTTTTAACATGTAATATATAAAAATCCAAGAAAGAACTAAGAATTTCGAACTATTATTGTTCTTGGCAATTAAACCATGATTTATGCCTCTTAAATAACCTAAAATATATGATTGATATAATACTAATTCTTTTATCCTTATTAATTGATTTTTAACACCAATTCAAGATTACGTTTTTCACTCTTTCAAATTCTACATCATTTTGGAGTTCGTGAAATCCTTTATCGAATAATTTTAATGTCTTGTCTTTCGATCCTGCTTCACGATATAATTCTACTGAATTCATATGACTGGCTACTTTGTCCTCCTTCCCATGTAAAATCAATAAAGGTTAAGTGAATCTTTAATAATTCCAATGTTTTACTAGTTAGCATTGGGTAAAATATAAGAATCCAACTGCAATATGTTATAAGCCATTCCAATACTCATAAATGGTTGTACAAGACTATCCTCAGCAACACTTTTGATTATGTTATTGTTTTTACTGCAATGACCATAATCTATATAGGAATTAACCATGAGACCCTTAAAATAACTTAGAAATTATACAGGAATGATCTTATTCATTACAGTAAGCAACATCCTTTTGAAAAATCCATATTTTTTGGCAAATTAAAGATATGGATTTACTACTATGACTCCTTATACGATAATTGAAGGATTCGCAATACAGAAACTTAATCCAACCGCAGCACCTAGAGATTAGCATTATAAAAATATTGGTTAGGATCTTTCAATTGTTTCTAAAATGCATTCTAGATCTTAATGCATTTATTTGATATCTGCATGACTTCTTATGCCACCTGAATTACCAAATCCCCTTTAGTCATATAAAATGACTTAAAACCCGTATTTTGCATATTCATCTGCAACCTAATTATGATGGCTTATCTTACGTGAAAGTATCTACCAGAATGATCTCCATACCCGTGAAGTATCACTATTGTTGCAATTGGATTTTCTGGAGTGCAATAGGTTGTATACAAATTCAAACCTTTTGTCTGGGAAGGAACATATTTTCTTGTTACCCGATAGGTCTCCTCATGCCACTCACCTAAAAATCTGTTGGCATATTATTTGTTCAATGATCTATTTTATTAGAATTCTTGACTTAAACACATTGAAGCTTTTATAAGAGTTTATTGGTACAATTCATGTCTAAATTCGAGCTAGGTTTTTAAATATGGTATGTCGACTCCTAAACGCTGTATGAACTACTGTTTCTTATCATCTTCAAAAATAAAAATTATGTATTTTTTATTTTTTTTAAATAAAAAGTTCTTTTGAATAATATTATGCTTTTAATAATTAATATTAAAAAAATTATAAATTAATAAAGTATTCAAATTCAAATATGTCAAAAATAAATTAAAGAGCTAATAGCATCGATGAATTTAGAATGATTAATAGAAGAACCCAGAAGGAAAATTAGAACTAGAACAACAGAACTTTGGACGAGAAATTACTCTTAATTGAAAAATAATTAGCTTAAAATGAGAGTTATAATGATTAATATTTACTAACTAATTCAATTGAGGCAAATGCAGTACCTATGAAAACATAAAATTAAAGCATATCTTTTAATTTATAATCTATTGAAAATGATAGGTTTAATTCAAAAAAGAATAGCTTAATGGAGGAGTGCTAAAAAAAGTCATATGATTCTATGAGAGATAACGCCTCTAAATATCAGAGTAATAATAATGATTCAGCCTTGGTTATGTTGCTTAATGAATTTGAAAGGAGATTTGAGTAGATTGAAGAAAGATTACAATCGAGGTATATATTGAATTAATTTAGTGAAAAAACAAACAGATAGTATTAGCAAAATAATAAATCAAGTGCAGATTACTTTAATGGAATCTAAGAGAAACTCACCTTATTATTATAAAGAATAGGGAAATTTGAATTGAAATTGAAATAATTAGATGAAGCCTTTCAATCCCATAAGAATTAAACAGACAAAAGAATTATAGAATATAATTAGCATGTATCATGAAAATGGATTATTAGGTTGATTAATCATTACAATCATTTTTGGATGTATCAATTAAAATCTAAAAAAAAATTGAGCGAATAACGTCTAAAGATAATCTAACCGAAGTAGAAGTATTGAAATAAAAAACTGACAATCTTACTTTTAATTTACAGCGAACTCATGAATTATTAAATTAATAAATGAATGACTTTAGCTAATTATAGTAATCTGTAAATTAAGTATATATGCAATTAATTATTTCCTTAGGTAATTCGAGAAGATTACTTTAATAATTTATTTGAAGAAATAGAGACCATAAAAGATCAATATTCATAAACAATGCAATATTTGAAAGAGTTATAAGAATTTTTGATAAAATGATTTTGAACTTTATTTCTCAAAAATGTATGTAATTTATATAAATGCTTTAATTTCTTGTAATTGCTTTGTTCCTTTAATAAAGCTTGTGTTAGTTAGGGTAAGATGATGCTGATTACACTGATCAGTATGAACCTGATATAGTAGATGTAACAGATGAAGGCACTACTTCTGGTTTGAGTTCATCAAATTTAAAAAAGTTTGTTCCTCAAGAAGATGCTTAAAATTGTGTTGATACAAATTGTGCAGAGGAGATTGTTGCATGTAAACACAATGAAGATTGTTTTGGTAATTATGGAAGGTTTGAGATTTGCTATAATTAAACTCTTTCATTTAAGAACTGCAAAGAACCATTATTAAATAGTACATTATCTACAGTGACCTTTGAATTATAAGATTTGATGGAGTGTTATAATCTTTGCGGTTGGTCGAAGACTAAAGGATTGAATGGATTCTTGCTTTGCGTAGTATTTGGGCTTGATTTATTGTTATTTTGAGAATAATTAAAATTTATCTGTTATAAAAAATGAATCAACTGAAAAAACATATCTCTGTTAAATGCATCAATTTTAACACATAATCTACTAATACACGTTCTAGAAGTATTTCAAACCAAGTATCAAAGAATTCAACAGATAGGTCTAGATCTGTAAGCAAACAATGCCCAGCTATTAAGTAGTATAATTAGAATAACTTTTTAGGTTGCCTGTGCCAGTAAAGAATTCTGAAACTACATCACTGTCAAATACAAAATAGGTATCTAAATTAGGAAAGATAAAAATTGATCTAGGGAATAATGCGACATCACGCAGTCAATAGACGACTTAAAAATCAAGATCAAGTAGTTAAATAAGCAAAGAAGAGTCTTTTCCGAAAATGCTTCCAGATTTTGGAAGAATGGAAACTGAATTGCTTGATTGTTAGGATTTTTTTCTGCAATTGCCTGAAATACACTTTCCTACAAATGAAGATGTAATGAAAGAGAGAGTAATATTGGCAAATAGAATCGCTTATACAATAAAGACAAAGAAACGAATCCCTCCTTCAACACCTGATTTTTATAAGGTACCGAATCTCTAACCTTAGTAAGGTAGCTCTGCTATGTGATAGGCAAAGGAGCCTTTGCTAAAGTGTGTTTAGGAATACAAATTTTAACAGGTGCCAAAGTAGCCATGAAAATAATTGAAAAATCAACTTTGAAGAGTGAAAGTGCAAAAAAAAGATTGTTGTTAGTAAAACTGCGATTTTATTTTAGGAAATAACTATTATGAAAATTTTATCCCAATACAAATAGTTTGCATAATTATATGAAGTATTTGAAACAAAAAAACAAATCTACATCATAATGGAATATGTAGAAGGAGGAGATTTGATGAAATGGACCAAAGAGAAGCCCATTCCAGAGATCTAAGCCAAAAATATCTTTGCTTAATTGACACTGGCTCTTTAAACTCTCCAAAGTCATAATATCTTACACAGAGATATCAAATTAGACAATATCTTACTTTAAGGAGATTTGATAAAGATTTGTGACTTTGGAGTCAGTAGACAGATTATTAAAGGGCAGAAAATATTAGAATAATGTGGGACACCAGCGTATTTAGCACCTGAAATAATATTCAGTAAAATTGGTTATGAAGGATTTGCAAGTGATATTTGGAGTGCTGGAGTTCTTCTATATATTTTGTTAGTTGGCAAGGTGCCTTTTAAAGGAAATAATATGAATGAATTGAATCATAACATTTAAAATGGGTAATTAAATTTTATTGAGATGAAGAAACAAAATCTATCAAACGATTCAGTTGGTAAATATTGTAATTAAATAGTTAGATTTAATTAAATAGATGTTGAATGTTAATCCAAAACTAAGAATAACGTTAACTGAAATTATGAATCATCAATGGCTGAAGGAGATAAATATTAAATAGCAAAAATAACAACCAAACAGTACAAATTTAGACTTAAGGGTAATTTCACAAATAGAATAATTTGGGTATTAAAGGGAATTCATTATAAAAAGCTTGCAAAAGTAAACATTTTGTCATATTAATGCCATCTATTCAATATTAACCAGTGTATAAAAATGATAAATGCTTTACTTGATATATACATATATATATATATATTTGTCATTAAAAATAACTTAACATATCATACTGCTTGGTTTAGATTGGCTAATTCTCCTTTTAATGTTGACCTAACTGTCTAAATGAATTCTAAGAAATATAATGAATCATATTTACCAGCATGTATTAAGCCTTGATTAAAGACGTTTTAATTAATTTTTATCAATTCGTTATTAAAATTTTTCATTTTATCATTAAATTTCATTAATTCTCTCGAAAACTCAATGTCCACTCTACCTTCTTCCCCTTACAATTTAGATTTTATGTTAAAATATTAGGCTGCATTTTCCTATCTTTAAATAGGTTCATTATCAATAATAGTTTCAAGTTCTTTCGGTTATTTAGCACTTAGAACATAGACCCTATCCTTGCTTTAGAGGACAACGTCCATGGGCGGTTTTAGGAATACGTAAGGCTTATTGTTGTTTTTAACTTTCTCCCCTCTATATAGTCCAATAGGAATCATCTTTTGTTCAGTCAGAAGGATTTCAAAGAGTTCACCAAAGGTTTTCTCCAAATATTTAGGTGGGATATTTATCAAAAAGAGATTACTCTGCTATAGTTTACATGCCTGATAGAGCTTTTTATTCTAAAAATATGAATAGATAATGTACTTTCTTATTCATGGAGGCACTTCCTAAAATCATCTAGTCGAAAATGCTGGTAATAAATGGATTATAATAGGCCTAACAAATTAGAGTATCAAGCATTGTAGAGATATAAATTTCTCCAGAAGCGAATGGCTCACTTACAGACCAATCATATTTTTAAACATAATTATTTCTTGAGATCTACAAAAATGATATTGTGGAAATTGAAGCTAGTTCAGTGATTATATTGATATTCGAATTTAAAAGTTTAACAGTTTTATAAATAAATATTGTGTCAGCATCAACTATATTTGAAATTCCCTCTTCTTAATCAGCTGATTTTTACAAAATCACGAGGGCTGATGCTTTTTAAATACAAGCTTTTTTGAGATCTTCTGTATTCAAAGGAGATCCTTATTAAAAATAGACCTTAGGGAATTTATTAATTTGTAATTGGATTTCTGTTGGTATCAAATCTTAGTTTAAAATAACTATTGGTTGTATATTTTTGAGTGATCTCGCTCTCAAAGGCATCATCAAATATTTCATATCTGAAACAACACCGCAAACAATAAAGTGATTCTCGAATTTGTCTTAATCTCCTACTTTTGGAAGTCCAGTTGTAATAGTCTGTGGCTTGACTTAATAATAAGAAGTATGTTTCTGACTATCCTCTTTAATGCCTTCACTCAGTATCTCTTTTAAGTACTCTGCCTCCTACTGAAGAGCATTTTTATTGTTTGCTTATCTTTGCACATTGGGGAAACAATAGTTCTTTTAAATGTATTCAGGGAATTTGGTCTGTTGGATCTTTTCGATATTCGGCATCTCGGTGGCTATAACATACCCATAATGCAAGTAATCTTCAAATAGATAATCTGCTGGATTCACAAATACACTTGTTCCTGATTCTAATTCGACTTCTAAGGCGAACAAAATGATATTTAATTCTTTGTAAACAGCTTACGAAATCTAAGATCGTTATGATTCTTACTTAACTAAAGGTGAGACCTACAAATGCTTCTGACTCCAAAGGGACTCTATAGATTTCATTTTGCATCCCACATAAATAGTCATCAATCCATTCCCCTTTGTTCTTGTCATACTTGGTAGTGTCATAGGAAGGCTTTGACGACTGAATTAAAAATGAAATCAATGTATTGATCCCAGGACATAGACAAGTCTTTCCCAAAAGGTAGAGTTTGAGTTCGTCTACACAAATTACTTGATCTGTTTCATGGCCACCTAGAGAATTAAAATACAAATCTTTGCTTGATGGTTGTAGGACTTGCAAACAAACTCTAGCTCCCTTTCTGGATTTTTGCTTCTTTGCGAATTATTTGACAGCAAATGCATGAATAATGTTGCGATAATCATCCCTCTTGGGAGTACGACTAGTCTTATTAGCCAACACTATCACACAATTACAATCTTTGGAACTACATCTTTCCAAGTCTTTATTTTATAGTGGATGTCCTTCCAAGTATATCACTTTCTGAGACAAAGCAGGTTGTTTGAGTTAAAGGGTCATTTCTTCAGTTGGAGCTGAAGGCTGGAGGATGACAGTATTGGTATCATTCAAACCATGATCACTGTGATAGAGCTCATTCAAAAAAGTCTTGAATCCTTCAACCTAGGAGGACCCAAGCAACAAGATGTGTTCCTATTCCTTTTTGGATATGTATTTGTTTCTGGCGAACTGGCTTCTCAAACTGTATACTCGTGTAAGCATTTCTACTTAAGTTGGCAATACCAAGAACATAATCAGGATTGCAACAATAATGGAAAATCTTCCGTATATTGTTGTCGGATACACATCTCCGAAACCGACTGTGGAGATGGTGACCACCATAAAATAGATGTACTCGACAATTGAATAGTCCTATTCTACGACATACAGTACTGAAGAGTTGATGATTATGATTGCCATCACTGTTACTATTGGTTTGTAAGCTAGCCTAAATACTCTAAATCAAATCTATTAACTACCTTCCATAGATTAACGCTGCAACACCTTATCCAACTTGTAGCACAATAAAAATCGCAGAACTCTCAACAAGTAAATGTACTTGTAACCGGTGATTATGTTCAATCTCGCAAGTAAGGATGGGAATATTGAAACGTATTCGACTAACGATGTAGTTTGGAATGTAAAGAACAATTTATTTTCTGAAAGGTAGAAGTTAATAGCAAAATCAAGAAGGAAATAGATGTAACAGATCAATTCAGGAATCTAAGAACCTATATTCATTTGAATTTACAGTTATATATGGCTGAGCTTCTCCGACATCTTGAGTTCCTCCCTGTTCCCATGAGTAGCAGTCTATTAGGTGGAGCACTGGTAGGAGGAAGCTCAGAAAAACATTTATGCTATCCAAATAATCACCTATTCCAGAGGTTGATAAGTATTTGGCCAATTTCAATGTGAAGGTTATTTTGCCTTCCTCGTGTTTCTTCGTGGTTGCATCATCTTCGGAATTCACGAGTCTGATCAAAGCATACTAATCTTGATGGCTGAAGATGGATTATTTGCCTTCATAGATCATTATTAAAATAATTCATTCAGATTGGTATTGAATAAATTAAATTTAAAATCCAAATGATCGTCGAAGAGAATGAATTCGATACCCAAATAGAAGATCTTCTCAACAAAGAAAAGACAGCTCGATTGGCCAACAATCTAGTCGAAACACTCAAGGTTACTAAGCAAATTGCCAAACTCTGCTTCGATACTAAATAATACTCTAAATTCAATGAATTGATAGTGTCCCTCAGTAAGAAGAGAGGCCAACCAAAAAAAGCACAAATTGAACTTGTTTAAATGGCTATGCTTGAATTAAAAGCACTCCCAATTAATTAAAAATTGGAGATGATTGATGCCATTATGAAGGTGTGCGAAAAGAAGATCTACTTAGAAGTAGAGTATGCTCGATGCGTATTGATGCTCACTCAATACAAAGAGGATGATAATCAAATTGCTGATGCTGCCAAAATATTATAGGAAGTCTAAGTTGAAACCTATGGATCCATGGATAAAAGAGAAAAATTGGAATTCATCCTCTATCAAATGAAAATCATGATCAAAAAATTAGATTATGTTAGATTGTTCATTATCTCCAAAAAGATTGAACCCAAAAACATAGAAGATGATAATATTGCAGATCTTAAGATTATTTATTACTCATTCCTCGTTATTTATTATAGACATGAAAATAATTACAAAGAAACTGCTCACGCTTATTCGAAGATACTTGAATCATTGCATAAAAACAGGTAATTAGAGGCTACAAAAGTGGATTTCAATTTTAGAATTGATTACAATACAACCTTAGAAAATTATGCTATGTACACTATCTTGAGTTAATACTCTGAGGAGAAGGTATATAAATTAATAGATATTTTAGTAAAAATAATTGCAATCCATTGTTTCCACCTATAAGTATGGGCTTGAAGCTTTGCCCAATATGTATTAATTAATTTAAGCCTTTTTGGGTACAGAATTGATTAGTACTTCCCCATAAAGTCACAACGTCTAGGCTGCTGAGATATTTGATGAGAACATTGAAAACAATTAACAAAGATTTGTTGGTATGATAATATTCAAATTTCTTATAGATTTTAGGAGATAATTGATTCATCACAATTTGAGGATATTTTAGATTTATTATGATTCTATACATTTAAATAGAATTACAGAATTAATTGAAATTAGCACTTAAGAGTTAGAGGAAGAAATTTGTTTGATGATGGATTAGAAAGTATGGGAATGATATTTAAACTAGTTATTGAAATGTAAAATAGATAGAATCCAGGGTATAGTTGATTACTAGTTAAAAAAGAACGAAAATGACGTGCTATAAGAGTGGGGAGACAATGTAAATAAGGTTCTTAACCTGATTGATCTCACAAGCAATTTGATAAAAAGAGAAGAAGAATTATTTTTGTGAGATCAATTATTATTATATATAATAATTCAAATTTAATAATGTATAAGGTAATGAGAAACGACTCGTTAGACTCAGAAAATAATGTAGAACAATATGATGAAGATCAGGATTAAGAAGATGGGTAAGATGTTGACATGGAAGGATAACAATATTATGATTATGAAGAATAAGATATATAACAGCAAGAAGAGTATTAAGAATATCAGCCAGAGGAACAATAGGATGAGTAATAAAGTAATATCTTATAGTAAGAAGGTTTTAAATATCAACCATTTGACTAAAGGAAGTGGCAATGGGCAGAACCGCTGATAGAGGGAGTTCCACCTTGTGCTCGAGGTGGTCATTCAGCAACATTGAGTGGAGCCTCTATTATATTGTTTGGGGGACATTATTATGCCAATAAGGATGAGGGATATAAATACTTGAATGACACATATTAGATGGATGTGAATGCAAACAGATGGTTCAAAGCCAAGGTTCAAGGTACTCCACCTGCTCCCAGATATGCTCATTCTGCAGTTTTGGCAGGATAAAGGATTATTATTTTTGGAGGAAAGGGAGAGAAATGCGTCTTTAGAGACCTACATGCTCTCGATCCATTAACATTAACATGGTATTAAGGACCTGAAGGATCCGGTTCTCCAAGTGCTAGATTTGCTCATTCTGCTACTTTGGTATGTACTTTGGTAGTATTAATCATAGTACGCCTCTACAAAAATGATAATATTTGGGGGTTGGAATGGAATCGATTATTTTAATGATCTCTATGTCCTGGACTTAGAAGTCATGGCTTGGTCTCAACCACCATGTACAGGCCCTTCTCCCACTCCTCGTTAAGGACACACGGCTATATAGGTGGGAGCCAACTTAATCATATAGGGAGGTTTCTATTATTAGGAGGATAAATCTCTTAAGACATTACATAAGACAGCAAATCCTCGACATGGATCGCATCTAAGAGGCTGTTATTTGAATGATATTAGAATTCTCGATACTGAACACTTTGCATGGAGTAGGTTAAGAGTAAGTGGAACTCCTCCTGCTCCACGATATGGACACTCAGCTAATGTCAGTGGGGCTGACATTGTAGTGTTTGGGGGATGGTCACTAAACTCAGGAGCCAGGAGGTTCTATATTTATCTATTGTTAGCGAAAATAATTTTGCCACTCCTCCAGACATCGATTACTTGATAGTTTTGAACACTGAGAAAATGTGTTGGGAGAAGGCCAAGTATGAGGGGAATGCTCCAAGAAATAGATATGGTCATACAGCCACTTCCATTGGTCCACACATATTGATATTTGGAGGGTGGGAATATAACAGAGCTACGAATCAAGTAGTTGTGCTAAGAGATCTTAATGTCGGACAATAATAGTAGGAGAAGAAAAAATGATATTAATTATAAAAAAATGAGTAGTTTGGGATCATCTCCTAGAAATTCTCTTAATATTGTTGATATTCTGGAAAAGTACAAATAGAAAAAGGCTATTATGAGTCCTCTTCCTCTCGAATCCTTTTAATAAATTGCTTAGGAGGCTGGGTAAGAATTACTCCAATAGCATCCAGAGGGCGACAATTCTCACTTTATTTCATTTAAGCAGCTTAATTAAGATGCAATAGACGAGTTATAACGATCCCTTCATTAATCGAAAATCATGTGGAATAATTTTAGTAGGGCTTTATTTGCAGCAAGTCCCATTGAAAAAAAAAATAGTTCCAAGAAAATGGAATTGTTGCATAATAGAGATGCCTATTATCGAATAAAGAAATAAAATGAACTATAATTAAAGTTGCAATTGGATGGAATAAATAAGGAATACCAAAAAATACATCTTGAAACCCAGGGAGTCAAATCATACCCATCCATCTCAACCAAGGACTAATTCCGTTAGCAATAGATAAGAAGGTAATTGCAGATGGGATGTAGTTAAGAACTGGTTCGTTAGGAAACAGAATTAATTAAATAATAAATTGAACTTACAAAATCTAGATTAATTAATGAAGTCAAGAAAATTGTTGTTTATATTTACAGCAATTAAAGCCATTGTTGGAATCCTTCATCTAGAGAAAGTAGCGCCATGGTAAATTATAATGAGAAACTTTATCTTTATGGAGGATCAGGAGCTGGTCATATCAGTGATCTCTGTTAAGCAACATTTGATAAGTGTATAATAATTGAGTTATGTTAGAATTATATAAATGGACGATGATAAAATTAAAACAATTAGTATTATGTAAATCATACCATACTGCCAATGTCTATAAAAGTTAACTTATCATTTTTGGTGGTATTTAATACTCACCTCAAAAGGAAGATAGGATCCAGTGTGAAGTAACCAATGAAGTCACTCATATTAATCTAGTAAATTACGATGTGAAGGTTGTACAACATGCCGGTATTGTTTCTCCAAGGAAGGCACATATTGCAGAAGTTGTTGGGAGATACCTATTAGTTTAAGGAGGCATAGATTCAAGAAGTCATTATTTGAGTGATTTCCTTGCTTATGATATTGTCACATAGAGATGGTAAAACGTGGAAATTAATGCTCCGGTATTTTAAGACGGAATAGCTTTCCATAAATCGTGTTCTGCTTTAGAACATAAATCTATTGATCTTTATAGACATGATCCTGATATAAGTTTTGAAAACTAAGGCATTTACATCTTTGGAGGGCTGGACTCTAATGGACATTACTTAGACAAACTCATAAGGATAGATGTTAGAAGAAGACCTTTGTTCATTGAGGAAGTTCAATCAAAAGGTACAGCCCCAATTAGCAGATGCTAACATTCAATGACATATGTAGATTTATCATAATAAATTGTAATTTATGGTGGCAAAAATGATGATATCAACAACTAAGGATTTTTGAATGATTTACATATCTTAGAAATCAGAAATTTTTCATGGACATAAGTAGATGTTAGAGGACACCCAACACTTGGAAGATGTAGTCATTCTGCTGCTGCCATTGATGATAAACTGTATATCTTTGGAGGTGTGAACTACACAGGCTTTGTTAAAAGTGATTTCTTAATTATAGAGCTCAATCAATCCAAGGCATAAGAATTAAGTTAATATGAGGCCTAAACAGAAAGAATATCCAAATAATAAGCTCCTGTTTAAATTAAACCAGCTGCACCACCTAAAATGGTTCTCAATCTCAAATAATAAATTGAATAGATCAAACAAGATAGCGAAAAAGTTAAATTAGCTGATAAATTAAAAAGATAGAGTATGGCAAGGCACAGTCGCAATTTGACTGATATTCAAATTTATAAGACTTTTGCCACTGTTACTGATTGATCTTATCATAATAATTATAATATTATAAATTGATAATATTGACAATTTTTTGGATTATGTCAAAATTTAGTTTTACTTTTCCAATTTGTTTATCATATTCCCCCAAAGCTAGTGAATTATTTAAGGCTAATCTAATTTCTAAAATGGATTTCAGATGGTGAATTTGATCTTATTAAATATTTTTAATTATTGATTGACTTTTTATAAAAGAAAATTCAAGATTATGATTGAAGAAATTAAAAAATACTTTTTTTTTCCTTTTAAAAAACAACAATGAGATTTATAACAAACATATAAAACAAATTCATTAGGTTTAAAATGCTGAGAAACTTTTATTGGGATATAAACTAAGATTTTCTATTTTGATATCATCTTCTTCTTCTTTTTTAACAGTATCTAATTACAGTTCTTCTTCAATTTTAACATCATTTTATGATAGTTTTGTAGAGAGGTTCTTTGTGTTTAATTTTCCATTGCTTTTTAAGATACTATTCTTATATATATTATATATTACTCATTCATCATTTGTTTTAATTAGTAGGATTTAACAAATTTATCCAGGAATCCCTTTGATGCACAAAAGTGTTGATTTTCGAATAATTCTAAAGCCCTGCATCTTAATTCCTATCTGGAGATCTTTCGGCCTGTTGAGTGAACTCTCTGTATAACCCATTCAATCAATTACTTCTCAGCATGAGGATTAAGTTTTTTACGACCGCAGCCTTTTTTCCTGTCCGTACCACATCGTTTCCATCTTTTAAGGTTTTTTATGGTAGTTCCAACTGCCTAACTTACCCTCTTAAAATCATCATACAAAGGATTAGGTCCAAGCATTTATACTGCTTAATCTTTTTCTCGCTTTGATAATACATTGTAATGCTCTTTTCTTAATTATGTGAAATCAATCACAATTTTGCATTCTTCTTGAACTTTTACAATTCTGTTAGAAGAAGTCTCTTCTTAGGGTTACATTAATAAACTAGGTAATAATTTGGACACTCATGAAATCAATTTGGGAAAATTATTAACATGATTATAATAATATGTAAATATTTTCATTGTTCTTTTGTTTTATCAAAACTCTCTTTATGTGTACAATTACTATACTAAAATATTTTACCCATTGATAATTAATATTTAAGTTATGAATTTGAGAAACAGCAATGCATAATCACATAGCAAAACAATCTAGAATAAAAAAATTCTATTTTTCCTAAAGTCGACTTAACTTATGATTATTGAAATGAACTTAAATAAAGGATGTATCTAGAGAGAGTAACAACTTCTAAGTGATTTAATGCAAAAATAGATTCTCAATAAAATAAAAAAGAAGAAAAATTTATAGCAGTTAAGATCATAGAAGTTTAACTAGTTTTCCTTGTTTCCAAATGCCTTTGGTAGATTCTTGCCCTTGACCTTTAAAGAATTCACCTTCGCCATGTTACAGTCCTTGTTTCCATAGACCAATGTATTTACGACCATCAGCAAATTGAAATATTCCAAAACCATTTTTTTTATCATTTATATATTCTCCCTCATAATATCTTCCATCAGGCCATGTCAATCTGCCCTTTCCATTCATTTTGCCATCAACCCAATTTCCATCATAAACTCTACCATCTTGCCATCTCTAGATAAATCTACTGTCAAAATTACATAAATTCCTCTGCCATTAAAATCATCAAACTCAAATTCTCCTTCATAGATTTCACCAGTGATGAATGTGATTTTTCCTAGTCCATGTTTTTGTCCATTCTAAAAGTTCCCCACATAGACCGATCCATTGGCATACCATTCCATTCCTTCTCCATTGGGTAGATCTCTCTCCCAATTACCTAAATAAGTCAACCACAAATAATACCTTCGTATTTACAACCATTATTATATGTATAAATCCCTTGCCCTTGCATTCTATTGTTATGCCACTGTCCTCTATACGTGTTGCCTTCCTTGCTCTTGAACTCCCCTCGACCATGTAGACAACCCTTACTGAATTCACCTTAGTAAAAGGATTAATCAGAGAAAGTGTATTTTCCTTTGCCATCTGGCACCTAATCCAACCATTCTCCAATATATATATTTCCTCCTACTAACTTGATAGCATCCAACTTTATTCTTGTATTTTTTGTTTATATTTTAATCTTATCCCGAGGTTCCAATATTTCATGAGTCAACACACATCGAAATCTGAACGATTGCATTTACTTGGATTGGTTCATTGAGGACCGCAGAGATTTGATTGGAGAAGATGAACTCTATTACAATGGAGTTTGCTCAACTTAATCAGATTGGCCATCATCGAGAGAATCTGATTCCTTTGGTTATAATTTTGCGCTATGCTCCCTTCCAAAGTGAGAAAGACTCTTCCTTTTGGCATTTTGGTCGATCATAGGCAACACATTACGGCCATCGTGAGGATTCACTCTTGGTGAATAAGAGTTTGTACGATATTCGATTAAACAGTCATCAGTTGAATTACTTCTCTTTTGATTCATTGATCTTTTCTTCGCCAATTCTTATCTACTCCTCACACTTAAACACTTACTTAAATATCTATCGACAAATATATGCTCGATATGCTGTCTAAATTCTTATCGCCATTTATTGATTGTGCTGTTATAAATTCACTGTATTGTACTATACTGTTACTTATTACTAAGGTTCTTGCCTTTAAACGCATTAATTGCATGAACCCATATAAATATAATTTTATTATAACTAAATAAATTACATCCCTTGCCAATTCTTTTTATCTTATTTTAATTTTTCTTATTAATTTACCAAATCTTACTTCCCCATATCTTCTATTAGTAAACTTGTCTAAAAAAGTCAAACCATTTTATTCATCTATTATATCAAATACTCCTTATATGAAATCATTATATATAAAAACACCATATAAGTAATAAGTAAGTTGTAGTATCAACAATCTTTTCTTATTAGTATCTATATGATTTATTTTTTGAATCATAAGTTTACAAAAATTAACTGATTTGAAGGCTTTTTTTAAGAATTCTTAGAGAATCCTAAGCAAATCAAATGAGAGATCAAATTTACTTTGATTTAAGTGGCTTATAATATTTACTAAAGCCTACCAAAAATATTTTGGAAATAATGTATATTTATTAAAAATCAAGTTCATTGTATATTGAATTTTCTTAAATAATTAAGGAATCCTTTACATGGCTTCCTCTTAATTCTTTTGAATATACATAAAATTGGATAAATAAGGCATTGTAGAAAATTAAATTAAAAAGAGATTTAAAATAAAATAAATGTAACAGGAAAGCATATATAATTTGATTCCCAAGGAGTATGTACCTCCACCCAAGGAACCAATGTATAGATCGGCTTTTCCAAATGGTTTGGTACCCACAGCCAGCACCTTCAACAATCATACAACCAGCCGACCTAAAGTTGCTATTCATTAATATTTAGGTGAACAACATAAATGGAGATTTTGATTTGGCAAAAGGGCCTCACACTCACAAGGGGCAATCGCATTCTCTTGGAAAACCTAAGGGTAATTAATAATATGGAACAAGGTTCATACAAGGCTGATGCTACAATGTTTAGGTTGAAGAATACTGGAACAATGGGATCCAATTAATTGCCTGAGAGTAAGAGTCTAATTTTAAGGGGTAGTCTAATCATTCAAGTATCCGCAATCATGCAAGGCGGCAGTTCCAAAAAAAGATGAAAAACCAATTCATGGACTGAAATCAAACAAGAATTTTATTGTTACAAACGCAGTTGAAAATATACTTTCAGCTCCCAAATAAATTACTGAAGAGAAGGCTTGGACTGAAAAAAAAGATTATGGAAAAGTACCAGATTATTTAACTAAAATCTAAAGCAGCATCAATAATGAGTATGAAATCATTAGAAATATGCACATGAATGAGGCAGAGGAGAGGGACAAATAAAAATATTTGATGACTCCTGAAGAAGTAGAACGTTTAAAATTGGGGTTGAAAAAGAAATGGGAATCTGTGAATAAGGAATATCAATCAATTACACATATCAGAATGATTGATACTGTTGGGTTGAAAAGAAAGTAAATATTGAATCTACTCTATTAGAAAGGAGCAATGCGAGAAAGAATTGGCTTTGTTGGAGAAAGATATAGAAAAATTAAATAAAAACTATGTTTTCATAGACACATAGAAATGATTATTTTTTTATATATAACGAGAAAAATAAGTAATCTATTGCATCTTTATAATGTATGAATTGTCAATATGAGTTGATCAATAATTTCCTTATGAAAAAGATAATAAATTACAATATATTTAATACTAAAATATATTTTAAAATATAATATGAGAAAGAAAAATCAAAGGATTGATTTGGAATTTGAAAAACCTCAAGTGAAGTTTATTGAGTAATTCAGGATGAGAGTGAATGGTGGAAGCAACATAGATGCTTCGAATTATAAGATAGAAGATAAAGTTTAAAAGAAAGTTAGAAATAATGATGATGATCCACTTATTGTGTAATAGAGTGATGATGAGGATAACTATGATGTTGAAAATGCTTAGGTTATCGATGGAAATGGAAATGATGGCAATCTAGAATTCAATATGACCAAATTCAAGCCTGAATATGTGGGATCCAAGAAATAAAAGAAAATTGATCAAAAAGAAAAAAACATTAAGTCTGTTATAGGAAAGTAAGAAGAAGAGGATGGAAGAGAGAAGAAAGAGGAAGAATTAAAAAATAAATTTGCTAAATTATCATAAACATAGAAACCTACTTTAGCAAAGAAGTCAAAAATAGATGAAATTGTAAAGAAGACCAATAAACCAACAATACTCTCTTTTGATCAGGATGATTATTGAAATTTCTTGTTTTTCTATTATTATTAGTTTAAACATATAATTTAATAGTTCATCTCAAAGTGATCCTAAAGTTTCCAAAGACTTTACTTGTATATATAAGAATCCGTCCTCTTAGTCTTGCATTTTTTTCTACAATTACCCCATCGTTTAATCTTAAATAATAACACTCATTATTTACCTTTTTAGGGGAGAACGTTGTTAATAAAAAAGAAAAGCGAAATATGCTAAGCTTTTGACATTTTCTTTTTGAATAATTAACTGATGTCTCCCTCAAAAGTTACCATTAACTACTCGGGATCAGCTGCGCATCTCTTAATTATAAGGTATTATTACAGCTAGGAAGTGGATGAGGAATCAATAAATTGTTCTAAGATTATTAATATTTTTGAAGGGTAAGCTAATTGTTTAGTCTAATACAACTTAATTCTTTCTTCCAACGTGTGACGCTCTTTAAAAGATGATTTTGTTTGGGCATTCATTTATAAAATTAATAAAAAACAACACTTAAAAAAAGAGAATTGACTATAATTTCTATTATCTTTATGAAGAATTATATATCCTCTCATGAATTTGACATCAAAATAATTTTTATTTCAATTAAAATTGAGCCTAAAATAGAATGATTGAAGCTAAATAAAAAATTCAAAAAAGAGTCCAAAAATATTCCTATTTCCTTAATGACATCTTAGGAGAAGGCTATTCATCATCTGTTTACAGAGGCATTAATTTTTACACCAATTAAGTGGTTGCCATAAAGGTTATAAATTTTTCCACCTTAACAACTCCAATTTCTCAAACCCTATTAAAAAATGAGATCAAAATTCTAAAACAATTAGAACATGAGAATTTGATGAAAGTATACGAGATTTTTGAAACTAAAAATAACACCTACATTATTTGTGAATATTGTAAAGATGGTGATCTGGCTAACATTTTAGAAAAAACAGCTTTCACTTAAGCAGAAATCCTTAATGTTTTTCTCCAAATAGCAAAGGGAATCAAAGCCCTCCATGATCAAAGTAACACTTTTTTCATATCCATTTTAGAAATCATACACCGAGATATAAAACCTGCTAATATACTAAGATCTGATGGAATTTATAAACTATCAGATTTTGGATTTGCTATATTTGAAAATGATTTTGAGAGTATAGTCAAAAGATTTAGTGTTGGCACTCCAGTCTACATGGCACCCGAGACAGTTTAGTCCAACTGCTATTCAGAAAAGTCGGACATATGGTCTTTGGGTGTAGTTCTTTACTTAATGGTATATAAGGAAATTCCATTTAACCTAAAGTAAGACGGAGATCTATATGTTAAGTAATAGTAGATACATTAGAAAATCATGAATGACAAAGCTTTGATCAAAAAAATCTAGAACATTCTTCTAGGTATGTTGTAGATTGATCCAAAAAAGCGAATTAGTATTGATGGAATTCTGTTCATTTTAAATCAATCCAAGAAGTTGAAATGCAATAATTCTCATAAAAACATGCCCTTTAAAGTCATACGCAAGTTAAGTGGATATGATATCGGTGAAAAGGATAATTTTGAAAATTCACAAAAAATTTTAAAAACAATGCCAGACGAACCAGTCGATATGAATAAAGAAACAGAGCCATTCTCATTTCATAATAATCATAAATATCATACACTTGAATTAAATAAAATTAAATAAAATCCATTAAGTAATAATGAGGACTACCAGTTTAAATTTTAACTATCCCCCTTACACATAAAAGATTAATCTAAAAAGTAAATTCAAATCAAGATTCCAACAGCTTTGTCAATGTAGATCACAAATTAAAACGCTAATCTCAATTAAGCACCATCTGAAAATAGTGATACACATTAACACAGTAATCCAAATAGCACTAATGACACAATTAAAAATAATCAAATTTCTAATTGCTAATCATAAAATCAAATGAATTCTAATTCTCCTTTAACTGCTCCCAATCTAACTGAAACATTTTCAAGTAGAAATTAAGGTACTTCACCTATCCACATTAAATAACCTCTTCTAAATTTAATTGTATCTCCATTAAAATAAAGAAAGACTCCAACCACGTAGTCTTTAACAGATTTTTAAAAGTTCTCAATTAAGACAAATGAATAAGCCTAGAAAAAAAAAGAATACTTAAAATAAAGAGTGAAAACTGAATTATCTATTAATCGATAATCTGATATGGAAAACAATAAGTCAGAAAAATACAAATCAATAGTAGAGTCTTTAGCAGCTTCAATTCGCCCGACATATAAATTTTTGATATATCTAAATTAGGCTTTAAAATAATTTTAGTCTATTAACACTGATGATAAACAGAAATGTTATTTCTTATTGAGAAAACTATTGGCAGTAAAAGCTTAAGCAATAAAAAATTACTGTCCTTCTCAAATATAGGAAGAATTGTAATGTTTGATAGATAATTTTGAAAAATACTTTGAGAAAGTCAGCCCTTTACTCTATAATCATCATGATCGAAAGTTTAACTAATACTTAAATAAGGATCTGGAGCAATTTACAAAGGGATTTTCATAATAAATATAAACTTATATATAAGTGGTGAATTAATAATTATTATCAAAGGATCTGCTCATTATATAGGAAGTAATTAAAGAAAACTTAAAACAATTTAACGATCCTATTTTATTTGCTCGAAGATGGGAAAATGATCAATTATGAAATTTTCTATTCATCCAATTTTTATCAATATATTTTGAAATAACTTTTTTATCAATAATTAATTATGACCTCAAAGAAATGAAAGATTAATCACAAACTATTTAGAACCCACTTTCTTTAATTTAGAATCGAAAATATCTAATTATTTTTTAAATAATAATCCAAATGAGAATACTACTATTATGAAATTTTATTTTATTAAATTATAAATGAAAGAAATTGAAATAAATAGGTATCTCTTGTTTAATCAATCGACAGATAATATATAAGAAAGATGAAACCATTTTTGGATCTGCCATTAATATGTCAAACAAGCATCTTATTGATTTTATTTTCTAATTGGCAAGAAAATATATACATTAAATAAAATTTATATATATTATCGTTTTATTTATATATTATTTAAATAAATGGGTAATTGTTATGGGAGTCGAAAGGATCCGGTACCATTGGCTTTTGATTAAGCAGAATATCAAGCACTTAATAATCAGTTCCACTATTATTGTGAATTAAGCAGCTAGTAATTTAAAAGAATATTTAAGAACGCGTGATGCCAAAGGATTGAACTAAAAATCATTTGAAGATATTTTCTGTGAAAACCCAACTTATGGAATTAAATTGTTCAGATTTTTAGAAGCGTATTCCGGATCCCCAGGATTGATTAAGAAGGAGCCATTGTTCGAATTTTGTAATTTCTTATCTAATTAAAAGTGGAATTGTTGGTGAAGGATGTCTAAACTAATATACCCACATTTAAGAACCTAGAGAGATTTGAACTCATGTCGTTAATTTCCTTATAGGATTCAAAGTTTTTGACAACCAAGGAAGAATTAGCATAACTACAATTAACTTACTTAGATACAATTGGAGTGATTAAAGTAATTAGTGATTGTATACATAAGGATTTAATTAAGATGCATCAAATAGGTAAAAAAGCAGTTTCTACGAATGAGAGGTACATCAAGACTTTGGTTGATATGCTTTATAGTAAAACTCTAAAAAATTATATTAGAAAATGAAGCCGGTTCATTCTCTTGGGTTAGTTTGGTAGACTTTGTTACAAAATAAATGCCAGGCACAAAAGAAGCAATTAAACTGTATTTTTAAGCTAAATTTATGGGGAAGCAAATCACTGTAAATTTTTTAAAATAACCATTAGAATTTTATTCCTGTTGTGAATACTCCATCCTATTTCTTGACTGATGAATTGTGCTTCCAATTATATCTAAGTACAAATTCAGTCTTAAAGAATTGTTCACAACTATCATTACTTTATTCGAGTGTTGCACATCAAGGGGGTTTTAATTAAATGATTCAAGTTATGAAAGGTAATCTCTGAGCATTTATAATATTTAGATAGTAAATTACCTACATTACTATTGGTTTAACATGAGGAAATTTATGATTAAAAGGTGAAATAATAGACTTTTGGTGCTATTACCAATTTAAGATGGTATGACACTTAATAATATTTTGGGACTAAAGATGATTGTATTTTTAGTCTCTATCCCTATTACAAGATTTTTAAGGCAAAAAAAGGAGAATAAAATTATTGCTATTTAGACTCTTAAAAGGGTTTTGGCTTTGGAGGTAAGAATGGGGAAGGATGCAGAATTTGGATTGATAAAAACATTGAAAATTCATATTGTAATCAATTTGATGATACTTATGAGAATGGTCCCATTGTACTTCCTTATGTTAAGAAACTCAAAATCAAGATTGTTGAGATTTGGGCCATTCAACATCCAGCTGATGACTTGGATGATAATACTGAAGTGGTAGTGGACTTGAAAGACCCTCTCCTCTAATAGCCTGATGAAGTACAATTCCCAGATTCCAATGCTGATTATTATTGGGTGGGTTAAGATCAAAAAATAGATGAAAAGAATTCAGGGTATTATTGGGAAGTGTAAAGTGAGACAAAATGATTAGAAATAAAAAGATATTAAAACATTTTGAATTATATTTTTCTGACAATTTCTTAGTCCAATAAACACACATATGGAATAATAATATTTGTACAATTTTATATATTAAATAATACCAACTAATAATGGTCAGTTTGAAATAGATGCAACTTGGATAACCATCTAAATTATCTGATTTAGCAATTTAAAAAGTAATGCAAATTAAATAAGAATAAAAATAAGAACAACAGAAAATCTAATATTATCCTAAAAACATGGAAGAATTGCTTCTAAATTTATTCTTAGCTTTCAAAATTATTTATATTTAAATGATTGCTCTATGTGAAACTGTCCTTATGCTAAGCAGGAACCTCTATGATTGTAAGAAAATCATTTATTTTAGAATTTCGTGAACTTCAGAAAAAAAATGGCATCTATTACTTTTTTGAACTTATCAAAAATATAACTCTTATAATCTTGTGCTTTAATATCAGAATGCTCTAATTTATTTGTAAAATATTTTCATAGCCCCAACAGCATCCAGTAAAATAACAATGACTATTATTCTTTATAATTACAATTATAATTCATAATCTTGGAGTTGAATCCAATTTATTAGACATATAATTCAATTTATCTGCATTCAATATGAAATAAATTTGATTGCTTAAAATAAGTTATCAATATGCAGATTTAAAATTAACAATTAAGATTTCAAAATAAATATAATTTTAGGAATAGTTAGCATATACTTTATAGAAATTTAAGATATTCATTACAAATATAAATAAGAAAAAATTACCTATCATTTATTGCAATCCAGCAAAGAGAGTTCATAAAAAATATTTTAGGTAGTTGTTTATAATGAATTAAACAAAGTGCTGCTTTCGTCATATAGATCCTTTTAAATTTAGTTCCATTGATCATCGGCTTAATTTAATTCTTCTAAAATATTTCCTAAGCTTATCTTTTCAGATTCAAACTATTGACACTTCTTTATAGAATTTACAAGTTTATCTACAGGGTATGTTTTAAATTCAGCTGTAGGTAATTTTAAAACTTTCTCCGCTTGATGGAGGCGGTATTTAAGATCTGATACTTCATATTGTTACCTTTCATTAATCAGTTACTCTAGAGAGTCCAAGGCTGTACGAATTGGTTTATTTATTTCAATCTAGTTCAAGTAAATATTCTTAACTTCATTTATACATTAAATCAATTGCTTTGCCTTTGTTTATTGTAGCTTTTTTTCTAAAAAATTGATTTGCTCAAGTAATGCTTTTTTCTCTTATTAATGAATTTTATCAATATCATCTATAATTTTCATTAGTTATGCGTTTGAAAATTCAGCTTAGACCGATGCATCTTGTATGCTTTTGGATTATGAAAGGCTTCTTTTTGTTGAAGTTAATTCGTTCTTATATTATTCATAAGAATTATGAGATATTTGATTAATCATAAATTTTATTATAATTTAAGAAACATGAATTAGATTAAACTCTAGAACGATACTTGAATATAATTATTATTGATGATATTCTTTCAAATGCAAAATAATTTATATTATTTTCAAATTACATCAATATTTTTCTGCTCCAACAGATTTAGAAGGTTTTAGAGGCTAACATAGAGATTTTAGTTTAAGTTCCTTAGATTTAGATTACTTTGACTTAATAAATACAATTATTCTTAATTGATCAAAAAATATCAATTAAGAAAAGTTCAAAGATTTGACAGATAGAATAAATTAAAGAATAAAAATCCTTAAATTATATTAAATGAAAAAGAAGTTTTGACATTATCTTTAAGATTGATAGTTTTAAGTTATCATTTTCTTTCAAACACTTATTACAATCATTAATAAAAGTAAAAATAATAATAATTATAATAAAAGTAATAAATATATAATCCAACTTCAATTTGAATTAACTCAAACGTAGTAAAGAATATAATAAGAATCTAATATATAGAGAGAGATCTTATTGAATAATTTTAATAATAAATCATATTAGTTATTGATTTTTCTTGCAAAATAAATAATATTTTCCTTGATGATGAAAATTTATTTTATCAGATCAAAAATATTTCACAAGGATCCTCGAAAAAATAGTTAAATAAATCCTATACATCTGCACAAGGTAGGATATTGGTTTAGGATTAAAATAATACTTTCTGAGAAACAAGAAAGTTTCATTTAAATATCAAGAGATTTAGAATAATTGTTGAAACGATACAAATCAGAAACAAAGAAATTGTAATATTGAAATATTTATTTGCATAATTTAATATTATGAGAGATTTAATTCGAAAAGGATATTAAAAGGAAACCATTGAATTGTAAACTATTTACAATATTAAAAGGATAATGTTTAAGAAAGAAGCAGTTGTAAAATATAACCTTACATAGAAATGAAGCAACTTAAAAAAGCATTATCCAATACAAAAAATTGTATTAATTTTGATGTTAATAAAAACTACTATTAGTTTCAATCTTTGAATTTGGTTAGTGAGTTTGAAATGAATTTCTTTATCAATTTTATCAAATTCATCTTGAAATGTAAAAATTTTGGGATATCTCATGGATATGTAGAATTACATTAATATATTTGATATTGCCTAGAAAGTTTGTTAATTATAAACAATTTGATGTTTAGTCCTAGTGCATCATTTCTCAAAACTCACCAATGCACAGATATTTTAAAAGAGTAATAGCAGTATAATTAAATTATAATCCTGAAGATTGGTCTTAAATTAGTAAGGATTTTAAAAAACTTGTTAAAGATATCTTAAATCAAAGTCTTTACTAAAAAGGTTAAGTGCTGAACTAGCAAATAATCATAAATGAATTTAAATATCAAACTTAAAATTACTTTAATCAAAAATATTTGAAAAACTTATAGGAGCTAATGATTATGGAAATTTAAGTAAATAGTATTGACTACTATAACCACTTAACCTTTTATCTCAATAATAATTGGATCAGTTAATCAGATAATGAACAACAACTTTGAATCCAAACTCTAAAGGCATTTTATAGTGACAAAGTTGGTGAAATGTCTTTAGAATGTTAATATGAATGCAATCTAAAGTTTTATGATTTTAATAGATTGCTTAAGAATAATTTTTATTATTATATTTATTATAATGATAATGCATTTCATTTTCTTTTTCTTGGTTCAGGAACTGTCGGATTGAGATCAGCCAATTTCTATTTGATATAAATCTTTCTAAGTGATTCAGCATTCTCATAAGGGGATGATCTTTCAGGGCATTCCAAAAAGAACCAAAGAATCTTAAATAAATTTAATTCATACATTTTCCACTTTGCATACTCTTTTTGGAAGGTCATCTTTCACACTCTTTTCTTTGAGGCAAGAGACAAAGTTTTTCTCCAACCAATTGCATTCATTTCTAAGTTGTTAGGATATTAATATTACACATCATTAAGTGGTGGACGATATTTGACTTCCATGATATTTATATTAATATTAATTAAAGTCAATCAAATTAACATAAAAACTCTAACTCTCTATACCTCAAACTCTTTTCTATGGCTCTATTATATGCGGAATCCTCTGTTTTTAGCCTATTGGACCTGAGATAACTTGTTTTGGTTTGTCTTTTGGAAGGTGTAACATTTTGTAAATTCATTTATTAATGATTCGCACTTTATATTGTGAATTTTCTTTTGCATATTTAGGGAACTAGAGTTTATTTGAACTGTATGATCCCTATCTATTCACTTAGTTCTTTTAATGCGACTGAATATTTTGGAGGTGCATATTTATATTCTTCCAATTTCTTAATCTGACCATATAACTTTCCGAAGTTTCCTGCGAATTTCGTATCATCCTGCAATTATTGAACAGAGAGGGCCTGAGCACATCTCTTAGCCAAGATTGTAATCAATTGGAGGAGGCATTGGTTGTATTCACTTTCAAGTGCACGAGTACTAAAACCACTATATACAGACATTTAAATTAATTAATTAAATCACAAATTCAAGAATGAAGCATTGATGAAATTATTTCTATAGATTAGACTAATTCTTCTCCCTGCTTCGTAAGGATTCAATGTCAAGAGCTGCCTTATGTGAGGGATCTTCAATTCTACCTAAATGATGTCCAACTTTCGAATTATTTGAGATACGCGACTCTAAATGCAAACATGAAACATATCATTAGTGAAATATATAGCCATGAATAACATCTTATGCTTCATAAATGCCCCCTTATAAAGCAATTGATATTTTATCAACTGATTATCATTATTCTTATTTACTTTCATAATTTCTTAATCGCATGGCAGAATTTTAGAATGTAAATAATTCTCTAAAATTATATTGCATAATTTATAGATTTAGACTTGCTTTCCTCTTATTTTTAAAGGGATATCTACCCCTTTACAAGTATCATACTCATAGATTCTTAACCTAACTGGTTGCCAACGAAATGACTGCTAAATTTCTTAGCATGGAATATAACATAGAAAATTGCAGACTCTATCATTTGAATACGCTAATTCATTCAAAGTTGTTTTGAAAGTGTCTACAGTGATTTAATTGTTATTGATGCTCATCTATTTTAAGATCTCCAACCAGATCTTCTTCTCAAATATGCTTTATTGGTTACGGAGTAATACTGTATCAAATAACCAACACTTTTTATTAAGGCTTTCTTCAAATGAATTCTCTTACATGTTATTCAACTACAAAGTAGAGGATCTCATTAAATTATTAACACTTTGCATACTTGAAGTAGCAGATCTTTTGAAATATTTTTTAGTATCTTTTATTTATTAAATATACTATTCAGTTCTATTTTTAAATGTTTCAGGTGCTTTTATGATTAGAGAATGTATATTTGAAATTTCTTTGAATCTCCAATTCCTAAATAGCTGTGCCATTATTTCTTTAGGTTACTCTGGAAAAATTGAATCCAAAAAGTATTAATTCATAATTAAAAAATCTGATCTATGGATTGTGTAATAAAATTTTCTACAATTGCCCGAATTGTAAAAGTATATCTGAAAATAGTTCTTCAATAATGTTACTGTTATTATGAAATAGTTTCTATCTATTTTCTTAACCCATTTAAAAATCACTCTTGAGTAAGATTTCTCTCCAATTAAAAAGTGATTATCACCATATTGGTTTCCTAATACGTATTGTTTACGAATTAGGTTTTGGGTGATAGGTACTAAATATAATTTCGAATATGTATAAGTTTATTTCAAAATGAAATGCTTACACAATTGATTCAATAATTTAATGACATCATCACAATCCAAAATTGCATAAAGAAAAATGTGAACCTTAGTTTTATTTCCAATTGGCATTACTTTAACTAATAACAAATTTTAAAATACAATTCCAGTAACAAATGCATATCCCACATCTTAAATTTTACTTTGAATAAAATATTATTTGGTATTAACCAATTTATCCTATATAAGCTAAAATCTAATATCCTTAGATAATGATTATCTATTTTCATTTTTTTATAATTTCCTTCCAGTTAACGTTTTCTTCATCATAGTTCTATAGCTAAAGAGAATAGCTTGCATTCTTCCATCAATCTAAAAATTATGTAGCCACCTTTCTGTTTATTAAGAATTTAAATATACTACATGTTTTCTATCATTATTTTTATAAATGAATAACCGGGCTTTTGCAGAGTAGTTTCTAATATCCTAATGTAATTTATTAAAATCTGACTAGATTTCTAATTTCATACTTATGCCTTTGTAATTAAACTATGTCTATTTAAATAAAAAAAGAGAATTAAAATGAGGAAATAATAATATATCCTTGCTACTTATTGTATTTTCATTCATTCTAGCTATATGTTTGTTCATGTCTTCATGTGATAATATCAATCTTATTGGAAATTTTGGTTTTCTGATTTGTTCTGGTTCTGCAAACATTAGTTTTCCATCTATATACTTTAGAAGCTCACAATTTTTCAAATGAGCATCATATTTCACATATGAATTATTATGCAATATTCCAATCAAGAAGATAATATCTATTAATGGATCTCTTTTTTATAAAGACATATGATCTACGCATTCATCTTCTATATTTACACTATCCTGAGAAATTTCTTTTAATCCGTCCTCTATAAATTAATTTGCTTCTCTAACATAATATAGTTTGTTATTTTATCTAAATAACTTTAAGTTCTTCTTGGTTAATAGATCATCCGACTCTTCTTAATTTAGTTAAATCTTACAATGATTAATTTCCAATTTTTATTACAATCTCTCTTATAACTTAATAATATCAATAATGTATCCAGTTCTCCCAACTGAATAATTGATCAATTCCTTGAGTTAAATGTCTAATTCATCTTCCCATTTATCTTTACATAAAATTTATTCTAATTTTAATTTATTAGTCAGAGTCAAAAAGTAGAACTATTTATCAAGTTTTACAATTTACGTTTAAATTAAATAGTTATCAGAATGTATGGGTTTATAACTCAATTTTTTCCATTTTACTCCAAGATACTCTTCTCTAAAGTAATAATGAGATTAGATGTATTATTTTTATTTTAAATTGCTTGAGGTTGGATAATAATTTATTGGAGGGACATTCAATTTGAACTCAGTAAAATACCTTTATAGATAATCTTAAGTTTCGAATGAAAATATTTCATTTAATTCTGCATAGGTTTCAAACTATAATTAAGATATTCCACCATTTTATTTTGTCGATTATGGTCTAAATTTAGAATAGGAGTAAGGCGTTTCACTAGAATTCTATCTTGATAATTTTTCATAATCTTTGACCAAGTCATTATTTATTCTTGATTTTTATTGAAATTCATCCTCTTTCTAATATACTTATTATGTTTTACTATCATTGAGTAGACTATATTCGGTATCTTCATGAATAATGAGACGATTATCCTACATTTATTTTCTGTAACTTATTGCTAACTACTTTTTAGATTCCTGAACCTTGCAAGTGAAATTAAGATCTCTATATTAGAAGTAGGATTTCATTCTCTAAATTTTTTATTGGTATATCTCATTATTATATTTTTTAATCGACTCTTAAAGTTCCTAAGTTTCTGATTTAAACTTAAACCCGTTAATTGTCTTTACATAGCTCTTTCTCCTTACATAAAATAGAACTTTTGATAATAAATCTGAATAATAATCTATTTTTTATGATTCATTTTGGTTTTCAGAGAACCTTTTAAATGTTGAATCTTGAATCTATTTTTAATTTACAACATATAAAGTATATTATCGATTTTCTTCTTTCCATTCATGTAGCAAATGTTCTTAAATGAAATAAATTTTAGTTAATTAATTAAAAAGATCCATCATGTCTTCATAACTAGAAATCTCTTTGTAATGGTCAGCTAAAGAATCAATTATGAATCTCACTTAAAACTTTCTTATGTGATTTGATAGTTCTATCGAAGCTATCAACTAAATTGTTGTTGACTTTTTTTAATTTGATAAAATTGCATAAAATAAATCTACACTAATTTATTGATATTATTATCTATTCTATGATTTTTATAGGATTTAGACTGTAATTTTAGGATTCTACAATACCCATTTCGAAGTTTCATTATCTGTGAATAGTTTATTATAGAAATGAATAGGATACCAGTCTAATTAATTTGCAGGAGATATTAATTTATTTATAACTTTGCTGGCTTCATTTTCTAATATTTTTTTTTCAACAATATCCAGAATTTCAAGTCCGTATGTATTTGATCTTGTTAAGTGTTTAGTATGTGGATGTAATTTGATAGGTTAAATCTCATTTTAATTCGATTAGACGTCGTTTCTTTGCATTCTAGAATAATAGATATGGTATTTCATTTTGGCCTTGATTCTATCAACAGCTTCTACTAAAACCTCTATTGGATGTTTCTCTAGAAATTTTGCTATTATTGGATCTGAATGTGTTAAGGCTTTGTTAGGGTCTTCTTCAAATGAATAATTTCTGTCATCCTCCTATTACTTAATATTTTCCTCATCAATTTCATTTGTCAAATTTATTTTACTACCCAATCTAATGTTACTCTGAGTGGGCTAAATATCGTTTGTACCAATTTTCCTTTGAGAACACCTTTCAATATTTTAATTGCTTGGATTACTTGGAAATTTCTTGCTATCTACTTTATACAGAATGTTAGTTTTGGATGGTTCTCTAATTTATGGCCTTGATGAATGAGACGGAGGGATAAACTAAATTACATAATTGGAGGCTATTTATTTGCTTTTTCTCTATTATGTAGCTTTAAAAATTTCATATTTCCTCACTTCTTCGTATTGTGGCCTGTTAATTATGAGATCATTAAATCTATCTTTAGGTTAGGCAGTCTCCAGTTATTTTATTAAGCTTTATTCTACAGAAGGAGTTCTATTTTACATTTTGTCCATATTGTTCTTTGAAAATATTGAATAACATCGAGTTGGACTTGTCATTTTAGAAGCTCCTTATGAACTCAAGGGTCTTTTAATTTGGCTTTTTAAGACGAATAACTATTGTAATTACTATTCATTAAACTTAGGAGGAGCTCTTTAACTAATAATAGGTTTCTCAATTTTATTCTTATCAATCTTTTTGGCTAATTTGGGCGCTCTGGCCGAATCTACATTTATAATATAATTGTTTATGTAAGTATTTTTGCCCCTAAACGATAAAATGTTCTTTTCTTCTTTTTTCTGAGAATTCTGGATTTTCTGTCTTTTATCTTCCTCTTCCTCTTCTTGACTCTAAATTTCTAAATTAACTGAGATCTTATCACTTAATAGCTCATATTACTTTTTATATTCTTATGTTTTCTTATCATTAAATCCCAGTAACTCCTCAGAAAGATGAAAAGACTAAAAAAAGAGCTATGTTGCCTCCTTATCCTTATTTTATTTCAAGTANTCTACAATACCCATTTCGAAGTTTCATTATCTGTGAATAGTTTATTATAGAAATGAATAGGATACCAGTCTAATTAATTTGCAGGAGATATTAATTTATTTATAACTTTGCTGGCTTCATTTTCTAATATTTTTTTTTCAACAATATCCAGAATTTCAAGTCCGTATGTATTTGATCTTGTTAAGTGTTTAGTATGTGGATGTAATTTGATAGGTTAAATCTCATTTTAATTCGATTAGACGTCGTTTCTTTGCATTCTAGAATAATAGATATGGTATTTCATTTTGGCCTTGATTCTATCAACAGCTTCTACTAAAACCTCTATTGGATGTTTCTCTAGAAATTTTGCTATTATTGGATCTGAATGTGTTAAGGCTTTGTTAGGGTCTTCTTCAAATGAATAATTTCTGTCATCCTCCTATTACTTAATATTTTCCTCATCAATTTCATTTGTCAAATTTATTTTACTACCCAATCTAATGTTACTCTGAGTGGGCTAAATATCGTTTGTACCAATTTTCCTTTGAGAACACCTTTCAATATTTTAATTGCTTGGATTACTTGGAAATTTCTTGCTATCTACTTTATACAGAATGTTAGTTTTGGATGGTTCTCTAATTTATGGCCTTGATGAATGAGACGGAGGGATAAACTAAATTACATAATTGGAGGCTATTTATTTGCTTTTTCTCTATTATGTAGCTTTAAAAATTTCATATTTCCTCACTTCTTCGTATTGTGGCCTGTTAATTATGAGATCATTAAATCTATCTTTAGGTTAGGCAGTCTCCAGTTATTTTATTAAGCTTTATTCTACAGAAGGAGTTCTATTTTACATTTTGTCCATATTGTTCTTTGAAAATATTGAATAACATCGAGTTGGACTTGTCATTTTAGAAGCTCCTTATGAACTCAAGGGTCTTTTAATTTGGCTTTTTAAGACGAATAACTATTGTAATTACTATTCATTAAACTTAGGAGGAGCTCTTTAACTAATAATAGGTTTCTCAATTTTATTCTTATCAATCTTTTTGGCTAATTTGGGCGCTCTGGCCGAATCTACATTTATAATATAATTGTTTATGTAAGTATTTTTGCCCCTAAACGATAAAATGTTCTTTTCTTCTTTTTTCTGAGAATTCTGGATTTTCTGTCTTTTATCTTCCTCTTCCTCTTCTTGACTCTAAATTTCTAAATTAACTGAGATCTTATCACTTAATAGCTCATATTACTTTTTATATTCTTATGTTTTCTTATCATTAAATCCCAGTAACTCCTCAGAAAGATGAAAAGACTAAAAAAAGAGCTATGTTGCCTCCTTATCCTTATTTTATTTCAAGTATATTTTTGCTTAGAATGATAATGCTTATAATAGGATTATTTGAAACTTATTTGGAAATTCCTTATATAAATAGAAACTAAGTCCAATTTCCTCCATTAAATTTAACAATTATTCATTAAACTGTATTATATTATTTTTGTTACACATTCTTCCATTTTCAATTATATGATTAAGAATTTGAATTTAAATCATTATGATATTCCTTTCATTCGTTTTTGCTAAAGGAATTAACTGTATCAATAAATTTTACGCCATACTATAATTCTTTTTACTTTCAAGGTACTCTGCATAATACATATACGTTTAATATTTAACCATAAGTTGTTCTTCCATATTTAGCATTTTGGTTAATTCTATAGCTCTTTAGAGATACTTCTCCCCATTAAGCTTTTGGAAAAGTAGATATCTGCCAGTTTAGTTAAGCATTTCAATAAGCTTGATACGTGTTTCTTGGGCTTTTTAAGAATGTTCCCCGAATTCTGTAATCGCTTCGACATAAGATCTCTCGAGTTGAAGAAGTGAGGTTTTCATTCAAATTTATTTATTAAAATTATAAAAACCAAGTAAACTCATATGTAGATAATCATATCAATACTTAATTAAAATATAAGTATAATTTATTAAATGTCTAGAAATAAATTATTTTCCTTAGGCTACATTAATTATTAACAAAAACCTTAATTTCCTTAAATATTTTTGTCTCAAAACATGATTTAAAATACATCCTTTTTATCTCAAATGAGAGTAACCCTTTTAGAATAAATGTTTTCAAAGATAAATTTAGGATAATTTTATAATGATCTTATAATTTTGCTTTTTCTAAGCCCAAATTAATTAAATTTTACTGAATTGGTATATAAAGTTTATTAAATTTCTATTTATCTCTCTCTTTTGAAGGTAGAAAATAATAACAACCAAAAATGGTACAATATTTGACAGAATATTGTCTATTTTGATATAAAAATTCACATAATTATGATAGAATAATAATTATATAATTAAGAATGAGAATTCCTGAGTTCTTTATTAAATTATATAAAATTATCATGAATATTAAATTTATTAAGAATTCAAAAAACAATTCCTCTAGTAAGGTTTATAATCATGCAACTGATATTATCTGATTATCTCCTATATGTGACATTATATTAATATGCTTTTAATACTACTTATTATGCTGCTTCTTAAGGATCTTATAATCCAATTTATTATTCTTTGTACATATCTCTGACAAAATCAATTACTCTTTGACTTGGCGATATTTATTACAAATTCTATTCAGATTCCTATGTTTCTCCGAATCCATCAATAATACCATCACTACATAACAATATAAATTCGTCAGTTCTATAATCGATGGTAGTCACTCTGATATCAGGTTTTGAAGTGATTGTATTTTTTGGATATTTCTTTTTTTCACCAAAATCTCCAAAAGCTCTAGAAACAGCAAGATTTCCAAGTCTTCCACCAATTATATCAACCCTTTTTTTTTTTATTCTGGCATATTCAGCAGGAGCATTTGGTTTATGATCTTCGGTTAAGTTAATGGCTTCTCCTTATCTTGATAATATTGCTCTGGAATCACCACAATTTATGCTGACAATGTAATCACCTATTATCATTACGACAACAGCTACACACCCTGAGTCTGTAGAAGCATTTGGTTGGACAATTTCAGTTAAAAAGTCATTGTCTGTTTCTTTAAAAGTGGATCTAATATTCTCATAAAGGAAAGCCAAGAATTTATTTTGATGATCAAATTCCTTCTATTCTTAATTAAAATCCTCTCTTATGTTATCCATTAGATTTTAGGACATATAATTAGCACAAGAATTCCCATTATGACCATCGAATATTGCATAACATGAAACTGGGACTCTACTACTTACTTGTAAATCCTATATAATTGTATATCGATCTTCTTAAGTTCTCTTTGTTCCAGGATCTTAAAAAAAGCCATAATTAAATCTTTACACTATCAACTCAATAGTATTTAATTTGATCACATCGTCAGGTTAAATGACTCTGATTTCTTCTTTATTTTATTTATAGAACGTATTGTAAGTGTCAGTCTTCGAACCCCAAATCCAATACTTCCCTTAGATAAATTTGATTTGTAATTAAAAATCAGGGTCTTCTTCTAAATCATCGATTTCTTATTTCTTAAGCAGAATATCAGGAGGTTTTTAATATCTTTGGGTTTTTGAACTAATTGTTGCTCCAGACCACCCGAATTGCAAGACTATTGTATTTTTCTTTTTGTCCAATAAATTAATTTTGAACGCATCATAATTTTAAAGAATGATATCATCTATATGATTATAAGCCTCTCTTAATTTAAGCAGTTAATCTTGAGTGGCACTATAAGATTATACCGAACTGATTAATTAATCTATCTTGTTCTATTTTAGCTATTTTAGATTGTGTATATTGTTTCCGAAAAAAAAATGCTTCAATCCTTAAAGATCATAGATTGATAGCCATTCTAATATTTCATTAAAGCCTTCTTGCACAGTCTGAATGATATAAATTTATTTTCCAATTGTTATTTCCATATTATTTTTGATGAGAGCAGGACAATCATAACGAATTTTTATTAGAGTTGGACCAAAACAAGTTAGGTGATATCCATTTTTCTTCTATTCTTCATTATATTTATATTTAATTTTCACATGAGTTTTCTCTAATCCACAATCCTCCATTTATAGAGTGCAACTTTCATCGCTTCCAATTGTTTCTCCATTTTCCACTAGATTCAGATATATGAACATCCCTCTGTACATTCCCTTGATGCATCTCAATACATAATCAGTCCCATTGTCTTCAATCTGAGACACACTCATGTCATGTTCCATATTTTTTGTTAATAGCTGGGCTTTGAAATCTACTTTATTTTTACTCATAATTTCCCCTATTAACTTTATGTTTTATTCGGATTTTTTCGCCATGAATTGGTATAGTATTATGTATGTAATTAAAATATTACATAAATATCATAACCCTAATAATATAATAAAAAGATATAATATATTATTTCAATCTGAATAGAGAAATTCATCTTTTTCCAACAAATTCTTTGGAGTAATTTGTTGAAATTTTATTATTTTTGAATCTAATTTTGGTTAAATCACTCTTTGTGTATTATTTTAAGAATTCTCTGGTAGGGGTACTTCTATTTGGAATTCAACCTATGGATTTCCATTCTCAAAGTTTTCAGTTGTTTCAATATTCATTCTTTTGGCCATGTTTTAGATTTCATAATACTTTAAAAATATCATTTCAATTGTAGGACCTAAAAGCTGAATAATCCTTTGGTTTATTTAATCTTTATGTTATTATTATTTCAATCTACTGTAAGAATCATAAATTTTCATCAATCTCTTTGGTTTATTTAAAGAATAATTATATTTTTTGATCTTCTTTTTTCGTCTCTATTGGTTTAATTATTAGAATAAGTCAATGGCTTTGGCATCCTCCATAGGTTAATGCTAATAAGTTGGATCGATGTTAATAATAGGTTTTGGCGTATAACTGAAAACTTTAATCTAATCTTTTTCCAGAATAATAGATTTTAATTTATCTATCTCTTAAATCTTCTACAACAAATGAACAATATCAAGATCCTTATCGATAACCGTTTTACATTATCTGAGCATCTTCTTGGTTATTTCAACCTCTTCGCAACAAGAACACCACAATAATTAATAAAGAATAAAATTGATCCCTAATCTTAGATCATGTCTTGTAGAATTAAAAGCAGTTATCAATCTTTACAAAAAATTTCCTTTATAATCTTATAATTATTCCACATACTTTTAGAATTACAATTGATCTATCTAAGGGGTCTCTTACTAATCCCGTTGCAATGATTACTAATTTGAAATTGAATGATTTTGAAACCTTTAACTATTCCAAACCCGCATAACCATACTTGTTTTCACCAAGGATTTGGTGTGTTGTTTTAGTTTCGATTATAGTTCACTCACTCTATTTAGAGAGTTTTAGATCACACTTAATAGCTTATCATATGAGAACTCAAACTTTCCATTTCTTTTCTTTGGGATATTGAATTAATATAAGTGATTTGCTAATGATATTTTTAACCCCATTTCATTGTATGATAGAGCAACTAAGCCAAAGATGGATGAAATTATTTTTAATATCCCACCAAAATAGGACAAAAATGAATCAATGGTTTCTGCAGTTTTTTTATGTTATTCATAATCTTGACTTATTCTAAAATTCAATGAAAATAAAGTACTCGGAGAATCATGATAACCCTAAATGATAATCACCTGATACCTTAAATTCCCGATAGTTATATAATTGGAAGGACCAGAAGTCTTTTTTCTCCTCTTCTTTGTATAAACTCAAAAGACTGTTTTCAACTATGATTTTATTGTTCTTAAAAAATATATCAGCTTTGCTTTCTTCCAAAAGAGTTGTTTGGAGGTAGAAATCTGAATTCAAATACCTAAAAAGATGGTTGTCTTTGCTGTTTCTCATGTATATAGAAGATTGAATCAGCGTTGATAATGAGACAAAAATAGATTTATTTTAAGCGAGATACTCAATCTACTCCTTAGTATAACAGTCTTTTGTATAGCAGATTGACACTTTTAAGGCAGGATACAAGAAGAACTCTGAGTTGAATGTGCCTTTTAGCTTCAAACTAAAATTGAGAGGGAGACATAAATAAGAACCTAAATCAGCTTTTACTTCCTAAAAGCCTTCTTAATTAAGATTCTTAAAATGTGTATCACTACATTATTCAAAGAGAATCTGATGCAACGCTGTTTTATTGCGCGTTCCGTCTGCTGATGTAGATATTTGCATTTAATTCATCACAATTTAAAAGGGTGTTTTATTTTCATTTGGATAATAAAGAGAGAAGGGATTGTCAAGTTTAATGGCAAACATGAAATTTGTTATGTTCATTTCCTGGTAATCAGGATTCATATTCTGCAGTTATTACACGTCGATCTATATTAACAACTATGCTACCTAAAATTTATCTCTTAATAATAGGCTGATCAATCCAGTTATAAAAAAATAGAGTAGCACTATGGTCATGGCGATTGAAATGATGCCTCCCCAAACACTCTGGTATTGCTTCCTGTTCCTTATGTTGAAGTTCAGGGAGACACCAAAATTATCATAGGATCGTATAAATCTCTAAATATTTTTCAGCAAAGAGTACATAAATTTTATTTTATCAAATAATTAATACATCAGCTCGATGTTTACTTTATCCTCTTAAACTCACTTTCAATCAAATACTATAAAACTTTATTATTAATATTAAGCAACCTTTAAACATAACAGAACAATGTTATAAGAAAATATTCAAAGCATTAAATTTTCATGGATTATAAATTTAATATTTAATGATACTCTAGAGTCAAATTAGAAGATCAAAGTAAATTTGATATTTAGTATGATGAAGAAAAGTATAATATGGTGCGAAAACCAACTTAATACTTGCATATTCGATGATTTTGAGAACCCTCATCGTATTTTACAATATGAAAATAGTTTTAATAATTTGTAATAATTACATAAATTAATTAAATAAAAATATAATTATATAAGTCTTCTATATTCTAATATTTGGATTTAAGTTTAACCTCTTCTATACATAAATACCTTGGATATAAACTGTTAAATACATAGATATATCTTAAATATAAATTAAAGTAGTTCTAATAGTGATCCTTAAAATTGTCTGATGCTTAAAGTAATTTTAGATAAAAATTAAACAAAGATTGCCAACTAAAGGGATATTAATAGTATAAACAGATGAAAAAGTATAGAGATAGTTAAATATGAGTTTTATAGAGCCTACTACTGCTTCTACTTCATTAAAATTATAAGAACGTTTTCAAAATATTCTTTTGTCCATCTGCAGTAATTAACAATTACATTTTATAAACTGTTATTACAAGTTAGCAGAATTAAATAGCTAAAACTGATTTATGCTTAATATTGTTGTCAATTATTGATAATAGTAAATAGAAGTAATTTGATTCAGAATTTTGCATACTTATATAATTTTTAATATTTTATTTATGTTTAGCAATCAATTATTTAAGTATAGAAGGCTATACCAATAATCATTTAAGTTGAAGTCACAGCATGAAATTCCAGAATTTCAGATAACAGCCAAGTTGTATGAACATTAATCAGCAGCTTAATTACTTCATTTTGAAGCTTAAGATAAAAATTAGACTTTTGCGACAATATTCAGATCCGAGCCTACAAACAGTCAAGGAACTCCACATATTTTGGAGCATTTGATTTGCTGTGGAAGCGAAAAGTATCCAGTCAGAGACCCATTTATGGCTATGATCAAGCGTAGCATAAATACCTATTTGAATGCATGGACAGGTCCCGATTATATTTGCTTTCCACTTGCTTCATTAAATAAGAAGGATTTTGAAAATCTATAGAATGTGATATTGGACTTAGTTTTCAAGCCTACGTTAAATGAATTGGATTTCAGATAGGAAGGATCTAGACTGGATTTTGAAAAAGGAAAGTTGGTATATAAAGGAATTGTTTATAATGAAATGAAAGGGGCTATGCAAAATCCAGAGAGTGTGTTTTGGTAAGAGATGCAAACTTACCTATTAAACAACTCTATTTATTAACATAACTTTGGTGGAGATCCTAAGGCTATTCCAAGTCTTACCCATAAAGCTCTGTTAGATTACTACAAATAAACATTTCATCCTAGTAAAGCAATATTTTATTCCTATGGAATTGATCAACCCAATTTTGATTTAATAAACCAATATCTCCAAGTACAAAAGCTGAATTATTAACAATAATCTCAATAGGAAATCAAGCCTTTAACACCTCCTGATATCATTTCATTGCCATATTAAGATGGAGATAAATAATGTTTCCTTGCGTTTTAAACAATCATTAAGGAGGCTGATTATGTGTAGTAATTGGCCTTAAGCATTATTTCTCATGTGCTTTTTGATAATCAAAATGGATTATTGTACTCATTAATTGAGGAGGGACTTGCAGAATCATTTAGTAGAAATGTTGGACTTGAGCAATATGGCGAGAACCACGTTTTCAGCATTTCCTTCTAAGGAGTTGAGGATGATAGAAAAAGTTTGAATAAAATTCAAGAGAAGATTAAATGCATATTGGAATAATTGACCAAGGAATTTCCATAGGATAAAGTGGATGCTGCATTACATTAGATCGAGGTTTAATTCAAAATGCCTACTTCAGAAATGGGTTTGAAATTGTTGAAATTTTTGATTAACCCAATCATAAATCAAAAAAACTATATTGAATATTTGGAATTCAACAAAAATATGGCAAATTTAAAATCTAAAATCTCACAAGGTTACTTGCAACAATTAATTAAGGACCATTTTTTGAATCCATATGTATTATTTGGTTAGCCAGATAAAAAATACTTGTAAAACCTAATATAAAATGAAACCAAGCAATTGGAAGAGATCTAAAAAACTCTTACACAGGAGGAAATAGATAAAATAATAAAATTGAATAAGGATTTAGACAACAGAGAAGAATCAGATTTTTCGATACTACCTACTATAGAACTATAAGACATATCAGCCAAGGTTGAGAGAGTTCAATTTAATGAAGATGTTGTTAGAGGCGTCAAAGTCTTTGAAACTATATAAAAAACAAATGGGCTCACTTTCTTTAAATTCAAGTTTAACTTGGGGGAAATATCTGAAGGTACAAGATAATACATAGATTTTTTTGTTTAATTGTTTGGTAAATTCGGAACAACAAATTTCACCCATTCCGAGATTAGTTAGATGTTTAGTGAATTTACATTGGGATTGGAAGTATCATATGACTCAGTTCAAAAAAAAGGAACATATTTGATGTTTAGCATAGCGTGTTTAAATCAGAATGTTTCAAAAACACTTGAATTGTTGTCTGAATTATGTTGCAATGTTAAATTTAAAGATAGATCTCATTTGGCAACATTATTAAGGAATCATAAGGTAGCATTGTAGAACCAAATTTTTGATGAATAATTATAATATGCAGCTCAATTGGCAACTTCTCAAATTTCAGAATAGTATTACTTAACTGATACAAATTTTAACACAAAATTCCAACTTTAATATGCTCATCATTATTTGAAGGCTGACAATCAAAGAAAATCGATGTATGTGGATGATTTCGAATTTCAAATGACTGATATTCTATATACAATAATGAATAAACATAAATTGGAAGTGATTATTCATCAAGATGGATCATCGAATTATATTTAAAATTTAGAATAGTTCATAAATTCCATTCGACATAAGTATCCAGGATTTGATATGGATCCATAACCACAATATATTGAATAATTCAATGAAAAGTTTGGTAGTGTAGCATCTCTTATCCCATCACAAGTAAATTGCTCATCCAGAGCATTCAAAATCCCTTACTTTACTCATGAGGACACTCCAGCGATATAAGTATTGGGAGATTGCATCTCAAATAGTTATTTGCATAGAGAGATAAGAGAGAAAGGAGGAGCATATGGGTCAGGTTGTAGTGTGAGATCAATAATGGGAACATTTTGTCTATGGAGTTACAGAGATCCAAATCTATTAAATACGTTTAAAATCTTTGACAACATACAATTGGATTTGGACGAGTAAAAGTTGAAGGAGGCCAAATTAACAGTTTTTTAGAGATTAGATCAACCAATAGAGCCTTAGAATAAGGGATTAGATTACATTATTACTGGATTAAATTATGAATAAGTGGATGAAATGAGGGAAAGGGTGATCTCAGTTTCACTTTCACAGGTTAGAGATGCTTTTGATAAATATCTGAAATCTTAGCCTTACAGTTAAGGAAGTATGGTGTCAGAGGAGCATAAAGATGTAGAAGAATTAAAGAAGTTGGGATGGTAAATAAATAAATTAAGTATTGATTGATTTATAGTATATTACATACATACAAATTAAAAAATGCAATTGATCATAAATATCAAATCTTAATAGCGTTAACGTTCAAATTATATGATTTTAATTCAAAATCTTATTTATTTTTATATCTAACTTTAATTATCCTCATTGATTATGGAAATAGATTTTTTAATTGAGAATTCACTTGTGTTAACAGATAGTTCTTCATTTCCAATTCTTCATTTTTTGATTACATGGATAGTTATAGTTAGAAACGCATTAAAACCTCAATGCTTGGCCACTAAAGATATTAAGAAAATGTGTTGTTCTAAGCGGAATTGTGCATTATATTATGAGTACATAAATTGGAGAGGTGGTAAAGGAGTCTGTCGGGATGTAAGAATTGCGAGGACAAGAGGTTTGTAACTATTATTGGATGAATCAGACAAGAATCGATTCACCAACTTTATAATGAAATAATTAATGATGTTTTATAATTATTTATTATTTTTTTTTCAAAACGGATAGAATGAGAACGAAACATCTGGTTTTGATAGGTGTTATTCTACTGCAAGGTAACATTTCTTTAAAAACTATTTAGTTTGCTTTGTGCAGGCATTGCATTATGACCTAACTACACTTCTGGATTAGCAAAATGAATTAGATTGCGAAAATACAGATTTTGTATAAATGCTATAAGATTTCGAATCATGGGGAGAGATCATTGAATTATTGCAAGATGGCTAATTAGATTCAGAAATGAAACAACTCCAAGAACTCTCAGAATTCACGAATGAAATGATATCAGGTAATTACCATAAATATCCTTATAGCCAATCCAAACGATTTGATGGAGGATTCCTCTTATGATGAATAATTGGAGACATTGGATGAACAATTGTAAACAATCCAAAATCAATATAATGGTCCACAAAGAAAGTTTTTATTTGACTAAAGCAGACAAATCTCTGATCAAATCAGAAGAGTGATTGAATCAAGTATGCTTACTCTTTAATATCCATATAGGATCATTCGAGTAGAAGAGATCCCAATTGGCAATGTTATACGGTTTAATTGAATACTTATTAAAACAAATCTCAAGAGTCTAAAATCAGTACTAACAAACAACATAACCACAGCCAAGATCATAATAGCCTTAACCACAACCCCAATAGAGAATTAAGGAATAGAAGGAGAGAGTCATTGTAATCAAAGATAAATGTGGAGACAGATACCAATAGAGAAAGGTATCAAAGTAAAGAGTTGTGCCTGGAAACTACAGATAAAACGATCATCCAGTCCCTGAAGAGGCTGGTTGTGACATTCCTTTACCACAATAAAGATAACCTAAATGTGTAGTTGGATCAGACATCATATTGACAAGTTCCATCTCTGCTGATCAACCTACTGTTGAAACTGAAGTCAAGAAATTGAAGGATGTCAATGAATATGGTTTCGGTTTTTGGATGAGATTCTTAACATTGTACCCAGAACAATTGTAAAGTGGTTTAACTGACTAATCCTATTTTGTGGCTAAATTAACCAAAAATTAAGAACATGGAGATGACAAGATTGGTGACAGATTGTTGACCATTTTCTAAACTTAAGAACAATATATTTTCAGTGCTTAACATGATAAACCTGAAAGAAAGGAAGCAACTGCCGCTATTGTGTTCGGAGATATTGAAGCTGTTTGGACATACGTATATTACAGTTACTCAGCCTTTTCCTAATAAGCCACTGGTTTCTATAAGCAATCAAATAGTTAATTAGTTAAATAAGTGACATTACCAGCATCTTAAGGAGCACCCTAATATTTGAAATTTGTTTTGGGAGGTCAATATTTCGATTTCCCAGGATTCAATGGTTAAGTCAGCAGACCAGTCTTAGCAATTGGTTTTGGAACATATTTAATTAATGAATAAGAATTCTTGTAATATGCTATTTCATGCAATCCTTAACCATATGTTGCACCATAAAAATTGATTCCATATCAATTTGTAAGAGATTCCAAATATGTTGATATTGAAGATAACAATGCACCACCCACCTAAGAATTTATTGACTTATTGTTACCAGACGAATATGCAGTTTAAGGTTGGTTCAAGTGGGAAGAAACTGATTTGTAAGAGAACTGGCACACTATGTTCAGATTATCAAATACACCCATAAGAAAACAATAAATCTTGTTAGGTGAAAGAGTCTTGGCTGCTTGGTTAGGTAAACCAAAAGGAGGATAAATCCATTTCTCAACATATTCATATGCTAACATGAAAGGATCAGGCAATCCCAATGCTCATCAATATGTCCAACATTAAGATCAACATTTACACTGGCACTTTGTTTACTTTGGATACAGTAGAGAATAGAGAAAGGCATATGCTTAAGTCTTATTCAAACATGTTCATGCCAAATCTTTGAGTTTCGTCAATGTCAACCACTTTGTGTCACCAAAGCATTATTTCTACTTTGGAAGAGAAAGACAATTCCCAGTCTACAGTGGATTCATGGCTTACCTTGAAGTATTCTTCTGCAAAGGATCTTACTTGACAAATGTTAAGCCAGCTTTGAGACCAGTTCCAACACCACCTCCCCCCAAAAAGAGATGTGTTGAAGGACCAAACAGAATCATCAATGCTAAATATGATAAAGGTCCAGTCGTTCATGTTGAATTACACAAAGATGATTTGAAAGACACTACTTAATATGGTTATGGATTCTGGTTCAGATATACTGGATTGGCAGGTGGATAATACGAAGGTGCAAGACCAGATTGGTCATTGATTGCCAGACTTACAAACAAGAAGGAAACACCAAAGGATATTAGAGATGGTTTATTAACTATTTTCTAAGGAAAAGTTGGGTTCTTCTACATCACAGCTAATAACAAAGCTAAGAAATTAGTTGAATTAGCTTAACCATTTGGAGACATTGAAGGAGTTTGGATCTACACTTATTTCAGTTACACTAGATATAAGGCTATTGCATTCTATTAAATTGAGAATTAAGCTCCAATCACCTTAGAAGCTAAAGTTACACATCCAAGAATGGAGTAATTGTTATTCTAAGTTGGCGGAAAGGATCCATAAAACAGATACTATTCATTCAATGGTTAATTCCATAGACCAGTCTTAAGATTAGGATCAGGATCATTCTTTGATACATTAGAAGAATACACTCCATTCTGTTTAAGTTGCAATCCATAACCTTAAAAGGATTGCTCAAGCAAGGGTTTGATCAGAGCAGTCTCAGCCAAGGCTTCATAATTCAATGGAAATCCAGTTAATTCTGGTGACAGATTCGGAACAACTGAATAATACTCTGTTCAAGGATGGTTCAAATGGAATGGTAAGACATCTGGAAAAGATTAGTTGTTATTCAGATTGACATCTACTCTAGCTGGTGAAGATGCACTTAACTTTGATACCCTCAGTTGTTACTTCGATACTAGAGATTAAACTCTTAACTTCTACACATATACATACACTGATCAATTAGGGTAATTAATATATATTAAATACTAGATCTGGAAATCCAGAAGTTAGATAGATTGTTGAAGGAAAGACCTTTGTTAAAGATTGGTTCCATATTTACTTTGCTTATTCTAGAAAGAGTAGATAAGCTGATGTCATTGTTGAACACTCATAAGGAAAGGGAGCTTTGTCATTCAAGAATGTCAACCATTACGTTGCTCCATCCCTTATTCTTTACTATGGAAAAGATCAATTGACAGATGCTTTCTAAGGATTTATTCAAGGATTGAATCTTTTCGCATGTGACATTACTTATTAACCAACTCCTAAACCAGTCGAAGATTGCACACCAATGAAAGAGTAATAGATACTTTTATTTTAATAGTCCAATCTGTTTAGCTGGTGATTAATATGAAAATGTTTCATTAACCAATATTGACAACGTTGTTTAAGAACTAGAGAAAAGAAAGTAATTAATGTAAGACAAACAATTTGTTTTACCAACAACCTAATGCTTCTGCTTCCCATAATAAGGAAAGAAAGCTATACCTTAGAGATAAGAAGGCTTCCTTGAAATTTATGATGATGACGAAGAACCATAACAATAAGATCCTGTTGAAATATGAGTTTGTCATTAAAATCATAAAATTATCATCATCAATCAAAAGCGTCTTTCTTTTCTTCTTCTTGATCTTACAATTCAATAAATGAAACTGATTTTTAATAGAATATTTTTGATCAAGTCTTCGCTCATTATTTTACAAATACTCAGCTTGTCTAATTGATTTGTAACTATCCTTATCTTACTAATTGGATATCTAAGATTAGTTTGTTTTTAATGAAAAATCATTAAACTAAGTGAAATTCCTATCTCCAAATTAATTCAAATCATCTTATAGATTATTTTATATTAAGCCATAACTTTATTATTGAGGTATTTTCAAGCTTACCGGTTCTTACTATTATTGAAACTATTAAGGTTATTAATGCAATTCAAATTAAGAAAGAGATTTAATTCTATTTTATTGCTTTGATGCCTCATTTTATTAAGAAATTAATTAAAAAACATTCAATTAAATATTAATTCGTTGTTGTTAATCCTCTTTATGTTAATGAAATTCTATAACGATGTCTTAACACCCTTTTGACATTTCTTAAATTATTTGTAATTTAAACACATTTATTAGGTGAGTTATTATTAAGAAGATAGATTAAGATTTTATTCATTATCATCTGAGATACTTTAGTTGAATGTAGGGTTTTATCTGGAATCTTTCATTTCCTATTATTATTTATAGCTACTTAAGAAATCTCTATCACATGGACTTCTTTGATTGGCAGTACTCTTTTGCTTGTCTTCATCGAATTGATTAGATATTCTTAAGTTATTATCATCTTCGATTTTCAGTTGTCTGTTATCTTTAACTGAATTCTTGAATTAATTATGATCAGGTTCATTTTAGTTTTCATCATATGAACAATAACTTTAAGTGCCATAGATGTTTTCGTTTTATTCATTATCTTGATTAAAATCATCAATATCATTGAAATATTTCATATTCTTAATCTTTAATTGTTGTAATTTCAGCTATTCCTCTTTAGTTTAGATTTTAATTATCCCATAATTGAGCCTTGTTTTATTACTTATTATTCCTTCTTTTCTTTGATGGATTCTAAGTACCTTTGCTATTCCTTTTTGTATTTTTGCAACTAGGTGTTTGCAAGGCAAGAGTACAGTGTTAATCATATTAAAAAAAAACAAATAACACATTCTTTGTCTTCTATAGTGTTTGGGTTCCATTCAGGATTGAATCGAGTATTTAACACACAATAAAGTTCATGTATTTCAAAAAGTCGGCCTTCGTGTATGAGAATTGCTTTGTATTAATCAATTCATTTTAATTGGTTTATTCGTTGCAATTTATTCGATAAAAGTAAATTATCTGGATGCTTTTTGAATTAAGAGTTCTCTTTATATTCATAGATGTATAAACTTACCATTTCGATTATTAGAGTGTGGTAGTGTGAATCTGGGAATAGTTTCATTTTCTAAAATCTTAGAAGATCATTAATCATGAACTCTATGTATTTAGTAGGAAATTAGTAGTTCAATCCTGATGGACATTTAAATGTTTGTGATGTACTTGATGGCATGATTTTGTAATATCTACGAACTTTGAATTTTAAATTTAAACCTCTGCTGTTTCCCTCCCTTGGTTTCAGTAACAAATGTATGAACTATGATTTAAAAATTTATATTGCTTCTGAAAGTTAGATCCAACTGAATTTTATCAACAGAATCCTAGACTATTTTTGCATTAATTATTTGCAAATTGAGTTTTATGAAATCAACGTTCCCTTATTTGGTTTCCTTCATCAAAATATTAGGTGTATCCTAGACTTAATTACTCTTATCTGTATTTCTTGATATTTCTTTTTAACTTTAAAAATATTTCCCATATTAATTTTTTTATGCATAATAAAATTTTATCTTACTCGATTCAGAGTTCTGAAGTCTAGAATAAAAATCACTAACCAATATATCATAAAACAAAATATACTCAAATTGATTTCCGATTAGGTGTTCTAGATCTCAATGTTTGAAACTATTGAAAATACTTTAACAAATAAGATCAAATTAAATTCTCTAAATTATCAATAGACATCTTAACATTTATTGTAATTCATGATCTAATGATAAAACAACAGCTGAGATTATCATATTAAGTAAAAGTTGATTTTCAAAAGAAAATTCAATTTATAATATTATATCTTAATAATAATATTTCTCGAAATTAAAGGAATCATTACCTTATAATTCTATTCATATAATTAATTATTAAAGATACCATTCACAATTAAGAGAGTACTCAAACTAAAATTAATTAGATCCATAATGAACCATTTGATAAAATTTAAGAATACCAAGAAGATGTTATTAACACTTAAAAAGAACTATTAATTTAAAAGAAGAGATAACTTAATTTAAAGATAGATTAGATTGTTAGAAAAAAAGAAAAAATTTATATGAGTTTGGTTAACGAATTAAGTAATTGGAACTTAACAATGATGACTTCTGAATGCATCATTTAGTTTAAGATAAGTACTGTACTTAATTACTAATTGTTAGTTATTAATCAAAAAATTAGAAGAAATAAGTATTTCTAATTATATTTTACACAAAGAGTTTGAGGACTGCAAAAATAAGTAGGCCAATAGCAAATAGACATGAAAACAATTTTAAAGGGTTTGAACAACGATATTTTTGACGGAATGAAGGATATTTATGAAAATTCAAAATGATTTAGCTAAAAAATTAAACTCGAGTGTGAGTTGCCTTAAATATTTAAAATGAAGTCAGTCTTATAAATTTGAAGTATAATAATTAATGAACATTTAATATTCTTTCTTGCCCAACTATCAATTCTAAAGGATAATAGGACATGGAACTTTCGGATATGTGTTTGAAGCATATGATAGAACCAATGACAAAAAAGTTGCTATCAAGAGAATCCAAAAAATTTCTAAACAATTAAGTCGAGAATATGAAATACTACTCTTACTCAAAGGGTCTCCAAACATCATTCAAATAGAAGTATGATCTCTATTATATACAGGACATATACTTGTCTTAAACTGATGAAGGAATAAATGTCCAAAATATCATCTTTGAGTATAAGGATTTCTCTTTAGAAAATATATTGGCTTAGGCAATAAGAAACAGATAGTTCTTACAACCAAATCAAATCAAAAGTCTAATGAGATAAATCATAATAGGATTGTGTAGTTTATCAGCTAAAGATGTAGTTCATAGAGATCTTAAACCGTAATTTTAATAATTAATTTAAGTGAAAATATTCTAGTTGACAAGGATGGTAATTTGGTCTTATGTGATTTTGGGAGTGCAAAGGTCATTGATCAACGTGGAATGAATACGTCCTATGTGGTATCCCAATACTACAGGGCTCCTGAACTTATCTTATCCCACACTAATTATGGAGCTGAAATTGACATCTGGGGTAATCTGTGGGTTTTAATTTTAGCTGCTGGGTGTATTTTTTCAGAGATGATGGACTTAAAAGTGTTGTTCGAAGGTAAGAATGAAGGAGATTAGCTCTATTGTATCTTTCAAACTTTGGGGAGTCTCAAGGATATTGAGATGATCTATCTATTCCAATATTAGTCTTACAACCAAGAGATACAAAAGAGGTTCAAAGGATACGAGTAGAAAGATATGAAGTTTTGGTTGAACAAGTTCTCCCATATTCCTAATAATGAACTTGCAATTGACCTCCTATTGAAAATGCTTCAGATCAATCCTAGGAGACGAATAACGGCTAAGGAAGCTTTGTAACATCCTTACTTTCAGGCTTGAGCAATATATGTATGTGTGTGCAATTTACTGATTTTTAATATAATATAAAGTTAAGGTCAAAATTGTGGATAAATAATTTACTCAATAAGGAATTTAGCCTTGCTATTGTGGATAGACTTAAGATATTTGTTTATCCAACTTTTATCTTGCCAATTCCAACATTAAATTAAGTTCATCTTAACTCATTCTTAAACCATGATCTTCGATATTTTGATGATCCTTATCCATTACTTTCCATTCGAACTAAAATTAGATGTAAATTATTACTATAACAATCAGTTCGAAAATGTTGAATATCAAAATTATGACCAATAATAAACAAGTCAAACATCCGACTATTGTGAGAATGAGTGACTCAATCTGTTGTCTCATTGATCCAACATTTAATGAAATTAGAATTATTGTCGCCACTATTAAACTAGCCAAAATAACACCTGAGGACATCAACCAAAATAGTTTATTAAACTTTAATGGGTCTTTTAAAGATTTCATAACACTGTATTCCTTGTAAGTTTTAATTACATATTAGAATCTACAAAAATCACACTGTAATCTTTTTATAAATTATCTCCTATTGAAATCCATATAATTAGCTTCAATTTCATTCTACACACATTTTTGATGAGCATACTACTGTCCTCCCTTACATAAACATGGTCTGATCAAATGCATAGACCAATCTTATTCATTGCAAAATTTACATTGTTTCTCCTCAAACACTTTTACCTGTACTTCCTAAAACTCTTAAGTATTGATTTTTTTGACTGATGTACTTTATTCATGTAATGATTCCTATGATCTTTGTGAATTTGTTCTATTTTTTTATTGAATTCGTGGATTACCCTTAGGAGCTTATTTATTCGATTATTGTGGAGTCTTGTAGATCCAATTAGAACAGTCATAATCAACAGGAGTCATATAAAATGGGTTATTTTACAATTCAATATCTGTTTCATTATTATAACTTCTCTTAATTGTAGAAGCATTCGGAGACAAGGCCTAACCTACAAAATCTCTTTGAGTTTGTTCCCTTGTTGGTTTCTCTTTTATTACTCTAATCTTATACTGCAATAATTTACTCTAAATTTATTTCTTATTGCTAACTCCCCATAAAACTAAATGGAACCCTACAAGTTCCAGTAGGAGTAATTCGAAAAGTCTCATTTGCCATTTTTAATTTAATGATAATCTTTACATTAAATTTCAGTATTTTTGAAATTAACTTGAATTTTAGTCAGAAAGTAGTGAAAACTTCTTATTTTTAGTGATAAATTATAATAATAATTAAAACTATTTTAAACAATAAAAACTCATTACCAAATTCTTAAAATCGTATTCAATAACTAGGTACCTTTTTTAGTTATCTATAGATGCATACAACCCAAATGATATCAAAATGTGTCACATATATGAATCTTTGTAAATAAGTTACAAAATCATATCTAATAATATTAATATACAAATATAAGGTCACCACTTTTCTATCTTAGGCTCTTGATCTAAGTTTATATTATTAATTCTTTATTTTTATTTTTTAATCTACTTGTTCTTTTCAACTTTCACAATCGAACTCCTTTTTGTTTTTTAACTATCACAGATTCTTATTCTTATTATTGCTCCAAATCATATGAAACAACTGGTTAAGCAATCTTTTTTTTAACTTTTTCTGTTTTCTTTATGATTTTTTTAAGGAATTTTTGATTTGTGATATTCCAAAACTTTCTCAGCTGCTAAGTTATTGATGAATCTAATTGTTGGAAATTTAATTGCAATTGAAATAGCCTTTTCTGAACAAGGATTACCTGAAACATTTAAATGAATTAATCTTTTGAATTTGATTATGGGATAGATTTAAAACTCTTAAATTGCGAAAAATAGACATTCCACTCACTTACTTAATTAAATTTTTTGATGCATTAAATTGGTTATTTAGAGCGATCTACTGAATGATTGTTTACTTACTGCAATCTGTTTCAAATTCTAATTTATAATGATAATGTCTTTTCATCATCTTTGATATCAATGTCACAATAATTAAATAATTTTATTAAAATAAATTGATTAGTTAGATACAATAAACATTTTTATGTATTCGATCTTAATCAATACTGAAAAAGTTCAAATAATTTAAAGATATGATCGATTTCTACAATTTTGTAATGAATTAAAAATATTCATTTATCAGATAATAAGACTGAAAGTAGAATCACATATTATATGATTGGGAAGCAATAGAATATATTGTGCCCAATTTCAAATGCTTCATTTATTGAAATGATTTATCTTATTTAATTTTTGAATTGATGTAAAAAATACATTTTATACTATAAAATTTAGATTAATTGACATGTACTCTTATGATGTGATAAACTTCGATTTTACAAGGGATGACGGATTTGTCGCTGTAAGAGTTAAGCCGAAGGAATCAAATCAAGTGCCCGATTAAAGGTCGAATTAAGTTTCAAATTAAGTACCTGAACCAATACAAAACCCATTAAATGTCTAATTGATAAAGCCGAAATACAGATGCCTAAAATCAGATGTTTAGAGCCTTAAGACTCTGTTAAAGAGGACGTATAATTTGAGGGAATTTAAAGAGTTTTATAGAGTTTATGGACCGAAATTGATAGAAATAGATTTTGGTCTTATAGAGTTATTTAATGTGAAAGTAAAGAAGAGTAATTCAATAATAGGGAGAAAACTAGTTTTCAATTTAAGAGATTGAAAAATTTTAATATGGCTTGAACTTTATTAGATGGGGAAAATTGTTTACCATTGATCATCTCTAAGGATATAAGGATGGCTCACAAATAAATAATTAAATAATTGGATTGCAGTAAGAATTGACATAGATTATTAGGTATTATAACATGCTTGTGAAGGAGAGAATATTCACTTTAAGAACCTTGCGGTACTATAAGAATGATGTTGAAAGAAAAAAGTTTCCGTATCAATACCTATATATTTATGATTTCGAAGATAATCTCTAAATTAGTTTTTCATTCTTTTAAGAGTATTTATCAAACTAACAAAATTACGAAATCTAACAAATTAAATAGTAAAAAGAACTTCTGCCATCATTGAAAATTTAATTTTATTAGAAGTATTTTAAAGATTTTTAATTCACTCACATTATAGCCCCATTTTTTTAGGTGAAATAAGAAGAATAAGATTAACTTTAGATTCAATTGTTTTTTATTCATTTCAGTTTGGATGGATATCAATTTAAAAATTACTCAAATTCTTCTGATAACTAATAACAAAGAAATTAATCATACAAATGCCACATATTTGTGAATTTTGAAACAACATTTTATTCTCAATAATAATTATAGAATGGAGCCAGTGAATTTGCAAATATTCATAATTTTATCATATCAAACAGTGATATCCAATTTGTTAATATTAATAAGTATTTAGATCATTTTATTCAGCTAAGAAAACAACTTTTTGACGGAATATGTGAAATACATTGAATCTGAATTTTTCTTATTGGAAACGTCAATTGATAGTCAGATGAACTATATTTTTAATGAGTTGCCAAAGGAACTGTCAAAAAATCAGGTTAACAGCGTTTTAAATGATAAATTCATCATCTCATAAAACGTTTAGAATGTAATGAAGAAGTTATTTGGAGAAGAAAAATGAAATATATATTTATAGGATTATAGAATTTATAATAATTATGATTTATAATAATTTATAATTATACGATAATTATCTTTAGATTTTAATTCACTTCTTTATATAATTCTCAAAGATATAATTAAATTCAAATAATAATATAATTTTATGGAAGAGCTCAAAGACAGCGATTTAAATTAGAATAATCACTTAAGAATAGATACATAACCTCATTAACAAGAGTGCAACTAATTTTTATCAAATTATTGTGATTTTTAAAGTCCATTGAAAACAGAATAGTCTAATCTAGAAATAAAGCCAAAGAAGGAAGTATACACGAATGAAGAAATGAAGAAATTTACTAAATAAGGAATTGTCTCCTTAGTAGGAGGAGTCTTAATTCATATTGAACTAGGAACTTTCTATGTTTGGGCTTCCATAAGTATAGTTTTATTTTAGTAAGGTCCTTATGTGGCTGCTTGGATGAGAATTAAAGATACGACTATTACTCATACTTCCATGTCCGCAGTATACCCTATATTAGGAATAATAACTATGTCATTTTTGTCTTTTGGCATAAAGATAGCTGAAAGAGTGGGATTCAAGTTTATAATTGGTTGTGGATCATTTATATTAGCATTGGCATTTTTAATTATTTCTTTTGTGTAAGACATCTAAGTATTCATTGCGATATATTGTATAATGGTTGGCATATCTGGTGGTTTGCTGCATATGCTTCCAATTATATGTGGATTAAGATATTTTCCGAATAAAAGTGGATTGGTATCAGGTGTTATTATTGGAGGGTATGGCTTTGGATCTTTTATATTTAATTTTGTATGCAAAGCTATAGCCAATCCAAATAATGTCTAACCTTCTGTAGAAGTAATCGAAGATGGGAAGGTTGTTTTATATTTTGATAGCGAAGTAGGAGAGAAGGTGCCTTTTATGTTTCAAGTTTTAGCCATATCCTATCTCGGTTTGGGTATAATAGGCACATTAATGATAAGATATCCTAAAGATATAGATCCTGATAAAATGTTGACAACCTTAGAAGCATTATAACCAAAAAAGAATAAATAATTTGAGGACCAACTTCCTACTTGTATAATACCAAATCGTAAAGAATGCTAGAGTGTGTAAGGTTATCTTTTTATATTATTAGTACTAATGGGATTAAAAGCAAACCGTTTATCTTACTCTAATTGATCGTTCTCATGTCATGCACACTTGGAATGATGATATCAAATTGCTATAAATTTTATGGCTTTGAACTTGGGTTTAATGATTCTCTATTAACAGTCCTTGGATCAGTAGGTGGAGTTATGAATGGTTCATCAAGATTTTTTTGGGTTACTTTAACAGAAAAAACTTCGTTTAAATTCACCTTTACTATCATTTCATTTCTAAATTTAGCTTCATCTTCAATTTTACCTTACAATACCAGTGGAATTGGATATTTATTAATCATAGGAGTTATTTATTTGGCTGAAGGAGGTTTGTTAGCAATCTACCCTGTGGTATGTGCTAAAATATTTGGAAAGAAAGTTGGAGGAGTGATAAATTATTTCATGTATTTTATGGTTGGAGTAAGTAACATGATTGGATATATTTTATATGCATTTGTTAGAAATAGAATTGGATGGGAAGGTATTTTCTGGGTTTGTTTTGCAATTAACACTTTAGGAATAATTTTAGGATTATTCTTAAAGGAAAGTGGATATGATTGGCAAGACCCTTAGATAAGGCTAAAAGTACAATCAGGACTCTAAATGCAAGATAATAACAAATAATGATTAGCAATTACGATGACCAATTAAATTTATATCTTAACTACTAACATTTTTTTAATAAAACCTAATAAATTTAAGAAATTATGATTAAATTAAATTCTTGAATTATCTGTTTTTTACAATTTATTTATGTTTTACATTCTTCAATTATCAAATAATTATTAATTTTTAAATGTTTTTCTTTTAAAAATCTTTAATATTTTATAAAGAGTTGTCAATTAATTAGGTATATTCAATATTTTAAATGCTAGGTTGTTTATGAATACATCTTTTTGTAAACATCAATTAAATTGTTCAATATTTTCCATCAAAATATTTATTTAGAATCTCTCAGTTTTATATGAAATCAAACAAAGTAATACTTAAATAATGCTATTAATTATTGTTTAAACCTAAATAGGGTTAACTTAAATTTTGTACTGTCTTTTTATGTTTAATATTAATATTTTATTGCAATTTTAGGGTTTCTGGTATTATTAGAAATTTAAACAACTCAAAAACTCTAGATTAATAATTAATTGAGTATGCTATGTTTTATAACATTCGATTTGTTTTATTATAATTATAGATTTAAGGTGATTGCGATTATTAATATGAAAATTAATATTAAAAATGGATAAAAATGTTGATTCCTAATTCACTTCTACTTTTTGGAGATAAATTCATGAGGAATACTTCATGATAGAAGCACCTGTTTCTTTGAATAATGTGATAAAACAATCTAAACAAAGTAAACTGTTAATTCCTAATTTTAGTTCCCAATAATGCTAACTAGTAAACAAAAGAATTGATACAAAAAGTCTTAAAATTATCAAAGAAGAAAAAAAGCAAGATTTAATAGTTAAATGAATCCAATCTAATGCATCGTTTGCATTTGATATTAATGTAAAGAGAAAAATCATCCGAGCCAATCAAATAATTGATTGAAGAGATGGTTGATGTAGTTTGTGAAGATAAACTTGTTGATGAATTAGAGAGATGCTAAAGATTGATTCAAAAAATCCACCTGATGCCAGAAGAAAGACAAATTGACATTTATAATTAAGAAGAATAAAAATTATAAAGTTTGCATTTCTAAATAGATTGGCCAGATTAAATAAGTTAAGTGATTATGGAATTAGAAAATGATTTGGGTTAAGTACAATAAAAAAATACTTAAAGTATTGAAAGGTATTTATCTTTTTATTCTTCCAGATTGTAAACACACATCTCTGAAATTAATAAATCATTAAGATATCAATACAGTATTTAGAAAACTGGAGAATATACCCTAAAAATTTATAGAAATCACGTTTAACATCATCAAGAAGAATTAGATTAACTTTATAATTTGATTTAAATGTATGAAGACTACTAAGTTGCCGAAAGTATAGGAAAGGTTAGCTATAATTAATAAGGTATTAACTGAGTTTATTCTTAATAGATAATTTGGTTACTGTTAGTTTAGACAGGTATCTAAGTCCGAATCCTATACAGCTAAGCTTATAGTAATTTGAATCTCTTTAAAGATTGAGAGAAGTTCGCATAAATATAACAGAATAGGGCCAAGAATTACGATAGAATGAATAAAATGAAGATCTTTAGATGTGTCACTATTGTAGATAATTGATTGAGAAAAGTAACTAAAAATAATGCACCTATAATCATGTTGATATGAATTTACATTAATACAACGATGATTTACTGAACTAATAAAGATATTGCATATCAAATCAGAATATGTAAAAGTTTTATCAAGACTTGTATTCTGCAAATTATATAATTGAAAGTATTTAAATATTATGATTGGTAGATGATTAAATATAATGCTAAAAGTATTTTTGTCATAATTGCTTAAGATGTGAATTTGATGACTATGATATTTCAGATAAAGATTGGATTTGCCCATTATGCAAAGTATTCATATTTCCTAAATTAGGGTTTGTGTTTCTGTATCAGATGTTAGAGAAACGATGTTATTTATAAATTGAAGAGAAATTTACTAGAAATAAATGGAAATTTAGATTTGCTTTATGATTAGTCTCTTTTTGAAAAATTAGTTAGCCAAAAAAGGAAATTAATTTAAGATATCCCTCTAGATTTTATAAATAACTTCAAAGTGACTTCAGAAACTGAAGAAATAGTTACATCAAAGGCTTCTAAAAAAAAGATTAAAATAAACATCACAAAACAGATTAAAAAGAAAAAGAATTCTGAAACAATCTTGGTTCTGCCTAATTATATCAATAATAATATAGATAGTTCATCATAATCAACGAAGATCAAAAAAAAAAATAAATTTAGAAGATTAATTCCTAATGATACAATAACTGAACTATTATATGAATATATTTCTTGACATTAAGAATCTGTTTTAATATGTATTTATACAATAGTAATTATATTTTTACTGCACTTTAAATTGTTAATAATTCTAAATTTTAAATACCATAACAATATTTCTTTTAAATTTTAGATTCATCTAAATTTCTTCTTCCATCTTTTTTGAGACATCAAGTCTAAAAGATCCATTAACAAAATATCCAATAACTTTGAATGAAGCTATGAGAATACAGAAATGCTATTAGAGATGATTTTAAGACAATTCAAATTATTCAACATTATCTTTTAAATTATTGATAAGAAAAAATAATTAACCACTAATACAGATAAATCTTTATCCAGGATTAATAAATCCTAACTGAAATGTTATAAAACGTAAATGGTGAATAATATAAAATAAATAAAAAGTAATAAAGAATCATGCTCTCCTGTAAGGTTTTTTCTAACTTTCTGTAAATGATAATTTCATTTTACTCAATTTCTCCTTCTACTACTATATTTCTGATCTCAACTCCTCAATCGTTTTCTCTGTATTATCAATTTGCTTTATCTACTTATTTGGAGTCTTAATTCCAGTACTGATAAACGTACTACTACTGTGAAATTGTTTATTTACTAAATGATATATTTTTCATACTTGCTAAGAGGGATTATTTCTGAAATGGGGATTTCTGAGTTACTCTATTTGGTGATATTTATTTTTAAGGCAATTAAATTATATTCTCCAATTGGTTAATTTGAAGTTGATAATCTGATTGAATTTATTCCATTTTTTTATCCTGTCTTGATTTAAGATCCTGATATCGTTATTCAAAGTATTGCCTTTCTCTATTCATAGTTTATTCTGAAAACTATTATTAAGATATTCTAAATTAATATAAATGTTTACAATTCTTCTTATTATTCTTTAATTAGTTTGTTTAGATTATATAATTCTAATTCATAATTTTATTTTTATTCGATTTACAATTATTCTTAAAGTAATAACTATTTCTATAATTCTTCATTTTCCCTATTTAACAATTAAATTTGATTTTGTAACTCAATATCATTAGTTTTTGACAGAACAAGTGACTCAATTTACTATTGTTTTTATTTCAACTTTAATTGACCTTCCTCCTATAATAGTAATTCGGATTATTTGAATTGTTTTTTTAGATTTTCCATTTTTTATTCGATATCCTAATTCATTTATTCAATTTCATATTCCTTTTCTGCTTCTATCAATTATATTTTATTCTCTGTTATCATTAATTATTATTTGTAAAGGCTTTGCAATATTATTTTGCATTCACTTTCTACTTATTTTAATTTGTTTAAACACATATTTTTAATATCCTAAATTTATATATTCATTAATTCTCTTTATCTGTTTAAGACCCGATAAATTCTTTATTTAAATGTTTTTTGCTTAAAGAGTGCTTCCTCTAATTGTAACTATATTTAGCTCTTTTCATTTAGGATTTAATTTATTACTTATTTTGAATCATCAGAATTAAATTTTTCTCTATTCAGTAAATCATTAATGTCTTATTTTGCAGCTATTAACTCTTCATTAATTTTCTCAAAATCCTAAGCTAATTCTTAATTTTATATTTGTAATAACTCCTATTAGTTATTACTCTCAATTTGATCCTTTTACAATTCAATGATAATTTTAGCTTATTCATCTAACTTCTACTTGAATTCATTCTTCTATTTTCTGTTTTCCAGCTATTATTCCTGAAGGAGTTTTTATATCTTATTATTTTCATCATTAAAGTAATCTTATAATAACTTTATTTTTGATTCTTTTTCTTATATCTCTAAATTATATTATTCTTTTATTTTCTTTAATTCTTCTTGCTTTTGTGATTACTCATCCCTTAATTGCTTTAATTTCAATTCAACTTTTTAGCCTAATTTTTAATATGAGAAACTTCCAGGAATTTCTATCTCCAATCCATCAGAAATTTATTAAAATAATTTTTAATATTATTGTTTTTCCTTCTCAATTTCATTTTATTAGTTTTAATTTGCTCTTAAATTATTTAATGCTTATTCTGAGGCAATTTTATTATCATCAAGTTCTAATAGTGTATTTTTCAATTTTAACTCCTTTTTTGATAACTCTAAATCTAATTCCCTATTTTATTTTTCTACTTCTTCTGAATGTACATTTAATTATTATATTTCACTCTACAATGATATGACTTATTACTATGAATGATGACATTGTCTTTGTAAACCATCAAATTCTAAACTATATTAATAGAGCCTCTCTTTTATTTACTTGAGTTCTCTGTTTTGCTCTTAAATCAATTTTTCTTTAGATAAAAGTATTTATTCAAATTGAATTGTTAGATTATCTTCGATGATTTACCTTTCTTTGATAAATTGAATTTCTATTTCTTGAAATTAGTTTTTATACTATTGTTCCAATGATTTTGTAGATTATTTATGATTTAATTGTAACTAGTTTAATTAATTTTCAGATTCTTTAATCTATTCCTAAAATTCTTCTAATTGTTGCTACTAATATAATTGGATATTTTAAGCCTAATTTAATTTATTTTTTAAATCATTAATTTTATTATTGCTCTTCTCTTTCAATTGATCCAATAATTCCTTAGATTTTTATTAATCTTGAAATTTTTTACTTTTCAGTCTTTCATTTTCGTTCTTTAATGACTCAATTTCTTAATCTAGCTCAACATTAAGATCAATTTATTATTAAGATTTTTTTTTTAAATCGGATAGCTCTTTTAGAACCTTCTCAAAATCCATTTTAAAATCTCTATTTTATCTGTCTAATTGCTGATTTAATTAATTTAGTGCTTCATTTTTTTATCTGTACTCATTTATATCGGAACTCAATGATTTATTTCGTTGATCACTCAGTTAAAGGTTTTCTTTTATTCTTATATTTTCATTTTGTAGTTATATCTCTCTGTTTTGCATCTCTTTAATTTATTTATTGAGTTTGTCATTTTATAATTGATATTTCTAATTTGATCGAAAAAAATGAATACTTAAAATTAGGATTCCTGAGCTTCAAGCAACTCTTAGAGATTTTTGATTTCTCTAATCTACTATAATTGAAATTCCCTTTATTTAGAATCGCATTCTTATAAAATCCTTTGTTCTCTTTCTAAAAAATCTCTTCTGATTTAATCATTCTGGGCTTATTCAGATCTAAGTTCTGCCTACAGATGATGGATCTCATCAGTAAATTATTTCGAAAAGGTTTCAAGAGTGATCTCCTTTATTCTGCTGAAGATGATGTTTTTTGAATCCCGATTAGATTCAATAGTAGAGTCAAGTAAAATTTTGGAAGAAATATCCATAAGACATTCTAAATCTACATTTTAATTTCATACATTCCAATAACGATTGACTACTGAATAGCTTGGATGATGTTAACATATTTAACGTATTCAAAATATATATATAAATCTGTTATATTGATTATAAATAATATAAATAATATTATGAAATCTCCTACTTATATTTTAAAGAATGCATATTAGGAGCATTTGGTTGAGTAATAATATATCAAACATGTTTCGAAGATTTAAAATACTACAGCTAATCTTTAAGTGAGTTAGAGTGAGCATGAATAAATGAACAAAGTATGAGTACTTTAGTAAAATATAACTTTTTAGATAAAGTATTATCGTTAATAGAAGGAAAGGACTCGTAAATTTATGGAGCAGTAAACTCAGTTGTTTAGATAATAATCGGATAATGTATTAGCAAAAAAAATGATTACAGCAGATTCTAAAACTAGAAAAGTGCATGAACCAAAGACTGTGAAGTCTTTAATTGCAACAGCTCAAAAATAATAATCATATGAGATAGGGTTAGAAAATATAAGATTGGGGAAGAGGATCTTGCATTTGCCATCTGTAATAAAGAAAAAGGAATTCGATAAATCTTATGCAAAACATGAATAAAATATGATGTATGCTAGTAGGTTGAGAAATCAAAACAAATCTAAGAGTACTTCGAATAAGTTCATAAAGGATTGTGGGCCAATATTTACAGAGGTGCCAATCGCATTCAAATTAGTGGTATTTAACAAAGAAGTAAATCTTGTATTTAGTGAATAAATAGTTATAAAACAAAGACTAGAAGACAGAATGTTTGTATTGTGTGGAAGCTCATTTAAAAGATGAGTTATTGCATAGAACAGGTAATTGGATTGATATTAATTTAGATTCTGTGGCATTTGAATAATTCTAGTAATTGAGTTTTAAAGTGCCTATGAATGAACAATAATATGAAGGATATTAGAATGATCCATTGATTTTAAAGATTTGGAAAATAAAAAATAATAGTGAATTGTACATGGGACAAATATTTGTGGGATTTAATGATTAATTGAGTGAGAAGGATCTAATGAAGAGAGTAAATGATAGAGAAATTTGGAATGGTTTTATTTAATTATGAAATTTATGAAGAATTGATTTTAATTAAATATTAATTTATATTAAAATGCTACAAATATCACATCAAATACCACCAGAAATAAATAGAATAAGATAATTGGTAATTAGAGTGAATTATGTTAGATATGCAAAGCAGGCGATGATGGTGCAGATACATTCAAAAAGGATCTATAAAAAATAGTTGATGTTTTAGGGGAATATTATTAATAAAATAAATAAGAGGTGAAGGATGCGATGATATAATCATTCATTTAATGTGCAAAATTGTTGCCACTCAAAGCTGGAATTTATGCTACGATATTGGCACTCTTATCAACTAAATAGGTAATCATTAATGAAGTCAATATTTTAATTAGACTACACAATCCTTGACAGACTAGATCATTCTTGGACTGCTTGAACATCTTCCCTAAATAGCCTAAGAGGAAACTCCTATATTGGGATAAACTATCCTCAAATTTCTCAGTGAATTGATGAACGTTGGTTTGCTTAATACTGTGAGTTTTGTAGAATGCTTGTATGATTTGGAAGGAGGAGCTGAGAATGAGCAATCACCATTCTATCTCCAGATATTGTTAACAACACTCCCTCATGCTATGATTAAGGCAATGGAGAAGAATCAGATCGAATTCAAAAACATCATTTAGAATGTTGAAGTCTTAATGACCAAGAGAAAAACTGAAGATAGATTGTTTCATTTGTGGCAATCCATACGCAACTTTTTAAACAATTAAGAGAAAGATGCCCACACCTAAATCTTTTAACAATTCTTGAAAACCTCTTATCCAAGGCCTTACTTGTTGTTTCCTGATGAGATGACATAAGTCAGGCAATTAAGGAGAGGGTTCAAGATTCCTATTGTAAAGAGAACCTAAATCTGGAGACCTTAATAGATATTGGTTCTAAATGATGAAATTAGATCACAAAACAGCAATAAAACTGATGTTCAAATAGAAATCACCAGATAATGGATCTATGAAACAATTGATCTATTCAAGACCAATAGACAGTAAATCGTATTCCAATTTCAATTGTACTAGAATTGCATTAAAATGTCCCCAACATAAGAGTATTTACTATCTTCAATAATAGAGCTCAATTCAGATAAACCTTAATTTTCACCTTGTTAAATATGGCTATAGAGGTGGTTCCAAGAAAAGACCAATTATCCTCTGCCTTCTACAGTGGACTACTGACTCATTTAAGCCAGAGAAATTCAGATAGCATAAAGGAATGGAATGAAACTATAGAACAATTCATTGATTAAATCCCATAAAATAATGTCTTGATTATAGAACAACTAAGTGATTGTTTATCTCATTACTTTTGCAATTCTAACTTTAAATTGAATTGGGACAAGTATTTCGGAAAGTACAACCCTGACGAAACAGATAGCTTCAATAATTATCTAGTCATTATGATATTTAGAAAACTATTTCTATTGGTTAGTGTCGAGAAGATTACAGATTTAGTACCCAAGAATATTATCGATTGGTATAGTTAATTACAGGATATCACGAAGCCTTTAGATATTGAATAACATAGTTTGGCAGAGAAGATTAATTCATATCTTTAATAAAAATTGAATGGAGTTGATATGCTTGAATAATTAAAATTGATTACCAATCCAAATCCAGAGACTGTCATTCAAACCTTTCTAGAATGTCTATTGTAATGTATATCCAAATCCATTACTCATTTGAATGTGTTAAGCAAAAGATATCTCTCATTTTTGTTGTAGCCAAACATAATTAAACCTGAAAAATTAGGTGAAATTATGCTCAACACAATTTTTAAAATGTGGAATCATTCAGTTTTTCATCTAAAAGTCTACTTGAAGGAGTTTTTGAATCTAGAAGTTATTACTAATTTATAAGTAATCAATTGGTTAAACGACTTAATTAAATAAAAACCAGAAGTAAATTTACCTCTATTATAAAGGTTTTTAAAATTTATAATGTACTCATTGCAATAAACGATGTTTTCAGAAAATAGACAAAACTAGATCAGGTCCAAGATTGCACCTACGAAAGTGTTAAGGAAATAAACACCATTTTGACAAAAATGATCGAATAGGAACAAGGTTTTTAATATTTAATATCAATAGATGTCGTAATCTAATCAAGTTTAGAAAACATTTAGCTCTAAATATTGATTGCATTTAAATAAACTAACGGAACCTAATTGGAGAAGCTATTAAAAGAAATAAAATCAACTAATGTTAAATAAATTGTTATGTCATTTTGAGTTTATATGCATTTCATAAATAAATAAAGAAAATCTGTTATTTTCTCTTGTGAGGAATCTTTAAAAACAGCATTGTCTGCCTATTTCATAAAAGATTATTAATTGCTAAATATTAATCTACTAAATGGAGAGTAGCACCTTGTTAATTTCAATAAAATATTTAAATTTTAGAAATTTTACTATGTTCTGCCTCAAATAATTTAATTTTAGTTAAATATAATTAATCTATAATAAAAAATTAGTAAATATATAAGTTATAAAAATACCTTTCTTTTTTGTGTTTTATAATTTATTTAATATCTCTTATAAATAGTATTTCTTACCTAATAGAATTTGTATAATCTTTATAGTTTGAAGGTTAAATTGAAAGAATATATGATTTTTTTGTGATTTCTTCAATGAAGATGGTATTTGATTAATAATACAATATTGATTTAATATGGGATTCAATCCTAATTTAACTTTAAAGGGCTTTCTTGTTCACTTTAACTTGGGTTGTCTTTGCATTAAGAATTTTTCGATAAGTTTGTAGGATTTTACTAATTAGAATTTTCATTCTGAGGTTCGACAAAAGATTCAGGTTCAGGTAAAACTTTATTTTTTGGTAGAATATCATCTCTACATATAGGTATAATCTTCCAAATTTACCAAAGAAAGTATACACCTTAACAAATTTATGCAACATATAAGAGCAATATAAAACAAATTCTAAACAAAAATGAATCTGAAAGCTATTCAAAATCGTAGATGTTAGAAGCCAATTCTGTCACTATGCATTATGAACTAATAAAGTCTGTAAAATATTCTATATATTGATTTAATTTTAAATCATAATTTAAACCGATTGCAAATATTGAAAAGTGGATTGATAATTTAACAAATCTTAAAACTAAAAGAACAATTATTTAAGATCTTTCGATTTTTCTGAGCTTACTTATTTCAATATCTTCAATTTCTGTTTGAAACAACTTTATAATCAATAATAAAATTGGTATGATTAGGAAAGAAGTAACGTATCTTAGATTACGATAGCCCTGAAGATCTATCTTTCTTAAAAACTATTCATATTGAGAAATCCTATCTTCCGATCCATATTAACAATTGTCTCTAATTTAAGTGTAGGATTTAGTTTGCAAGGACCAAATGATAGAACTATTCGTCTTAAAATAAGACAATGAGCGATTTAAGTACAATAAATTATTGGCTAGATAGAATTGATCTTCACTAATACGATTAACAATTTTAAATTAAGTATCGTTTTCTTAACAATTCTTTCGTTAAATCTTCATAAGGTAATAATCAGACCGATTAGGAGATATATTATTTTGTGAATTTAATTTACAAACTCCATCAGTCTCTGTGATTTAGACTTAGGATATAGGCATGTAGGTTTAATTCTTGGTATAATAAAATTGAAGTCGATTGGACACATTAAAACTTTTCCCAAGTTTTGTGTTATTTTTAAAATTCGAATTCATACTGTCAAAATTAGTAGTAAATCCGATTTCTGAGATTGGACATTCTACTTCAGGTGGAAGACAATAAGTTTATTCTCCAGATCCACATATAGTCTTATTTTCTAGTTGACAGTAAGTAAAATTAAATCTTAAGGATATATTGTAATTTCTTTTGGCACATAATAGGAATGCTAAATATATTTCATTACTTACGTTTAGAATAATTGTTATCATTCAGCAATATTAAGCTCTTCTCTTTAATTTCAAAAACAGTCTTGCATCCTCTTTACAATTCTGATTACTCACATTACCTTTGCTTCTTAAAGTTCTCTGTAAATATTGCTTAACTCGATATTTCTTGTGGGGATAATTTTTGAGTACAGTCGCAACCTACATAAGTGCCTGGCCAATTATAATTGAAAAGAGATTCATACTAAAATCATATAATATATATTACTTATGATGGGCATCGAATGCTAGAATTCAGAAAAATAATGTCTTCAATAATTCCTTGATTTTGATTGAAAATAAATTGATCATAAAGTTCTTCGCTTGGATATTCTTTTGAATAGACCAATGAAAAATAAAATATTAGCAAACATACCAAATTAATGATCGTAAAGTTTATATCCAATCGATTCAAAAATTTATGTTTAATTTAGGGTTTCCTTTTTGTTGTGAATTTACTTATGAATAAAAATTATGTATGTTATCCTGGGTCTAAGATGATTGCGTGTGATTGCTAATCATTTAGAATATTCATATTTACTAAAATTTATTTATAATACTAACTTTTTTTTTATTCTAACACCTTATATCAAAACTAATTCTATCTAAATTTGCTTATATACATTATACATAAATCTTATATAAATTTATTATCTATAATCTTCGATAGTCTAGATCAATAATGGATGTGATAAATCTTGCTTAATTATTAAAGATCTAAGTTTAACTTAATTAGAAAAGATCTAGAAATCAGCAAAAAAGTCTCTAATTACATAGAAGCATAAGATAAATATATCGAATTTGGGAAAATTTTTAAAGATATATAATAATTTCCATAAATTTTATTAATACTTTAAGATTTTAATTCTAAAATTTATAAAATTGCAAGGACTTATTTCTTTGAGGGTCTGATTAATATATATACAAGACTACCTCAGATAGACATAATTGTTATTTTTTTGTCTTTGGTTTTATGGAGATATGTTCATCCTCTAAATTCCAATAGATTTTTGTCTAATATTTATGAGGATTTTTCCAATATATCAAATTTAATGTATAATAGATAAAGACCGAGAAAATACAATTTTACTTTAATTATCTTATGAATGGCTTCAAAATATTAGGATTATGATTATATGAAATCTAGGAGCATTGCTTTCATTCCAAGATATAAACTAAAAAGATTAGAGGATTAAATAGTACTGTTAATAAATTATCCAATGTTTCTTAAAAAATTAATTAAAAAATACAATAAAATAAATTATTATTGGGGAATATGGATAATCTTAAACTATCAGATGAATAGTTTACTAATATATAGGAGTCATTTCATGCATTTAACAGAGTTTATGGTATTTTTTTTGGTGTCAAGGTAAAACTCAAGTTAAATTAAGAAAAATACATTAAATTTGATCGCAACAATTCTATTCATTATTTTTGCTATGTTGCTCTACATACTATTTGTATTTCCCCTTGCCATTTAAAATGGCTATATTTTTTTAAATACAATTTGTGTGGTATATGGTTTTACACCTATCACTACTTTGATAATGACAGCAATTACAGGTTTTTAATTATGTTATTTTATAGAACCAGGAGTGATATTAAAGAGACAAATTAGTGATAATTAACAACCTGAAAGCAGTTTAACAGAAAGTAATGAGGAGGCAATTCAAATTGAAAATAATACATAACAAGATGATATACCAAAAATCTATAGAGAGAGACATTGCTCAACATGTAACATTAAGAGACCATCTAAAGCATCTCATTGTAAATATAATTAATTAATAAAAGGTCGAGAATGTAATCATTGTGTAGATGGATTCGATCATCATTGTTATTGGGTTGGCACATGTATTGGTATTAGAAATTGGAGATATTTTGTATACTTCTTGATAGCTGCTTTTAGTGCTCCTCTTTTGGCATTCTTAGTTGGAATTGTACTTTGTATTTATCATTTTAAAACAACAAAGTTATAAATTCTGCTTCATTAGCAGCAGCATTATGGTTTGAGATGTTTGATACTCTTGGAACATCTGTTCTTATCTTTTATATATTTTATTGCATATGTGGCTTTTGGTAGCATAATACTATTTTAAATATCTTTGCATTGATTATAATGATATTTGGACCTCTTGTTTACACTTTTTCGATATTTCAAAATAGAGAAACATACTAGAAGTATTATTATTATGAGAATCCTTACTTCACTCTATTTGTTTCAATATTTATGTTAATGATTTCTTGTATTTTGCTACCCATGACATCAACTAATTGTAGTAATGCTTCAAAAGTAATTCTTAATACTTATCTAGTTAAAAACAACCAAGTAGATTCACTCAGAAGAAGAATTTAGAAAAGAGAAAAGATAGTTTTAATTTGGTTAAGATAAAATTGAATTTAATTTGATGAAGAAAAACCTAATTTAATTCTTTACATATCCAATTCCAAAAAGTAGATATCAGAGTTTGTGAATTGAAATAAAGTTTTATATATATATAAGTGAAATATTTTAATAACATTTAAAGATAATGAATATTTTAGTTAAATATAAAGAATACGAAAAAACACTTGAAAATATTACAAAATATAAGGATTTAAGAAATTAAATTCAATAATCTTTCAAATTTGCATATAAAAATAGCTTCACTTTGTATTTTTTTGATGAAGAAAAAAATAAAACTACAATTTCAAACTAATTAGATTTCGAGATTATTAAGGTAATCCTTTCAAATTATAATTAGAGTACAGAGAACATTGTAATTATTGTAAAAGATAATGATGATCAATTAATATAAATAGATGATTTCATTTAAAAAATTGAATAAAAAGACAAGGAGACAGTTAAAAATTTTAAAAATTTATGCAACAATCCTGAAGCAAATATCAATTCCAAGAATCGAAAATTCGTAAAAAGATAATAAATAGAGAAAAAAAAGTAAATAAGTTAAACAGCTAATAATGAATAAGAAATGTTTGAAAAATCACAAGAAATAAGAATTAAGAATTTGAATTTCAAGATTAATGAACTTCAATAAGAAATAATTAAAATCGAGCAAGATGATACAGAAAAATAATTAAACGAGAAACTATTAGATTTATAAAAACAAAAAATCTATATATTCCCTCTTTCTTAAGAAATACTTGAACTACCAATTATTTAATAAATTGAATAAGCAGAAAATAATCTTATATATCTCAATAAAGCTGAAAGAAAAGAATTGAAAAAAAATCAAAATAATTTAGTTCATTAAATTTAGAATCTTCTTTCAAGTAGAAAATCAAAATAATTTAGTTTGATAAACTAAAATGATGAGCTTGTTAAAAAAGAAGAAAGTCTTTAGAAATAAATTATTAAGGTCTAGAAAAAAAATCAAAATTAGTTAGAAAAATATAAAAAGTTAATAAGTTAAAATCAATAATTGCTCAAGGAATGTGAAAATAAATAATTAAGTAAAAAAAAGACTAATATCGCAAACAAAGAGTAATTAGAAAAGTAGTTGGATGAATAAATGAAGTAAGAATTAAAAGCAAGAAAATAAAAAGGAATCTAAAATGAAAAATTGAAGGAAAAACTAATTAATTTAGAAGATACAAACAATGAATTTGAAAATGAAAATCAGAGTATTGACTTTGATAATTCTTTTTTTGAAATTGATTGAAGAGTATCAATTCATAATTAATATATAAAATTATATAATTATTTCATATTTATAATGCAATTGCAGCTTATAAAACCGATAATGCTTTTTCTTTGGCAATTTAAAATTTTGGCAAATTTATTGGTGATTCTAATTGCCATCTATTTTTGTAGTGTAGGTATTATAGAATTATTTCAAGGATGTCTGCTGTGAAATCCGAAAGAATCTGAGTTTCTCCTCTCATATCTGCATTCGATATCTACTTTCTAAAGATCTCGCTTAAACCAGCTATTTCTTTGGCTACTATAAATTCAATTCCATTAGAGGAAAGAATAGTAATGAAAGCAGAAGACATCCTTATTAATTTATTTAATATAATTTAGTTAAAGAGAGAATCGTTTAAAATATCACTTCTTGATACAACCTTCAGGATTATAGCAATACACGTTGAATTATTCTTAAGTATATGAATAATAATACCACAAAGAGTATTATTTCTGAGCAATATGAATTTCTTGTCATTATCATCCTCCATTGTATCCTCTAGTGATCCTTCATACCCTTTGAACTTTTTTGGATAATAGGGTGGGTTGTACTTTTTTTTAAGCAGCATTTCCCAATCAAAAGAACTAAACCATGGATGGTTCTTAACATCTGAAGGATTGTCTGTTCCTAGTCTATTTTCAGGTTTTCTTTGGATGAGCTAATATGAGCTATTAAAAATATACTTAATTTATAAAATCTCCAGCTTCAATTGACCAGGCAACAGGTAATTATGATCTCTTGATTTGTATTTATTTGGATAGGATTTATTCTCTAATCTCTAGTCTAGTTTTCCCAACATAAGGCCTTTTTCCAAGCATACATTCATAAAGAATTACACCCAAAGCGAAAAAGTCAACCGCAATACCATGTCTTTGTTTGCACATCACTTCGGGTGCCATATATCCTGGAGTTCCACTTGTGTCTGAAGCATTATCTGGCCTCCAAACTCTCGCAATTCCCAGATCTGTTAACCGAAGATATCCCTATTCATCAAAAACCAAGTTTTCAGGCTTGAGATCCCTATGAATAATCCCATTTTAATGGAGATATTCTAGACTCACAACTATACAAGCAGCAAAAAACTCTGAATGCATAACAATAAATTTTACATGCTTCTTCTTCTGAAAACCTTTTATTTTTAAAAAGATGATATCTCAAATCACCTCCGTTTAGGAGGTCAAGGACTAAATATAAATTTTCTCTATCTTAAAATGCGGAATGCATATTCACAATAAAAGGATGATGCAATTACTATAACAAATTCTTTTCAATTAATACTGATGCTACACATTTTTTCTCAATGATTCTAAATTATGTCAAAAATTACTTTGCTTTTGACATTATTTTCATTGCATAAAGTTAATTATTTTTTTTTCGCCTTACTTTGAAGACTTTTCCAAATCCACCTTTACCAAGTATATCTAAGATTTCATAATTTCTTATTGATTACACTAATTAAAGAGATTAAAAATACTTGCTTCTTAAAATTCTTCTTTTTTATCAATAACATTACAATTGCCCATCCGTACAAATTTAAAGTAAAAAGTAATTAGAAATTATTTTATTTTTGAAATTTCGATTTGAAAATATTATATCCAAATCTTTAATAAACAAGATAGGGCACTATATCAATAATACATCAAATAAATTGCAAACTAATTCATAAAATTCTTTTTCAGATTAATTTTATAGAAGCTCAATATTAAATTTTCGAATTAAAATATTATATATGAGTTAATAATAATCAACGCCCTCTTCCTCTCTTTTTTATTGGTTAATAGATTTCCTCTCCATCCAAACTATCTTCCTCTTCAACTTTTTGTTTTGAAGTGGATCCTCTGCCTCTCCCCTTAACTTTAGGGCAATCATCACTATCACTCTCTTCCTGCTTCCCCCTGCCTCTTCCTCTACCTCTGCCTCTTGCACCTCCTTATCCTCTAGCTTTTGATGGCATATTAGAGCATTCCAAACTCACATTACTCATAAACAAATTAACAATATCTCTATATTTTTCCATTCCTTTGAAGTCTGGTTAAAGTAAATCCTCAGGTTCTTCAATATTCTACTCCTACAATGCTAAACCTTACAAATATGTGTAAAATCTATATAGACAATATATTATTACTTCTATATTGAAGGATCTTCGAAGTTTGAACAATCAAAATCTTGAATTGTTAATGCATTCACCAAAATCTTAGCTGCATTTAATGTCTGTCTTGTAATCTCGGCTCCTTCTTATTTGACTGAAGATAATCCTCTAATGTCATCTGCATATGGTAAAAATATCAAATGCAATCCTGGAGGTGTCTAAAAATGATTTTCATCATATTATTCGGCTTAAGGAAGCAGAGCACAAAATCTGACCTAAGATCCTTATTTAGGAACTAATCTAACAATTCCTATTTTCTCTTTCAATATCATTTATTGAATCAATGCATCAAAAAATTAAGAAGATCCATTTACATGTTCATCGTCTGGATATAAAAAATATGAGGCTCTGTAATTATGATAATCCTTCAATGCACTTGAAGATTTGAAACCGATTAGAGTCATCCCGGGTTTTTCAAATCCTTTTATTTTAGCCATATATTCCTTTGGGATTGCTATCTTCTCATTTCCCAATATCAAATGAGTAGATATTTATTGAGGGAAGAGAGCTTGTCCTGTTTCTTCATCAATAAATTATGCTTTCTTTTTCAGTTATTAGTTGTATCTCCTATCTAAGGGTTTGCCATATGGTTTTTTTGCCTTATTCACTAAACAATATATTTTTAATCCAATTTTAATGTCATCTATATCCATAATAAGTCTATTCAAAGCTCTTTTCTTAAATTCCTTTTATTTAATCCTTTAATGCAAATCCATAATTTTAGTTGAGGTATCAAGTACAGCATTGTTAACTTCATCCAAATCAACAGTTATAATCTCACCATAAAATCGAGCAATTTTGAATTCATTTTAGCTAGGCAATGGAAATAATTCTATTTAAACATCTGCATCCTTCAATTACTTGGCGTATTTCAAAGCTGATGATCTGGCATTTTGATCTTTAAAATATGGTAAATCATCTGGAGTGAATAAAAATATACGCATATTGAATTTGTTCTTATCTCTAATAAATATTGATAATATGCATACAATTCTTTGAATTCATGATTACAGAGCCATAAACATTCATGAAAATGTGCGTTGTTGCCTAATTGATAATCTTTTTCAAAATTTTGCTCTATTTTTAAACAATTTTTGATAATATCTGCTGAAGGTCCATCTAATTTATAGATTTCTGTAATGTTATTGAATTTTAATTGATTGTTAGTAGATTTCTATTTTTATAGATAACAATTACTGTATTATAAAATATCATACCAATACGATCATCTGGACTTGATATGATTTTTGCCTTCATAAAGCTAGAAAAGGCAGATAATATTTTAGAAAATACTGTCCCTTGTCCATCTTGATCCATATCAAATAATGCTTTTTTGCAATCTACCAAGAATATGACGGCATCTTTTTTGCTTCCTGAATCATGCACTGATATGTCGGCATCTTCTCCAAATATATCTTCCCCATCTTAGATTTCTTCAATATCATCTCCTCCTGCGTGCTCCTCCTCAAAATCCATTTTTTTTTATTAATTTAATAAACAGAAACATTACAGAAATTATTTTATCAATTAATATCATTATAATTATTGGAATATATATATTAAAGTGTAAAATTTCAAACAAAAAAAAAAGGACCAGATATAATTATTATCTTTAATGCCAAATTAAATAACTGTCTTATTGCAATATTGAATATAATCAAAATTGAAACTACTGTTAATATTGGGGCATTGCATATCTGACCTAATATTATTATTGTGCTTTTTATACCATTTATTGTTGTTGATTATACTGAATTTGCAAATAAGAATAATTTTAATTCAATGATTATATTTCCTGTTATAATTAATTTGCTCTCCCTTATAAATACAAATTCTAAAATTTATTTAAGTTTCTAACCTATGTTTTTAATTATTATATAAAAATAGCTTAATTTCTATTTTTCTCCTCCATTTATTGAAAATGAATTGTATCTAAATCTTCCTGCACATTATTTAGTCTCTGTTAGCATTATTCCTCCTTCATCAATACAAATTGACTTATTAAGCCTTCTTTAGCATCTTAAATTAATATCTCGGGGTTTTTAAATTCTGACTTGACACTACCCCTCTTCTTTTTTTTGGACATTCTTCCTTCCCTTCTAAAAATTTGCATGATAGCCTTAGCAGTCGAGAAATTAATATTCAAATCTCGAGCAGCATGTTTTATCATACAACCTGTAGTTGTTATTTATTTGATTAGTTGTTATCGTTACTCATTTGATATTTTTTAATACTTTAGCCCCTGCTTGCCTATTTCATTTTATATATGAGTTTTACCTTTATATTTTGAGAGAAGTTCCTAATCTTCTTCAATAGTTCTTTTCAGATAGGACCTTTGATTCACATCCTTTACGAAATCATACGAAGAATCGGAGGAATTAGAGTCTATTGGTGATGTTGGAGTATTATTCTTCATTTATTCCTAAGGTCCCTCCACTTGAGAATTTTATTATACGGAAGTCATACAATTTAAGTATATCAATTTAAAAATAATTGAAAAAAATGTTGAATTTAACACCTTTTATAGTGTTGTTGGTGTTAATTTGCAGTTCTGTAAAATAGCAAAGTAATGGGAGGAGACCTGTTCAAAAAACAAAATTTGTGACATTTTATATATATAATTTAACTATTAACTTTTCAAAAATTTTTTAAATATAAAATCCATTTCTTCTTATATATTAATTTATATAGAAAAAATATAATCAAAATATATTAATTTTATTCCTTCTTAGAACATTGAATATACAATCTTAATATATTATCATTTAAAATGCATTGTCATAGTCTGAAAGATTCTGGAAAACCAAATTAATAAAAAGTTAAGAAAAATCTAAATATAAATATTTTTGTCTTTATAATTACGAAAAAATGAATGTACATTTCTTTATATTGATTCCTTAGTAACCTATTGCAACATTCTGAATTTACAAAAAAAGAACACTAAAGATTAAATTAAGATTTGAACAATGTTGAAATTAATAAACAGAAGTTAATAACTAGATAAATATTCCAAATCATTTTTTGTGTAAGTGGAATTATTCCATTATATTCCTATCAAAAGTTTTTATTAATTTGATGAAATAAAGTGTTAGATATAGATTTATAAAAACAAAATTTAGATATTTCACAGAATCATGTGTTCACTTTGAAATAGTTTTTGTACTACATTTAGATCAAACTGGAGATCAAGTTAGTTTTTACTAAATACTTTCAAATAGTCCATCTATTTGTTTTACTCTAAGACTAATTCATCCTATTTTAATGATAAGGAGATAAAATACTTCATCAACATTATTTAATTGGGTTTTGACAAGAATGAATGGAAATCTGATCTTCTCACTTTCATCTACATCTCTCATTTTATTCAATTCTACTAATTTTTTAAGACTGTCTTGCTGTTTAATTTATATTGTTGCAGATGTTTTTTTTGATTATAATTATTCTTTTAATTTTTGCTGTTAAAATTAAATTTAATTCTTACTTTTCGTATTATTAAATTTTGCTTTGTTAGATTCACTTAGGTTTCAGAATTCTTTTTCATCAATTTATTCTCTTTGACTACAATTCCAATAGAAATCATAACATTTAAAGCATCATAGACTCTTCTTCTGAGATTTTTGATTTCTTTCTGTCTATCATTTTATTTTCCATCTAATTCTTAAATCATTTCATCAGTCAATTATTAGCAAATATCACTATAAGCAATTGCTTCTTGAGATAATTCCTTCATTACTCGATTGCTAATATATTTTAGACTCCACTTTTTCTAAGTTTTGATTAGATCTGATTAAATCTTTGGTTTATCGAAAGGTTCAGTCTAAACGAATAATTTCTTATTTGTGTTTGCTTATGAATTGCAATTAGCCTCTGAATCTAAAAATATATTTTTTTGTCACAAAATTGTAGTATAAGCGCGAAAATATTCCGCCATAAACAGGTAATATATTATAGGAAATGGAGATGAAAAGTTTAAACATACCTTATACTAACCCTTTAATAGGTGTTTGGAAGATATTTAAAGCCATCGAGTCTTCGTCAAGTCTGAATTATCCTGTGAAATCCATCTTAAAGTTTATAATAAATTATTTATATAATTTAATTCTTCATAAAAATATTTTTAATAAAAGATATTCCTATCGAATAGCAATTGCTCTAATTCATTTAAATTCAGATAAACTAAATAAATGGAAATCCTTTCAATATTTATGATTGTACAAATAATATTAGAAATTAAGAGTGAATTTTAAGTACGATGTTAAGCCCTTTAAATTTATTATACTTTATTATTAAATCATTGGAAGCACATTTCCATAACAGCCTGAACCTTTTGTTGAATCAAACCCAGTTAATTCTTTAATACTGGATATGCATGCACTGCTTTCAAAATATCCTCTTCCTCAAAGCCGAGTTACTAATATACAATATCTGACAATAAAACAGTAATAATAATTGAGCTGAATTATTGGTCCTCGCCCTTCAATATAATAACTTATTACTTGTAATTATTAGAGATAATTTTTGAAATATTGAATGTCATCAAGCTTTTTCAATTGGATATCTACTACTTAGGCTAACTAGGATTCGTTAATTTCTTTTTAGCTTGGGATTGATGCTCTAATCGATCAATAACAAATACTTACATTAATTATTATCTCATAGAAAGTTAAAACACTATAAATCTTTCTAATGCAACTTATGTTTAAAATTATAGAACATAGCTATTTTCATATATTTCAGATGATATTCTAAGCTTAGTGCAAACATCCAATTGCATTTAATTAATGAGTATTTCTAGCTCATTATTAAATTCTAAGACCTTCAAAGTGTATAATTAAGGATTATACAATAATTATCTTCTCTCTAAAATTAGCAAAATACATTACCATCTCTATTTTTCTATTACATTTAACTGTAATTTCTAGCCACTAATCTAAATCCTGCCTCTGTAATTTTGGTTAAGACTTCAAAAGAGAGAGGCACTTATTTTTCTTCAAATGCTTTCAATTCTCTATTCACTCTGTTTATGAATGACACACTATCAATGCTATTTGAGTCTTCGTCATTTTAGTTTACGGGTTAATTAACTACTTATTAAGCATTTTAAAAAGGCTGCTCTTATGGAATCTACTCTTCGTTATTCTATTCTTATTAACTCTGCTGTTATGGGATAGGCACTTCATTATTCTATTCTTATTAACTCTGCTCTAATTGATTAATATTTCTTTTTTATCTTCTTGAATTCAGGATTCTAAAATATTCACTTATACTACAGTACAGCTGTAATTGCAACACCTCCAATAATTATTGAAGCCTTAGGCACTTAATTTCCCATTAATTAATTTATTAAAAAACAACAAATCAAAATTTTTTTTTGTGGATAAAGTTACGACAAAAAATTTCAAATTAAAACATGTTTCTTAATGATGATAGAATATTATTTATATCCTATATAAAATAAAGATAATTAATAAATAATAGAAGTAGTTTATTTATTATGAATAAATATCCTCTAAACTTGTTATTTATTCATTTAATATTGTAGCTAATTGAGAATTTGTTAATAGAAATTATCATCTATAATTTTCATTTTTAACTATTAGTTTTTATTTCTATTTCTAATAAAGAATGAATGAGAAGAATTAGATTACAATTATAATATATTTGAGATCAAAATTTATTTTATTTCTTATGTTCAGAAAAATATACACAAATATATCCATAACCCTTATTAAGCAATTGAGAGAAGCATCAGGTATTGTTGTATTAGTATAAGGTAGGATCTCCTATTAATGATTGCAAAAAAGCCTTGGAATCAACAGATGGCAATTTTGAGAAGGCCATTTAATATCTCAAAGAAAGAGGATTGGCTCAAGCTGAGAAGAAATCGGGCAATCAAACTAAACAAGGAGTTATTGTAGCTTACACCAATAATAAAGTAGCTGCCCTTGCTGAAGTATCAATGAAATTTATATGAATATAGATAAATTGTGAAACAGACTTTGTAGCCAGAACTAATGAATTTTTAGAATTTTCGACAAATTTTATTAAAACTGTTGTTAATTAAGAAAAAGATTTCAATAGTTCAAATATCGAATCAGTTCTAAGATAAAGCTAAAACTAAGCCTACTTTGAGACTAACATAGACGACAAGCGAAAATAATTGGTCGGAAAATTGTAAGAAAATATTGTTATTGGTAACTTAAATGCATTTGTTGCAACAAACAATAGTATTATAATTTGCCAATATTCCAAGGTGTTTTCGGAGTTTATCAACACAATTGCTTAAAAAATACAATTTGTGGTTTAGGAGGCAGTGTTGTTGAGTTAATCACAGAATAAGGATTAAATGATGTCAAATCATAAATTTTAAGGGAAGGAGCCAATAATTTAGCAGTTACTTATTTGGGTTTGAAACCTAAATACTTATATGAAAATGAGGTAGCCTCAGATGTAATCGATTTAATAAGAAAAGAAGTCTAAAGAGATTTTGAATCAAAGACTCCTTAGTAGCAAAATTTTATTGTTAAGGGCAAGCTCTAAAATTATTATTCAGATAATGTTTTTGAACACCAAGAATACATCCTAAATGAAGATGAACCACAAACCATTAAATAATATATCAAAAAAGAGTTAGAGGATGTCATTAAAGATAAGGTCAAAATAGGTAGATGTCTATACTTAACAATATGATATTATATCATATAATCAAAGGGAATATGATATTTTTCTGTATATACTAGGTTGTCTCCACAGTAACTCAGATAAGCAATTTCAACTAAGTACCTAGTCTGAAATCCCTTCAAATATCGATTTTGAACATTGCCTTAAGGTTTTAAGTAGGTTTAGTCATTTCGATTTTTACAAAAGTTTTTTTCTAATTTAAACTCCTATTTCTCCTCTAATAATATGGTATCTATTGAACAATCTTTATTTTAATACTTTTTATAATAAAACACTTGCAAAATGCTTTCAAACTCACTTTTATTTTTTTCGTTTTTTTTATAGAGAATGAAAGTTTTCAATAATCCTCATTTCCATTCGAAAGGTAGTTCATCTAAACCTTCTTCACTTTAATCTTCAAGAGTAGGCGGAAGCAAAATAATAGGAAGTCCCCAAGCTCCAGAGCAAGATCTTAATGAAATGTTATAATCACTCAATCCGACCTAAATTATAGCATAGGAGGAGGAATCGAAATTTGATTTATTATAAGAAATGCAGCAATTGAAAACTAAGGTTTTAGGTTTACTTAAGAAATACTAAGTAATGCTGTAGAATGAGAATGCAAAATAAGTGAAGAGTAAAATCAAGGCAGATGTTCAAGAGATTCAAATCGAATACGATGATATAATAGCATAATACCAGATAGATCAAAGTTAACTAGAGATTGAGAATAGCATTCCGACTGTAGAAAAAGAGAAAGTATTAAATAATTAGATAATTAAAGGAATTGAATACATTTTTTAATTTAGTGGAGGAGTTCTTGGAGCGTTTCTCTCATCATAAAGCTACATTGAACTATTTTTCAATTTTGTAACAATAGAAAATGAATCGAAATGGATTGGGAGTATTTTCTGTTGAATAGGATGGCAGACAATCTATGTATGATTTTTAAGAATCATTGCCTGATTTAACTGATAGCAACAACTCGGAAAATACTCATGAAGCTCAACAGGCAAAGATAGCCCTATCAAATTCATAAAAGTTAAGAAGTCAAATTAGGAGGCGTTTCTTTGACATGGCTTTGAAAGTGAAGGAGGGATTGCCTCTTTACCATCCAGGCAGATAGATCTTGGTTTCCATACTTTTTGAAGATGCAGAAGAGGAGGGAATTGATGAAAATGATTGGGAATCATGGATTGTGAAATAATTAAATAAGTGATTTATAATGTTATAAGATGAGATCATGAAACCTTCTTTTAGGTTAAGCGATTTATTGAAATTTGAAGACTAAAGTCTTTTTGCGGAATCTCCAACTAAAAGAAAGTCTTTGGCTCCTCCGAAACCTCTCTAAAGGCATATATTCGATATAACTAATGGGGCTTTTCAGTTTACCATTGGGGAATTTACTTAAAGCATTAAAAAGGAAAGAGTGCCTATATAAAAAAATCTAATAAAGAGGATTAATGTGTATGTGGAGACTGAATGCTAACAATTACAAGTGCAACAACAATTGGGAAAGAGCATTCAATAAAAAATAATTGAAGATCTTAATTTATTGGTTTTTGCATTATGTCATATTTCAAAGCCAATAGTGGACTTTCTTGAAAATCATTTCGTTGATTATGCTGAAGAGTTGTAAATAACTATTTGGGAAATTAATCTATAACTTTTTCAACCCAAAATTGTTGAATTGATAAAGAAATATATAGCCACTAGTATGAACATAATTCCTGGAAGTTTATATTCTCAATTGATAGAACAATCACATTAATTATTATGCAGTTTATCTTATGAAGTTAGCGATTAAATCTGTTTAATTTTAGAGGAATGCAGAGGTTACATAGAACCATTTATTTCTAAATTTCGAGAGAGAGTAATATTTATTAAATAATATAGAATATACCATAAATCCTATTAAACAAATATACTATATTAGCATTATTTCAAGAATTAAGTTAAAATTGCTATTAAACAATATAAGACCTCTTGGAGTTTACACTATTCCATTATGCTGAACCTGATGTTGTTGAAAAATTCATGAGATATGCTATTGAAAATTATGACACATTGATACTCAAAAATAAAATGCTATCTAATTAAGCATAACAAAATGAAAATATCAGCAGACAAACAGTTGACTAAGTATTAGACTGTCTCCAATAATGTATCACCAATAAAAGTAAGTCAACTGCAGTGTACAAAATTTAATGTAGACAAAAACTACAAAAAAAATCAAGTGAAGATGATGAAGATCAATGCACTCAATCAACTGATATTAAGTCTTTTAAGATGTAAAAGGATGCAAGATATTATCTAAATGGACTATACTTCGAAAGTGAGGATCCTCAATCAAAATTTATCATCTATGCAATGAATGAGGAATTTAAAGTGATATATGCTCCACTAGTAAGTAAAAGGTGGGCATTTTAGAAAGTACTTTATGAAATTCTATTTAGACATTTGTGATTGATCAATAAGAAAAAGATGGGTTCTTTAAAAAAGATTCTAATAGAAAGTCAGGTTGGGGCGTTTACCCAGTTAAATTTAAAACAATGAAGGAATTAATACACTCTAATTGGGTTCATGAATAATTAGCTTTAATGATATTGAATTAATACTAAGAGGATGAGTACTAAATAAGAAAACAAGCTGAAGGAGAAATGGATACGATGTTTGGATCATTTTTAGCCAATGTTAACAGAAACAAGTATTTTATAAACCTATTAATAGAGAATTCTTACAAAATTTCGGTGAAAATGCAGTGAATAATGGTTGTATGTAATAATTGGTGGTTTATATGCCTTTACTTAAAGATTTTTTAAATTTAGGAGGGTTTGGAGCTTAGGCTTTGTTGACTAGTTAAGAAATATACACTCCATAGAGAACTTTTACTTCTACATTGGCGATATCAACTTCATTAGTGTCAGGGGCTTTGATTGGGTAGGCTTTGATTCCAATACCTTTGGTGGGAGGCATTGTTGGAGGGATTATTGGAGGATATTTGGGGAATAAGGGAATGACGAATTACACTAAGAGTAGAAACGAGAAGAAGTCTTAGGAAATGGTGCAGAAGTTATTGCAGAATTAATTATAAGATGGTCATTGGGAATGTAATAAGATCAACCTGGATGTTATGGTTATAAATTTTAAAATATTAAATGATCACATGCCCAATGTCTTAAGTGAGGATAGTGACAGGCAAACGAAGTGGATGAATTTAGTGATTTTTGGAATATTGAGTTTGTTCTTTAATTCCAATGAAATGCCGGGAGTGTGGCAGGAATGTTTGGATTGCCTACTAAAATATATATAAATAGAGAAAATATCACTGGCAGATACTCTGGAAAATTTAAAATAGATAGTTGAAGTCATAGTAAAAAATCTTTGACTTTATATTAATTTAAATATGAAAATACCTCTTAATACTCTTGAGTAGCCTAAAGAAATCGAACGTCGTGTAATTTCTTTCCGCCTAATTTTAGCTCTTGGCATCCATCTTAGTGAGTCCCAACTTCTTGGAAGAGTTGCTTTAATTAGTGAATGACAAGAGTAATGTTATCCACAAATTATCTTTGGGATCATTGACTTTATTAATGGATAAATTAGATGACTATATAGAGAATATGGCTCAACTAGTATAATAGAACTCCAGACATGATTGTTCATAGTTGTTAAACCTCATTAATAGTTTAATGGAGTATGAGTGTTATAGGTAATAATTTAAAAAAATATGAATAGAAAATTGTTTAATTCATTAGAACATCTATTAAGCATAGTGGAGCATACTGACAGTTTGCAAAATTATGAGACCATTATGAACATTCTGATAAAAATTTGTGATTAAGCGATTAATCTAAACAATCCTTAATAGAAAGAAATCTGCAATTAATAATTACGAGATAACATCCCTAGATTGATTTACTTGAATAGATTTCTCTTTGATCATAATAATGCTCTTTCATCAACCAAACTTGAATTGATCGATTATTATTATGATGATCCAAATTATTTAACTATTACAGACAATCCAATTTAGTTTCCATAATTGCAATTTGAATATATAGAGCCAACTATTTTAGATGAGTCATATGCAGATTTATGTAAAAATGGTATTCACAAGAAAGAATTGCAGCATTAAACATCAATTAAAGTATAATTTGTTTATTAAATATATAAATAGAACTTTAGCATTTAAGACGACCATTCTATTCCTGCTCTACTTTTAGCTAAAAAAACATTAGGACAGCAGGAAATGCCTTTGAGTCCATTGGTAGAGGCAGTTAAATATCGAATTCTCATTCATAGAGGTTTGGCTTAAAATAAAATTGAAACTAATACATTGGTTTTAGGTATGCATATATTATCACTTGAAATGAACATGTTATTGGATGCTTTCTGTTCAACTCACGATTGCGCTTTACTATTAGATTAAGTATTTATGGAGAAAATTGAATACGAACAATATTTCTCCATCTATGCTAAATTGTTTTAATTGAAAACCGTGTAACCCAAATTACTAACAACTATTTTATCAACTTTGGATGAAATATTGGTGGCAGAAAGATAGTAGGATAATGAAATAGCATTAAATACAGCCAAAAATTATGATGAAACCTTTTTGCAATTGATTTATGATGTTTTATCAATGCAACCACATCAAATTGAAATCGAATCCAGTTACCCATTAAAATATAATGGATAACTATTAAATGAATAATGCGCTAGGGATGAAGAAGTTGCTTGTGGCATATTTAAATTGTTCTCCTCAGAATCTGGAGTGTTATTATTAAGTCGAAGCAATATAGCATTAGGATCATCCTAAGCTTTAATTAGAACACTGCTTATTTAAGATAATAAATTGCTTTTGCCACCTGAAATTCTGAAAGCAGCTATTGGAATGCTGGGAAGGTTGTCCAGAAAAGAAGATCTACAAAGAGACCTTAAAATATTTAATGATCTAATTAAAGTAGTCGAAAATCTAATTACCATTGGACCCAATCTAATCAAACCTACAGATTAAGGGTATCAACATGTTACTTTTGATGAAACTGATTCTATCATTTCATTTGCTATATAGAGTATCAATGAACATTTCAAAGACGATCTTGGAAGAAGATATAATAGAGCTAATGCACCTACTATTGCCAGAAAAGTATCAGAAACTCAGATCATTAAGAAACTTTAAAGTTTACTTTAAGACAGTAAGTACACCCTTATTATTCAATAAACACTCATTTTGATTTCACATCTTGCAAATGAGGTTCCTACACTTATTGGTAGATTGATTGACTCTCAATTACCACAATAATTAAACTTAATCATTTAGAGTCTAAATTACACATAAATTAACAATAAAATGGTTAATGCTATATTTTAGTTCTATTTTAATGTTTCATTGAAGGAGGAAGGATATGATCAATTTAATACTTTTGGCTTAGAATTCATGCAAAAAATTCTTAATTTCAGTTTAATACAATCTAATGCGCCTAAGGAACTATTAACATCTGTTGGATAGAACATTGCTAAGTATCTACAAAAAATTGATAAAGTTGGACCTTAAGTCATAAACATACTCAACATAGGATTGGAAGAACTTTATAATTATTTGAATGAAAAGAAAAACAATTTGAAAGAAGACACATATTAATAATATTATGAAATTATTACTAAAATCTCAAACCTATCCATACTAACTTTCAAAATGATTCATAATTTACATCCATCCTAATAATCTGAAATGAATGCAAAAGGATTCTTTGAGAAATTATTATTATTCTTTGAATTTCCTACTTTTGATTTTAAAATTGACTTAACCAAAGTGTTTAGATTATTTGCTTAGCTAGATGAATTTGATAACCCATTTAAAGCATTATCTAAGGTACTTGCCTCCATTTCTAATTTGGAAGGTAAATTGGGTTGTCCCTTTGAAAAAACAAACATTTTAATTGATGAATCATACTATAACTCTGAGAAATTCTTTTTAGCATGTCCTTTGGATTAATTGTAATAAAAATTAGAATTTGTGTCCTACTATTCTCAAATTGAGTCATTGATGGAAGTTCTAAAACACTATTTGATGAACGGTTAAATCAGATATGAATAATAGGAAATAGGAAAATTATTGACTAAGAGTTGTTCATTGTTTTTAATTTTAATTAGATCTATCAAATATACCGAGGATTAGAAAATAGAGTAAGTTTTCAAAAAATCTGTTTTCTACTAATATATTTAATTACTAAAAGTTATAATTATCAATTCGTATAGATTAATGAGAAGAATCAATAATGAATTACAACCACTGAGTAATTTGTTTTGTTAATTAAGTTAAAATTTAAAGAATGAAAATATCTAAGTAATTTAATTGCATTCTTATCTAATTAATGATTTATTAAATAACCTTGTTGAAGGTAGAAAGTATGCAGATTTCCAGAATTTGCACCCAGATTTTTTGAGTCTGTTAATAAACTCTGAATTTCTTGACAATCTCAAATCTGGTATTAGTTAATTTATTTAATTGGTGGGTTAGAAGAATAATGTTGAATCTATCGATTTGTTGGGCTGGTAGTATGCAAATATCATTAAATTGATTTATCTGAATAAAATAGATATGAACAAAAAGATATAAGGATATATGTTGATTCCTAAATAAATCGAAGAAATTTAAAATCTCCTAACCATTACATAGTGTTTATCAGCTGATCCCATTTATGCAGTTTAAGAGTAGTTATTCAATAAGGTACTTTTTATTTTCCGTCCTTAATTCTTACAAGATATTCTCTAAAAAGACAAGGATAACTTCTTCTAAAAGACTTATTAAATTTTCAGGGATGAAAATGGAGGTGAAATCGATATACTATAATAAGATCCAAATGAAGTGAGAACAAAACTTAGAGACATGGGTTATCAAGAAGATCAGATTACAATAGCACTTCAAAATAATGATATTTATGATGTGACTAGGCTTATTGAATGGATTTAAGAAAATTTTGATATGATTGAAGAATAAAGAGTGAGAATTATGGAAATTCAAAAGAATGAACCTTCTTTAGAAGAAGTTACACAATAAATTTGGGCCAAATACAAGACTCTTAAAGAATTTATCTAAACAAACATGCTATCATTTAGTAGATTTGAGGAAAGCATCTTCTAATTGTTGGAAGGATAAGTTATGCCTTCATTATTAAAATGCTTAAAATAGGTTGTCTATGAATAATTGAAATTACAACTTAAATTTAAGGATTGCGAACTTGAAATCAAACAACCTTAAACTGACAATATGAAGGTCATCATCACAATTTTGCATTACATTTACAAATAAAAAAACCTTGTTGAAGAATATGAAGGCATCGTACCTGAATTGATGAAATTGGCATAGGAATTAATGAAATACCAAGATGATCTCAGTCTTAAAGCCATAAATCACATATTAGCAATTTTAACTCTATTTATTACTGATGATCAAAAGAAGAAAAAGAATCATCATGACACAGTAAATGATATCCTTTTGGGAGTAATCAACATTTTAAAAGGAAAAGTTTAAAATCATACTACCTCAAAAATTTGCATAGAAATTCTTGTGAGAGCATTCCAAGTAAACAAGGAAAATGTCTCAAAGTTTGTCTCTCAAATGAGAGGATTAGAATACTTGATGAGGATAAAAGGTGATTCCTAAAATCACATGTTTCCATTGACTAAACTAGCACTTTCAATTGTTCATGACAAGAGCTTGGTGATTGCACAGATTGAAGCTAAAATTAAAAAGATTCTCTATAATCAAGAATATAATAAGGAGATTGAGAACATTAATAAACAACAATAGCAACCTTAATCTTAGGTTTAGCAACAACATTAACCTCATTACCCTATTTGCTTCTAACCCATTTATTATAATATTCCCTTAACAAATGATATTAAGATTGCTTCTAATCATCCAGCTTTATAGGCCATTTAAACTTAAGCCTTTTATGCGGATGAGTTCAAAGAGGTTATGTCTCATTTATTTGAAGATGGAGAAACTATTGAAGGAGTTAAGTATTTGAATCTTAGGAAAGGTTGTTCATTACACACTTTCGATTGTGTTTAACCTACTAGTTTTTAAAAGCATAAGGAACCAGAAACTGCTAAAAAAAGCAAATAAATCTCAAAAAAAAAAAAAAGTGAAGATAAACTACAATTACAATCCAACTTCTAACATACTTAAGAAGCATAAATCCTAATTAAATCATTAATACAATAGATGATAAGTTCATTTTTCGAAAATGAATAATATCAATATCATTGGTATACTATAACTTAAGTATTGTAAATATTGATTCGAAGATATCCTGTCCTAATACCAAAGATAGTGAGAGTTAATTGTAGTAAATTTTTGAAGCCTTATTAAAAATAATTAAGTACAGACTACTAAGATTTGGAGTTTCCGAGAAAAATCTCGTTTCTAACTCTTATTACTAGAATTATGACTCCTGCAAAGAATCTTCTATTTGAATTGTGTTTGGACAATGTCTTATTGTATTAGATGGCCAATAATGTTATTGTTCCATTTTCAAATGAAACAAGGAGAAAAATTGTGAGTGAATTATATGAGGGCATTGAAAAAAGAATTAAAAACTTTGATTCTATTGTTTGTTAATATTCATATACTTTGATACGCCTACTATAGATAAAGTCAGTGGCAAAGATTTGTTATAGAAATATCCATGACACCACAAACTCTTTCAACTTTATAAAATTGTATATGGATGGAATGAAGAACTTTGAGTTGAACTCATATTACATTTATGAAAAGGAATTGCAATTTATAACAGAAACCTTAGCAGTATTATTCAATATGGCTATTTATCTCTTATTTTATAAACCTGCTCCTCTTGTAATTTCTAAATAACAATTAGAATAACATGGAGATCATTTTCAATTGCAAGGCATGATAGGATAGTTGTTGCCAGAAGAGATCAATTCGCAATTGGTACCAAATAAGAGTATTTTATATCAAGATTCAATCAAATATTTCTAAAAATGGCCTCTATTACCAATTTCATTCCTAGAAGAATTAAACTCAAATCAATAACATGAAGAGTTGGAATTTTAATAGATCTTATCTCCTTTTAGAAGAAGAAATCGACTTGTGAATGTAGAATTAATTGCCAATATTGAAGAAGATGATGGTATGTTAGAATTGGAATATGATGATAATGATATGCATAGTGAATAAAGTGGAGACTCTCATAATTCTCATGAATCCGCTCCAGAGGATCTGGAAGAAGAGGAAAACAGTTGGGGATCTAGTTAAAGTGGAAATAATCAGATAGAACCAGAAGAAGCTTAGAATTCTTCATCTAGTTGGACTGATGAAGAGGATGAAGATGAAGATAACGATTAACAAGAGGAAGAGGAAGGAAGCGAGTAGGATGAACAAGATGAACAGGAAGAAGAAAATGCCTCAAATAGTGAAATTTAGAGTGATGGTGAAGAAGACATGGATTAAGAGGATGAAGAAGAACATGAAGAAGATTAAGAAGATGGAGTTATTGATGAAGAAAATGAAGGATTTGAATAAGAAGAGCATAATGATGATGAAATTTCAGAAGAAAATATTGAAGTCACTAAACAATTCCATCACCTTACTAGTAGAGAAGATTAGGCATTTGCTAAAATGACCAAATCTATTATTCAATTAATTGGAATTCAATTCCCATAGTAATTTGTGAAGGTCTTAGATAAACTAGTCTATTCATTACCCAAAATGAACTCCCCAGAAGATTCCTAGCCAATTAATTGGTGGACAGAATTGACACAATTCGTAGCTAAATCATTCTAATTAGATGAAAGATCATATGGATAAGAATTGAGAATGCAACCACTATTCAGAGATAATAGATGGGGTAATGAGATCTTTAGAATTGACTAAAATGATAGAATTTTTAATAGGTTTTAAGCAGCAAGATTTGATCAGATTGACAGACAAGAAAGAATTGATTAGATTAGATAAGATAGATACAGATCAACATTTCGAAATAGAAGAGAAGAATTATAACTTGAATAATAACTACAATAACAAATTCAACCATAAGCTAATTTATTTTAATAACACTAATAGCAGGAATATAATCATAGCAGAGAAGCATAATTTATTCGATTATTTAATTGGAATTAAATCTCATAAAGTTTATAATAACCATAATAATTATAATAGTAATAATAATAATAGTAATAATAATAGCAATAATAATAATAATAGTAATAACAATAATAATAATAGTAATAATAATAATAACAACACTCTGCTTCCTTACATCAGTAAGTTTAAGATTTACAAAACTTACAAGATTAAATATAATAATAATTTATGAATTTACTACAATAATAATCGCAATAATCACAGTAATAATAATAGTAATAGTAATAATAAGAATAATTGCAAAATTAACAATAAATTCAAGTTGAAGAGCAGCAAGTTGTTATTCCTAAAACCAGCTCAGAAGTTATGTAAATAGAAGCTTCAAGTTAAGAATCCTAATAATAAGGAAAAAAATAAGATTAATAATAACCATAATAATAACAATAAATGCAAACAGAAGATTAACCTTAAAAAGTAGAATAATCTAATTAAAATATTTAATAAGAATAATAGTTAAATTTAGAATAACTTTATCCCAACACCTTCAGCTTCTTATAAAGGGTTGGTAGAACTTTCGATGATTTAACAAATAACAACATAGATCCATCAGTATTTGAAGATTTATAGGAAGATATGATGGTTGATATTATTTCCAACATTCCAGAAAATAAAGAAATAAATGATATCGAAGGAATAGACCCATAATTCTTATAATCGTTACCTCCAGAAATTAGAAGAGAAATTTACTAATAATATGTACAACCAACTTAAAATTAACCATAATAACTTTCAGACCTAGATTAATTGATTGCTTTAATAAATTAAACTCCTTATGATGATAGAGAGGAAATGTATTTATAAATTAGTGCTGAATAAGTGCGAAATCTGCCTTAAGATCTAAGATAGGAAGCTACTTATATAAGAGATAGAGCTGATTAAAGGGCAATTGAATAGACAGAAAGATAATTGTACTATTAGATCGATCCTTAGTAATAACTCCAACGTAATCTCAACCCACAACCACAATTACAAAGAAAGGAGAACCAAAAATCTTTGAACTTGAAAAACTTACTTCAAACTTAAAGACATTTAGTATAGAAATTGGGAAATGTGGATGATGAATTTGCTGAATCTTTATTGAGATTACTTTACGTTGAATCCCATAGTTTTGTTAATTTCCCAATAAACTTATTCATAGCTTTGACAAACAATCCAAATGTGGAATATAAATTGATTGACACTCTATTTTTCATTCTTAAGAATCGAAATCAGAGAACAGATTAAGGTGAATTCCCTCCATAAGTATTAATAAGAAGAAATGGTTTATTAAGAGATTAAAGCAAGATCTATGAGATAGTGTCGTTAAAGATCCTTTATTTAATTTCAAAATTGTAGGGACCATCAATAAAATACTTCTTTGAAACAAAGAAATAAGGTTAATTGTCATCCATAGCCAAAATGTCAGAAGGTAGTTAAGACCTTCCATTGTTGTAATTAATATAGCTATTACCTTTGTTTAAAGGTGATCATCAAGAGTTATTGATTTAAGCAATTTCAAATATAACAACAAAGTAGAAGGACTTTAAATAGGATTAATTAAATTTAGATTCAAGATCAGTGGAATGTGTTTGCACTATATTGTTATAAAATATGAATAGAAGTGTTAAAAACTTCTCTCATATTATTTTAAATCTTAGTAATAATAAAGAAAACCAACAGTTAATTATCAAATACATAAAGGAATTTATTTAAAGAATAACAAGAGAGATAAATAATAATTTTGACAAGTAATGCTAATATGATGAGATCTTTACGGCAGATAAAGCTCTGATCAATGTATTTTAGTTTGTTAGAGAAATGAATGATAAAATAGGGGAGAATAATGACTAATAAGATACAAGAAGCAATTTTAAGGAATTATTGGAAGATTAAGGTTTAATTTAATTGTGGAGAAATTTGATTAAACTCTTACAAGACATACCATAATAAAAGTTAGCAAAATTAAGTACTAAAATATCTCCATATTTGGAATGCTTTTTCATTATTTATTAATTAGTCAATCCTATTAGAAAGAATAAAAATATTTAAAGAGAACCAACAAAGATTGCGAGTATGGAAGGATAATAATAAGAGGTTTAAGAACAATAATTACATGATGAATTATTTTAATAGATTTGTGAGAGTGGAAAGGTTTTGTTGAATATGATGATTAGAGAGAGATTATAAGAATTGAGAGAGAAAGGGAAATTGGTTAATGATACTTTAGGAGTTATAATATTTAAGAATCCTAGAATTGTAGATTTTGATAATAAACAGAAGTATTTCAAGATGGAGTTGAAACTATTGAAAATGCAGAACAATAGACATCATTATGGAAATATCAATTTAAGATGTAGAAGAAAGGACATATTCATGGATTCATATCATCGCATAAGTAAATTAAAGCCAGAAGAATTGAAGGGTAAATTACATGTGGAATTCGATGGAGAAGAAGGAGTTGATGCAGGTGGTGTTACTAGAGAATGGTTTTTGATGCTTTCAAAAGAGATTTTCAATCCAAATTATGCTCTCTTTACTCCATCATTAAATGGGCAAATGTTTTAACCAAGCAATAAATCTCACGTTAATCCAGACCATGTTAAATATTTTAAATTCATTGGAAGAATTGTAGGTAAAGCATTATATGATGGATAATTATTGGACACATATTTCACACGTTCCTTTTATAAACATATTTTGGGTTAGAAGTTAACAATTCATGATATGGAGGACATAGATTTAAATGAATATAATAGTATGAAGAAAATTTTGGAAGAAAATGTTACAGATTGGGGAATCTATTGGACATATAATGTTGATCATTTTGGTAAACTAGAAGAAAGAGAATTAATTGAAGGAGGAAAAACTAAATTAGTTACTGAAGAGAATAAATTAGAGTATGTTCAGATTTACTGTTATTAAAAGATGGCTAAAGAAATTAAAGATTAGATTGAAGCATTTTTGAATGGATTCCATGAATTGATACCATAATCATTAGTAAGCATTTTTGAATGGAAGGAAATGGAACTAATGTTGTGTGGTTTACCTGACATTGATCGTAAGAATTATAAAATTGATTATTTTAGTTGAGGACATGAAGGAAAACATCGAATATCATGGTTATGATAAAGGAGATAAAGTAATTTAATGGTTGTGGGAGTTGTTGGAAAGTTTCGATAAAAGTAAAAGAGCAGCATTCTTATAATTTGTTACAGGTATTCCTTAAATTTATCATTATTTAGGCACTTCAAAAGTTCCTTTAGGAGGATTCAAAGAATTAAAAGGAATGCATGGCCCTTAAAAAATATAAATACATAAAAAACCTTATGTCAATTTTGAATTACCTACATCACACACATGGTAAATGTGAATTCCATATTATTTAGCTTTAATTAATTAGACTTACCTGATTATCCAGCTAGATAGATTTTAAAGGAGAAATTGGAGCTGGCAATTATGGAAGGAAAAGAAGGTTTTGGTTTTGCTTGATATAAAATAATTTCACATTATTTAGAATAATTTAACTATTTTTTTTATTTTATTAACGATTATGATTGGAAGACCTCCAAGAACTAGAAATGAAAGATAGTAAAATCCTTAAATCAGCGAGGATTAATTGAAAATGGAACTTCAAATGTAAGCAGAAAATAAAAAGAGAGAATTAAGAATGCAGCAACTACAAGAAAAAGAAGAAAATTTAAAATAATTAGAGTATGCAGGACAAGATGTTGAATCATTTAGAAATAAGGTATATGCAGAATATCAGGATGTTATTCCACAGTAATCTAAAGCTGAGTAAGAACGTGCTGCTAGAATTAAATTGAGAGAAGAGGAAAGATTGAGAAGAAAGAATGGTTTAGGAAGTGCTTATGAGTAAGAAAAAGAAAGATTGCCTGTTTAATTAGAATAAAAGCTTTTACAAAATTTGAATCAGATAAATAATAATTAAAATGCAGATTGGTTAGATAAGTAATAAGTTGTTTCAAATCAGCAAAATAACAATTACCATCATTAGTAATAGCCGGTTGCCAATTATTATCCTGATCAAGTCTATGGGGGAAGATAAATATAATAGTCGTAACTTAATAATTAAATTAAGAATGATTCATACAAATAATAAGACAAGTAAAGTTATGAGCCACGTTATTAACCATCACCCTAAATGAATAATAATAGTAATTATTAGAAAAATAAAATTAATGAGGCAGCAGAATAAGAAAGGGAAAAAAAAAGAAAATATAAGGAATAATTAGATATGTAGATTAGTTAGAAAGGTTAATAAAATTAATAGCAAATTTAAAACTAATAGGGATTGTAATAATATTAGTAATAGTAAAATCTTTAGTACTAATAATAACAATAATAATAAAATTAATAATAATAATACAAACCACATTCACAATAAAGTTAAAGATAACCTTAAGCAGAAGTAGATTTCTTTTCAAAATTTGGGTAGCCCTAATCATAGTAAGGTTGGAGATCATAATAGTAATAATAATAAAATTAGGATAATGCTGCATTGCAAAGAATGAAGTATAGAGAGGAACTTGATCGCTAAATTTAGGAAAAAAAAAATAGAGAAATGGAATAATAGCAATTAAAAAATCAACAAGATTTTGCCAAAAGGCCAGCCAGTAATCCAACAAACGTCTTTGATTTTCCATAGGAATATGATTATAGAAATAATCCTCCTCCTCAATCTCCTAATTATTATCAGCCACCATAATCTGCACCTACTGATGATTAGTCAAAAGGAAGATTCCTGTAAAGAAGATTCACTAGTGGATAACCTGAAGATCCACAGAAATAAGCTATAAAGGAACAATATGCAGAAGAATTAAAAAGATAAATGGAGGAAAAAAAAAGAAAGAAAAAGGAAGAGGATGAGGAAAATAGAAGAAGGGACGAATTAGAATAATAATAATTTTAGTAATAAGTTATGCTTGAGAAAAAAAGATAGGAAGAATAGGTTAAATAAAAGTAAGTTGAATAATTTGATTAGTAAGCTTAATAAAAGGAGGTAGGAAGGAGAGGAAAGTAGAATATATAAAATGAGCACCCTCAATAAGATATTATTAAAAAATCTGCATTGCAGATTTTATCTCCAGAAAGCGATTTATAAAGAGAATAATTATCATCTGTTTAAGATCAAAGGCATTAATAATAATAACAATAATAACAATAACAGCAATAACAATAATAACTATAATATATGCAACCATAAATGTAATAGCCTCAATATTAATAATATCCCTAGCTATAGTAACATGTTCAATAAACACCTTATTAGCATAATCGTTGTCATCCTCCTATGTCACCTTTGATGAATGTTTATAATCAATTTCATCTATAGGATAATATATAACAATATTAATAAGTACTTTTCAATGATCAAAACGCACATCATCCACAAGCTGTTATGGTTCATTAATAATACTTGATGTAGCTCCAACAAAATAGATAGGAAATTGATTTGGTTAGATAGATATTAGAAGAGAAACTTAGATTATAATAAATAGAAATGTAGAATTAAATATTAATAGATTAATACTAAAGAAAAGTAATGGACATATAAAGGGAGTAAAAGTTATTTGAATAAGAAATCATTAAATTGTAAGACTTTATTCAAGGAAAATAAAAGCGTCCTTTGGACCCAACTGTCTTTGCCTCTAGCGTATTTTTTAATGCTCTAGGTAAAAAGGATAATCCAAATTTATCTCCTCATTAATAATAGTTAGCAAACATATAACCAATCAAAATATCTCCTTTCTAATCCCCTACAGCAAATTCATAAGCTTAATAATTTTAGAAGTAATTTAAATAATCAGATATTTCATCTTAATATTCCCATTAATATTAAGAAGTTAACTAGTTGCATCCTGAAAAGCATTTATAACCTTATCCATAATAATAATAATAATAATAATAATAATAATAATAACAATAATAATAATAACAATAATAATAATAATAATAATAATAATAATAATAATAATAATAATAATAACAACAACAATAATAACAATAATATTAGCAATAATAATAATAAATAGGAAGAAAAGGACAAATTTAATCTCAATAATATATAAGGTGATGGATTAAAATCTAGCATACCTCTAGGG